GTACATAAGTCCCCAACTAGTGTCTTTATTATCTAGGTTTAGGTGATAATATATTTTTCACTATAAGCCCATCCCTTTAATATTTATTATAAATAAAGGAAACATTCATATATATGACAATATTACCCCCAACCATTTATATCCAATTCTTAAATTGTAACCCCAATTTAATCAATTTTGTTCACAAAAATCCAATTTTTTTTATTTTTTTTTTTATGTCCGCCGCTAAACGTTGACCGTAATTGTGCTGTCACTGACAGTAAATTAACGTAATTATATTGTCAATGACAGTTAATTAACGTAATTGTACTGCCGTTGACAAGACGGGGGGGGTAATTGTTCTCCCGTTGACAGTAAATTAACGTAATATTATTATTTTTTTTTTTTTGTTTTTTTTTTGTTTGATTTGTTGACAAGTCAACGTAATTATATTACTGTCGTTGACAGTAAAATAACTGTAAACACAATAATATTATTGTCAACAACATCAATATTATTATTTTTTTGAGTTTTTTGTTTTGTTTGAGTTATTCACGGAGTAACGTAATAATATTACTGTCTATTATTGTAATATTACTGTAAATACAATAATATTAATGTGGTTGACGGTAATATTACTGTTGTTATAGTAATATTGATGTCAACCACATCAATATTATTATTTTGTTTGAATTTTTTTGTTTGTTTGAGTTATTCACGGAGTAACGTAATAATATTACAGTCTATTATTGTAATATTATTGTGGTTAACGGTAATATTATTGTTGTTATAGTAATATTACTGTCACTCACAGTAATATTAATTCTTTTGCTTTTTTATTATGTTTACATTTGTTGAACGGTCAACATAGTAATATTACTCTATTACACAATAATAATGAGTTTTGTTGTGTTGATATTACTTTGTTAGAGATTAATATATCAATATTATTGTGTTAAACTGTAGTTTAGTTAATTTTACTGTGTTTAACAGTAATATAGTTAATATTATTGTCAATCACAGCACTATTGCTGTTTAAACGAGAAAAAAAATATTACTGAAAGAAAAAAAAATCGAAAAAGTCAACGCCGGAAACCGGCGAAAAAATCCGGAAGAAAAAAAAATAATAATAAAAAATAAAAAAAAAAATATTGAAAAGTCACCGCCGGAATCCGGCGGCAATTTTTTTTTGAAAAACAAAAAAATTTTGAAAAAAAAAAATTTTTGGTCAAAATTGAATAATTTGTAAAATTTAGAGTCAAATTGAGGTTAAATTAAATTAAGTATGAAATTGGAGCATATTAAGATATGAGGGGCTATTTTGGTCTTTTACAAAAATCTGGACCATATATGAATTTGTAAATGAATTTTTTGTTTGAATCTCTTTATAAATAAGTACCCATTGATGGACTTATTTGTAATGACCCCAATAAAATATTCGGTTAAAATTAACTAAATTATACAATGAATTACTATATTGAGATTAGTTGTAAAATTGAAGGATAATAATGAGACAATAGAAACACGACACGAGGGATTAAAGTGGATATACAACAGACTAAAATGTAGCAAAATTTATGAGGTTATTTTGGACAAACAACAGTCTAATACTTGATCAATCATGCATAGTAAACCAAATTATATAAAGATAAACTCTGTAATCAAACACATGATATTAATCATGCTATATCATACATGCATAAATAATAGTAATCAAGAATCACAAACCAAAAATTTACAACCCTGTCCAAAGACTTATTACCCTTTATTATCACCGATGTTTTTTTTTTCTTTCTTCTTTTCTGAGTTCTCTTACAACACGTATTTAATGTTACCACAAACCGATGAAATCGGCATCTAAGGTTGTATAAGCCGCTCCCGTCCAGAGACAGCATCGACGTCAGAAAGAACTAGTTCACCTGATTACAATAGTTGCTCAACATCAATAGCAGGCAGGAAATAAAATAAAATAAGTAAAAAGTGCAGCATAATAAAACGGATTATCAATCCAAAATGAAGCCAAATTTCAGTTAAAAACTAGTGACTGAACCTCTTTGGTTAACTCGGAAAAAGGATTTTTAAAAGTGCATCAACTCCTTTTTCAGTCTCATGTTACTATTTATAAAATCTCGGGATTTGTTTGTTAACCTTGTAGAATTATTAATTCTTAATTCTCAATACATGTTTCCCCAAATGGTCTTCAAACAGATTTAAAGTCCACGCATTTAGTTAATGTACAACCAAATTATCATATTTTTAGACCAATAAAACAAAAGAAACTTCCTTTAGAGTCGAGATCCCTATCAGGTATGGCGAACATGGTTATCACATCAATAGAGGTTGGGGTGTGAAAAGTACAGCAGCACCATAATAAACCGAAAACATGCCAATCAATGTAAGAAAACAGAGAAGGCAAACCCAAGCTTCAAAATGTTATTAACTCAAGAAGCACCGCGTAAAATCATACAGCTTCAACAAAACCAAAGAATATATTCAGACAAGACTTACCGAGAAAAGGAAGCGCCGTGAACTTGATGAAATTGCTAAAGCAACACTTAGTTTGAAGAACTAGCAGCACATGGAGCTCGCGTAGAAGAGCTGCCAATGGTTAGCCGTTCGGTAGTAGGATCTGGAGTTGTGCTATCCTCTGCATCAGTAGGTGAGTTGGTTCTACCATCTTCTGCTATTTCAAGATGATCCATCATCCTCGATAGAGTCGCAGTACCTCCTTGGTCAACTTCTCTAGAAACTTCCGTGCTCGAATCGGATGTTGGACCGCTACGAGCAAACAATCTCTCCTTCCAACCTCTCGTACTCTTGGTTATCGACTCTTTATATCTGCAAGTGGAGAACAAAACATTTAGTACATATATTGATCACAGGAAGATTTTACTTCATTCCCCCCCAAGTAAAGGTTCTGCTTGAAGTCCAAATTTAATTCAACTTACAACCATCTTTTTATTATTCTATTAATGTTGTTGCTTTTGGTCAAGTTGATAATAACGAGGAAGAGAATATATAGTTTTCAAAACTAAAGACTAGGAGATCAAAAAAGAATATATGCAGCTTGCAGCATATTTGCCTTGTACCTCGTTGACCATGTACCAATGCGGGATTTGACGGACTCTGAAAATGACTGAAAATCTGATGGTCCAGCTCTATCTTGAGGAGAAGTCTGGGCTGGAGGGCTCCTGGAGAACAAAATAAACTTGTGATGAAAACCCAAAACTTGATAATTATTGTTTTACAGGTAGAGCTAATAACGATCGAAAAACTAAATACCTATTGCTTGATGATGTTCCATGTTGATGTGCCCCCGCACTTGATCCTGAGGCGGTACTCATAAGCTGGTCTGCTTGGGCAGAAGACGGTCTTGGAACAAAATGTGCAGAATCTCCTCCAACAGTAATAAACGGAGCATCTGCGCCAGCTGTCATAAGTTGAGGTGGCATACCACTGCCATCTCTCTGAGTGGCAGAAGAAGCGGCAGAAGTGGCCGTAGCCCCATTCGGATGAGCTGAAAACACCAAGAAATGGGGCTGGCCTTGGGAAGAAGGTCTGCTCCTCTGACTTTCCCTCCTAACAAGCTGACGAGCCCTTCCCATTGCAGCAGCAGCAGCTAAGTGCTGAATAATGCGCTCTTCAAGTTCAGACTCACTTGCACTAACTGGTAACTGCACCCATAGTTCAAAACAAATGTAAGGATATCTGTGTAGCCATTAAATTGATTAAAGACATTAAGTTAGAGGTATAAAAGTTAAGGAAGCAACGAACGTGCTGCAACTCGAAGTCCCCCAAAGTTGGATGATGAAATATTGTTGTATTTCTAGGTGGGTTCATCCGTACGTTCCTTTCATGTTCCACAGCATCGAGCAATTCCTGGCTGTGCCAGATAAGCACATGATAAGAGTCCTAACAGAATAAAATTTGCAAGAGAAAACAGAAGCACATTGAAACGAGGGGCAAACCAACTTAATTACCAGCTGGGATCCTTCAAGCTGATGGACTGCCAACACATTGGGCACTGCGAGCTTCTCTGACACCTGCAAGTATATTTTTAGTGATATGACTAATTTATCCACCATTTAGAGTGGGTGTGTGTGTGTGTGTTGTCTGTGTGTGTGGGGGGTGGGGGGTGAAGTAAAAATAATGAAAGGAAAACAAAAACTAAAATCTTTCATGTAATAAAAGAATCATTCCCTTCTGAAGATACTAGCTCTATCTGATGTAAAAAGAATGATATATGACATGTAAATATTCAATGGAAGTTTATCTGCATACCAAATACACATATCTCCATATTTCGTTGAAAATACAATATGAGAAATGTTAAGTCATTGCAATGTCGTAAGTATGTGAAAAATATTTTTCCCAAATATGAGCCTGCAGGTTCTAAAAAATGATAAAACAGTTTTTGGAAGTACACGTGTTCATATTTTCACTTGAGTGTAAAAGTGCATCCCATATAGTATCTTAAAGCAGCATATCCATCAAAATCATGTCTAACCAAGATTAAAGGCTTATGCAGATTTACAACATATCTGGCATAAACTTTTTGAGTTGCCAACTATATTGTATAGGCATCAATGAAAAACCTGGAAACAATACTTATATCTCTAAAAATGAGATTAACAACCGTCTTTACAAGGACACTAATACAACCATAACATAGCAGCTAGCAAGCTTTATGTCTCAAGTAGAACTTGTCGTAGTACTTGAAGCGTTTTTCCAGTAATTTCAAAGAAAGCCCATTCCTGTTACGGTAATACTGCAAGGAACATGATTTGAGACACAAAGAATGTCCAATTGAAGCGAGGAGGATAAACCAATTCCTATCTAAATAAATTATTTCAGGAGAAAAAATTCTCTAGCGGGGAAAGTAATTGAGGTGAAGTTATGTACCATTCAAGAATGCACTGGAGATGAAACTCATGCTTGCAACTAGTCAACTGCAATAAAAAGAATGAATCAGCATATGTCAAAACTCAGGCCACAACAATTATATGAATAACTCTAATACATACTGTTGAAGGATCGTCACAAAAATCTTCGAGGCATATACTGCAAGCATCATCACATGCATCCTGGATTCCTCCTTCCACAAACGCTGCAGCAGAAGTCAAATGGTTCTCAGGCAACTTCCCCTCTTCCATCTGTCAATACAAATTGAAATCTTTATTCAAACAAATTAGATCCACTTAAAAAAATGATCAACAGGCAAACATTTTTCGTAGAATCAAAACGCTAAAAACAAAGAGCACACGTTGTTCAACCGAGAATACGAAAAGACATGAGCCACACTACGCAATGTACAATTTACGAGTATCCATGAAAATCTATCTTAGCAGTATCAAAATGTCAAATGGAGACGCGCAACTAGTCTTGTGCATCTAATTTTCAAAATCTTGCGTAAAACGAGCCTCTCAATTGGTTTTTTTTTTTTTTTTTGGCTCATAATTCCCTAAACACCAAAAAAGGGGGTTAATGTAAACTTCACTTAAGCTCCATTAATTTATCAAATGAGGCACCTTTATCTGCAACCAAATCAAACACAATCAACATATTGGAAAACAAAATTCAATGAATTTATTGATCAATTTTCATGATATTAAAAGTGCCTTGAATCATCTCATGGTTCACTCACCCAACCCAATTGACAAAATGAATTTTTTTTTTAAATAAAAATCTAATTTCAACGGTGCATACTCCAAAGTCTTTCAGAATCACGAAAATAAGTATAGAATCAAAAAAAGCCACATAAAGAGTTTTGCTTTTATAATCTGAATACTCGGTCGCAGAGAAATTAATCCATCAAAAAACCAGAAAAAAATCCCAAAAAAAAAAACCAGAAACTCCAGCCGTAATCAATCGAGTTTACATGGCGAAAACGTTATAAAAAAAATTACCTAAAAGGAAAATACTCCTTCTGTTTGATGTGTAGTGTAATCGATGAAATTGAGCCAATCTAACAGCAGATCGCTAACAGAGCAAAAGAAGATAACAAATTCGGAAAATACAGAACGGATTGGGGAAGAAGAGGGCAGGGAATTTTGATAGGGGAATTTTAGGGGGTAAGAAAAGTCAGAATGAGAAGAAGAAAAGTATTTTAGACTTTTTCTTTTTGTTGGTTTTTGTGAGAATTATTTATTTCATTCATCCTTTTTCTTTTTCTTTCTTTTTCTTTTTTTACTTTTTTGGCGGTGATGATACACTCTTCACTCCCAACTTCAACACCTCACCCCCACCCCCACCCCCGCCCCCAATCCCACCCCCTCCACCCCCTACCCACCCCCAACTACCCCAAACCACCCCACACACAATATATATGTTTTTAATTTGTTGATAAGGGAATTCGATCGAATTTGGATAAATTATGTTCTCGTGCAATAGTTCGTAGTTCGATCGAATATGGATAAATTATGTTCTCGTGCAATGATTCGTAGTTACGCGAGAGGTACAAACTGTATTGGAAAATTCGTTTGCGGTGTACTCGAAATAAAGAGAGCTAGAAAAAGAAAAGTTGAATTCAAATTATTAGTCTTGCAAACCAACTATTTCATGTTGTATATTCATGTAGATTTTGAAGGAGAAAATAAATTAATTAATTAATCAATTAGTTGCTTTGGTTTGTAGAAGAATGTTAGGTGGTGTTAATAGCTAATGAAGATGAAAATACAATGAAAAATCAAAAAAATAAAGAAGAGTTAATTGATGTATGTTCAAATAATTAGTCTAAATGTGAAATATATATATATACTTCAATTCCATTATGTATCTACACTATTAAAGAAAATGTACCTACACTATTAAAGAAAATGCATCCACACTAGTCACTAAAAACAAAAAAAGCTAGTATGAATGTATTAGTTTAACCTAAGTGGTGGACCTTATTGGTTTATGAGATGATGCTATAGCCGGTGAAATGCATCGGACAATCCATCATCATAATTTATACAAATAATTACCACTAAACATACATACGTTATATGTACGTACACATGTGTATGTTATTATACGTGAGTATATTTCATGGAAGTTAACATCTACAAAACTATAATGTAATAGGACCCACCATAAAATTTCTCAAGAGTTTGCTATCCATCCAATTAATAATATTTTTTTCAAAGAAAGTCTCACAGCCACAATCAATGCATTTGAATGATTATAGGCCTCAAAATTGAAATAAATTACAAAGAATATCAAGTCGAAGAGGGCCCCATGCCTAAATGCTATGTGCCAAACAAAAAAGAATTGAACAAATTTATGTACATGATATAATTTGAGGCCTAAAATAATCAATTAATCTTATTCGTAAATTACAACCACTCGTGAGGTAAGGTTTATATACAAAAAAAATCTCTTATGTTTTCATAATTACATTTGTTCTTGTAATTTGTATACTTTTTACATTAACATCCTTTTGTAGGGGATGATTGATGAATATAAAAAATCTACAAACTCTAGGGGCTAGATGTAATTTTTAAAACATAAGAGATTCTTTTGTAATTATAGGTTACCTCAGGGAGGTGGGTGTAATTATACCCTTAATCTCAATAATCATTTTTTCCTTGTCCCTCTGAGAAGCGCTCCTCCAGAACCCACCCCCATAAAAAAGTTCCCACATCTCACTATCCCACTCAACGGCGTCGTTTTTCCCCCTGCAATCGCCGCCGTCCTCCAATTTCTGCTGATTCGCCTTCTCCAGAGGCGGACATTTCATCTTCTTCCTCAGCAGCCTTCTTCTCCTCGCCTTCTTCTTCCTCCTCCAGAGGGCGGCGGGGAGGCGGAAGACGGCGAGGATGAAGAGGTGCATCACTGTGCACGGACAGCAGCAGCACACCGCCGCGCACTCACCCGTCGCCTCACCCATGCGGCTCCAGATTCCACCGCCGCCGCTGTCGGCAGTGTCGAGTACGGCGTCGAATCTGCTGTCCTTTAGTGACGAGGACGTTTCCGCCGATGAGTCTAGGGCGGACTGTGCCGACATGCGGCCTATTAGTCAGTAATTGAATCAAATCAAAGTTGTAATTAATGGAGGTATCTTAGTATTGTACTGGTTATAAACAAGAGAGAGAGAGAGAGAGAGAGAGAGAGAGAGAGAGTTGTGTGAATGTGTGATGCTTCGCCCTGATCTGAATCTGTTAGGATTTTAGAGACCCGTAACTGAAACAGAATGTATTTTTGAAATTACACGAAAATATTTATCCGACGGCATAATTATTAATAATTACTTTATCTACACCTACTTTATTTATTTATTTATTTATTTCGTAGCCGTGTTAACCCTATGTCATCACACGGCAAATCATCATAAATATATGCATACAAATACAATTGTATGTATAAAATAAAAATGTATATATATATATATATATATATATATATATATACTCAAATGAGACTTTAATCATTGTTATTATATTTAAAAATGTGAAAACTTGAGAAAATGAAGCAAGTACGAAAGATGTAGGAATACGTGAAGTATTATTACTAATTAGAAATTTATGCCGTCAGGGTGAAAGCAACATAGTTCACATCACTTTCAAATGTCGGGGGGACGGCGTTTAAAACAGCCGTCATCTTTGACTTTGACCTAGAATTTATATGGATGGCTGTGCTGCAAAGAAGATGACAGAACAACAAGTACTTTTATTCAGAGCCGCCTATGGTACAAAACTTGTTTTGGTCATTCATCTCAAAATATGTTGTTGTACATATGCAACTTACAACTTATACTAGGCAATATTTTCCCATATCAAACATTAAAATTATAACCAACTGTTAAAACTACTGATCCCCACCAAAAAAGAAAAAAAACATCTGTTAAGAAAAACCGTCTTTTTAGCACGAGTAATCGTGTGTATTTATCTACTTTCCGACGAAGCCAAACCAGTGAAGGATGAATGCAAAAAGGAGCATAACTATGGCCAAAATCATGCCAGGTCTTCCCAGAAGCCAATTCTTTGTCTTCCTCGCACCTTCTACACCTCGTTGAGCCCTATCCGCCCATTTCATCTACACAATCATTTCATCCTCCACAGTCAGAAAAAGGGCAAAAAAAACAAGTTGGCATGCAATATGCATTCAATTGATATGAAGTAGTAGGGATAGGGAAGAATCGCATCGATTGACCCTATTTATTATTACATACCATTGAGTCCAAAGCTTCGGGCGACAGTGAAGACATAGCCTGTTGAGCTTTCTCTGCATCTTCTCGAGAAAGCTTGAACCCAAATTGCTCGCCCATGTTAGCCATTGTTTCGGGGCTTATATTTTTCATCATGGTTGTGAACATCTGCCAATTTCGGAAATTAAGAAAAAAACACAATATAATCAACAAAATGTCGTTAAACACATCAAACATACTTCTCGATTCTACATCCTACTAGAAACAGATAACACTATATGTGACAGTAGAGTGTTACGAGGAAAAATAAGTGCACGAAATAATCAAGCTAGAAACCTGTCGCATAGCTGGATCTTTCATTTGGTTTCTCATTTGTTCTTGTAAATCAGCACCGGGATTTAGGAAGCTTGTCTGAGCAGAAATTCCTGTATTCACACTCTGAGAGGAACTACTTTCACCGACATTGCTGCCATTCACTTCCAAATTTTCTCGAGTTCTAATAAGGTCGTCCGGTCTTAATCCGTTGGAATAAGAAGTTGCAGTTGATGGTGGTGCTCTTTCCTGTCCTCCTCTCAAGGAAGACGCCATTTCGAACATCTTTTGACGTTCTTCAGTTGACATCTTACCCATCATATCAGTCGCCATCTTAAACATGTCAGGTGAAATATTTGGCGCAACTGTTGCTGCTGAAGATGATGATGAAGATGATGACGAGGCGGCCCCATTACCCTTCAAAGAGGAAGACATTTCAAACATCTTTTGAAGGTCTTCTGACGACATTTTACCCATCATGTCAGTTGCAGTCTTGAGCATGTCAGGTGATACGTCGGATGGAATCGATCCAGGACTGAAACTGGGACCGCTTTTCGAGAATGGGTTTTCTCCTTGGAAGGAGGAAGCTAATTGGAACATCTTTTGAAGTTCTTCTGGAGACATTTTGCCAATCATACTCGATGCCGTCTTTAACATATCGGGAGACACACCATCGACTTTTCCGCCACTTATAGCAGACAATGTTTCGGGGTCGGTGCGAGAAATGAAATCCTGGAAGGATCTACACCACAGTATAAAGCGAATAACATTTAGAAAGAGCAGTTGAATATTGAAGCACATCATAAGCTTTAGAAAGAGAAGGTGAGGGTGACAAGGCGGTGAATCAAGGAGAAGTATGCAAATGCCAAACAAAACCCTTTCACCAAGTACTCAAAAAAAACATTTAAGATTAACCATATGGTTCATACTATATGGTATGTATAGGATCCCGAACCCGGTTAGATTATATGCAAAGCATTTTATAAATATAAGATGTCAATCATTTACTATCATTACCCTCCAGCTTTTATCATGTGAATCAGCCATAGATAACAAAAAGTGAGCAAATAACAAATATTCAGCATCACTGCCAAAAAATGGAGGAATCAATATTATAAAGTTGAAGATGAAGGCAGTAAAAGATAGGTTTTTCATCAACAACAGTAACAAACCTGATAGATTCTGGGTTATCCTTTAGAGCCTCTAGATAGTCAGTAGCTGCCTGAGGGTCCCTATGGTTTGCAGACTGACGTGCATTCCGTTGACTGGCTTCTTTTGGCGGTAACACAGAATCATTGGATGTTGATTCCACATGGTTGTCAGATGACACAGTGGGTTCATCAGTTATTTCTTCAATAACCACTCCTACACAAAACGTGGAATCAATTGAAAGTACCCATAGATATGCATAAACTTAAACCGTTCAAGTGATACTAAGGAACATCAATTGGACCATAATAATACAAGTAGGCACAAGACAATATACCTCTTGAAGGACGCACACCACCTTCTTTGACTAATCTTTCCTCAGCGTCCCTACATGCAAGTAAACAAACCTTATTTAAAATCCAAAGAATAATATCTTCAAGAAAATCAGAAACGATAGAACATAAGAGTCCAAAACCTGACTGATGAGTACGAGGGGGGACATAAAAGCTTTAACACATGCTTAAAAATATTTAAATAGCGAGGGAACTGCTTCATACAAAAATTATGTACCTTAACACATCTGCAATAGTTTCATCTTCAGGAGATACTTCAAGTGCTTTGCTCAAGTCTGACACCGCATCCTGCAATTTTTTGTGTGTGAATAAAGCTGACCAAGAAAAGTTCAACTATGGATTGATACAGTACAGCTGACAAACTACAGTTTGGGAACAATGTTAAATTCGATAACAGTTACTCACTCCTAGTTGCCCCAATTCCTTGTATGCTTGACCCCTACGGTAGAGGGCTTTAACATTCTTTGCATCATATGCCAAAACCTGCAGTATCAGATAAAAAGTTGAAGTTCGGAGTTGTTATTCTTCATTTAATATCCATAGTCCTCAATGTACATTATAGTAAGAAATCATATTCTACAAGTTAAAATAAAAAAATCCCGCCTTTTATCACCAAAATAACTTAAATCATAGAAACAACATGAACCAAAGTTTCAACTGAAGAATTTAAGCATAATAGATGTTCAAAACAACTGAAAGATGGAAACAAAAGAAAATATGAAGTATCTGTACCTCCGTGCCTTCAGTGACACACTCATCATACTGCTTAGTTTTCAGGTAACATGACATCATATTAAGAGAGCACGCCAAAAGGATATTTCTGCCTTTTGAAGTAGGAACTTCTGCAAGGTTTTTCTTTGCCTAATGTAGCAAAAAGAAACAAGAATTAGAAAATTCAATCTTCAAGTGCCAGAAAAAAGGGCAAAAAACAACTCATAATGAAATCAAGCACCATGAGAAAACTTACACGCATATATTTCTCCAGAGCATTTTTGTACTTCCCCTGACTGTGAAGTTCATTTCCCTGATTTCAAATATCATAAGTACAAGAACTGCCAGTAAAAATCAATTTATTATAGCACTTTTGCAAGTGCTTTTTTCCACATTTAAGAGTGCAGAATGTATATTAATAAAATGGTACATCAACATGCTTAAATTTCAGTTCAACGTAGGTGTATGCAAGTAAGCAATATTCTAAACGGCGTCATCACAGTGAATCAAATATTTTCACAAGATTTAGACAACTCAACCCACACAATGAATGGTATGCAAGAACAGAGATATTGCCTTTTTTGTCTGAAACAAATGTTTAATACCCAGAGATCCACCCTTTAGTCAGATCCCTGCAATGCTCGGTATATTGATCCTCGGATGTATTTATTTAAGACATAACACATAGAGATTCCTAGCATACGGATTTTTCAAAGGAAAAAAAATACTCAATCAACAGAATCTCAACTCCAGAAAAATCTCAAACTCCTGGTAAACAACCCATCTTATTTGTCAAGAGATGCATTATTCCGTCATTACTTTGCGAACAAAGGTTCTCCTCTCACTTTTTTCTAGGATCATGATCAAATATCTCATAATTGTATAATATTGACTTTCTAACAAAAACTACTTGACTTTGGCTATTTCTCTTTCTTCATTGAAAATGTTATTCTATGTTTGACCCAAACAAAATCATATCTTAAAACCCAAGGACTTCAGCCTGCACCCCAAAAGCTCATATGCAAGTAAGATGATTCCCTTGGCATTTTTGCCTCTTCAAAGATGTCACGGGCCCAGCCTCAAATTAGTTAGACATATATCTCTGGCCGTGATTATTGTAGTGCATGTAATTACAGTGGAAAAAGTTTCAAGTGCAAACAAATACTGCACTGCAAAAAATGTTTCGAATGTGATAACTTGCTCAGAAAAGAATTGGAAAACATTAAAATATTTTGACTAGTCAAGGCATAAATGACCCCCCATAGGCCATATGTGAAGCCTAAATTTTACAGAATTTAGGATTAAACTGAATAATGACAACAAGAAATAATGGAAACAAACCCCCGATGTTCCAAGCGGACAAAAACAATTGAGCAATATAATAGGAATCTTCCAACATTATAGCTTACATGCACAACATGGAAAAAGAAGAAGAGGAAAAGCGGAAACACAGAAACATTTAATCGAGCCAACTTCTCATTAATGAGTTACCTGTTTTTTCAGCATCTCAGCAGCATTGACTTGATATGACACCTGTGCATCCATCTGGGCACGCATTGTAGCTAATTCTTCAGGTGAAGCATTTGCCATCTTCTCACTGATCTCAGCCATATGCTCAGGGCGAGTATGCTTCAACTGCTCTGCAGCTTGCTTGAAATCTTCAGGCTTAAAGTTTTGCATGCTCTCAGAAGCCATCCTCATCAAATCTGGATTTGACATCATCTAACGCAGACGAAACAAGCAGGAAAAAAACATTTAAAACGTGCCTTTCTCAATTCAGAAGGAGGAAAAGAAAAATAAAACCGCAATATATTATTATGCTATAGTCTATTATATAATAAGCACTAAGTTGAAGTAGTCGCTGCTATTTTTATTTTATTATCTGTGCAATTTGTATCCACCAAAGGCTCCACAATTACAAGATTGGCAAAACTTAGTTCCCAAAAACACCAACAATTTATAAAATCACGAATCCATCCAAACCAAGATCACAACAGTAATCATTCAGGAGCTAATGCATTCCAAATTTAAGATCTTTTCAACGAATTTAACAAATTGGACAAGATTCATAAAATTAACGAGATTCCCCATCCTATTAGGTCCAGGAAGACACCCATTGGAACATGCACAATTATAAGCAACTCTCTCCAACAGAAGATACACAAAACTCAGTGACAATACAGAGAAAACACACACACACACACACACACACACACACACAAAGAACAAAATAATATCAAACGGAGCAAATACCTGCTGCTGTATCCGAGCCAAGTCGGCCGGCGACATACGACTCATCTGCTCCTGAGCCATCCTCATCAATTCCGGATCCATCATCCCGTTAAACATCCTCCTAATCTCTCTCTCTCTAAAACCCTCGATGAATCAAATCAACAATCGCAGACGAAATCAGACCTAATTAATCTGGATCCAAAACCAAAAAACGTCAATTTGAAGGCACAGCACAGCAACGAAGGCAAGTCGTCGAATTTCGTGAAGAATTTGGAGGTTTGATTCTGATTCTCGTTTGATTTATTTATTTATTTTCGATTAGGGAAAAAAAAAACAAGCAGTAACTGCAATTCGAACGATCTAGAAGAAGGAAGAATTGTGCTGTAACTATATCTCTTCGGAAATTTATTTTATTTGAGAATCGAAATGTATAGATACAGTAAAGAGTGTACGTATATATTATTCAACGCGGATTGATAAAAATAGGGGTGTTAAATAATGGTTGGACGCCCACCAGACCAGAAACAAGACCCATATGTAGAAGGACTGTATACGTATTTATATTTTCCGCATAAATAAAATAATATTATATTAATTATTAAGAAGTGCAGTCGTGAGTAGGAGTCTTTTCTTCCCTAAATTATGATTATTTAATTATGAAAGGGTTAATTACACTTTGCACCCCCTGAAAGTACACCAAATATAACATCCACCCCTTCAAGTATTATTTGCAATATTTACCCCTGAAAAGATTTTGTATCATGAATATAATCTTTTTTTTTTATCAAATAATCGAAAAGTAATTTAATAACTTCAAATCAATTAAAAAGTTAATGCATTCTTTTTAAAATTTAAATTTTATCTTTCTTTGATCAAAGAAATAGCATAAAAAAAATTTATCGTTGGGTTATATAAAATTAAAAAGTAAATTAAATTAAATTATTGGACAAATTAAAAATAAATATATAAATATTATGAGTAATAAGATATTCTAAGAAAATAAAATATATTTAAACAAATAAGATTACAATGATTATTCATTGATCTCTTGAAAAACGTGGAGTTTTTTATATCTTATGCAGTCGTAATTGTTCAATATTTTTCTTTTTGTATATACACTTATTTATTACTATTTTTGTTCAATAACATAATTTTGTAGTTGTTTTTAGATTTTATTTAGTTGAACAAAAATTAGATTTTTTATGTAAAGACAATATTTTTTTAATTTGAAAATACAATATTGTTTCAATAAATATTTTTAATAAGAAAATTGAATTATTCGTCAATTATTCCATCTAATGAAAGAGAAGAAATTACAATAGATATTTTTGGACGAAATAAATTGAAATGCACAATAACTCGAAAACAATTAGACGGAATTGCCCTCGATAAATTTCTTAATTACGAGCATTAATTCTTGAGAGGGTTTAGAATCAGGATTGATAGTGAAGAATCCATGCTGCTGCCCTTCAAACTCAACATATTCAATCTTCTTTCCCCATTTCTTGAGCTTCTTTGCATACTCTTCTGCCCTGTCTTTCAAAAGATCCGACCCGCCAACTATTACGAGAATCGGGTCAAGATCCATGGTTTCTAGATTCGGGCTTACGGGCCCAAACGGGTTCACTAGTGGATGGTCCGTTGTTTCTCCAATGGGTATGGACAACCTCCAAAACCTTTATAAAGGGCAAAATTGTCAAATTACTACTACTTAGTGCATCATTAAAATTAATTAAATACATTTATTATTATGAATTTTCAATTTTCGCTGGTTCTGATCCGAAAGCATTTCATCATGGAGCAACTTCTTTCATTCCTTTTTGAAATTTCGATTTATGAATTTTTCATTTTTTAAAATTGGAATTGGAGTTGTATAAAAATAATAAAATATTGGCATTTTTTATTTTCAATTTTCAAAATTAATTCCTAAAATTTCGGCATAAATAATTCAAAATTTTACTTAGTCCAAAATAAATTAAATTTTTAATTAAAGGGTTTTTTTTATTCCTTCTAGTAAATTAAAACTTAGTACCTATTATTTTTGTCAAATTGAGTGTTCTTTTCTTTGGAAATTCGTGAAAATTTCGAAACTTTTTGAAATTTTAAAACTGATGTGATTTCCTAAATTTCAAAATTTCCGTAACTTTTGGACCCCGAATGAAATTTTAGGTTCCAATTTTTTTGGAATTGGTTTAGGCTTCACACTTCCAAAAAAGGTTAGATAATTTTCCGAAATGGTTAGTTCTGATCCGTTTCATCTGATTTTCACCCTAAATAGTGTCCTTGAAAACAAAATTTGTTTTCCTTCGGGGTCAAATAAGAAGTTATAAACTACATGGAGGACCTAAAAGTAATAAGCAAACCTGTCAATGAGGTCAATATTTAGGAACGCTTCCTTTGGTCCTTGGTCCTCAAATTTTGTCCTAACGGTCCCACCAAAAAATGGAGCCAAATACACATACCCCTTAACTCGGACCGGAGTCAACTCAGCCGAACCGGCTCCAAATCGAACCGCCAAATTATGGGCAATGTTCCCACCGGCCGAGTCACCCGAAATAAACACACGGCTGAAATCGGCGGCGTCAGTGAGCCACGTGTCAGGCTCATCAGCCGTGGCTTGGGATTGGAGCCACTTCACGGCCGAGTAGCCGTCTTCGATTGCGGCGGGGAGCCGGTTCTCAGGGGAAAGCCTGTAGTCGGGCGAGATTACCACGGCTTGGAGCTGAGAAGCCAGCTTGAAGCAGTAGTTCTGGCAGTTGGGCCACGCCCTCGAGCCGATGCAGAAGCCGCCGCCGTGGATGTAGTAGAAAATCGGGAGCTTGGGGGAGGAGGGTTTGGCCGGCTTGTAGAGGCGGAGCTGAAGGCTGTGGGCGGCGTCGAAGACGGCGTCTTTCCATAAGACTGAGCCGTCGTCGGGCACGGGCATTTCGAAGCTCGGCTTGTTGGAGCGCCATATTGAGCCGTCGCTGTAGACTCGAAGAACTCCACGGCACTCGTCCACCTCGTGCGGCGGAGTAGAGGCGGCGGCGGCGGGGGCGTTTTCGTCAATGGTTGTGGAAGACATTTGTGTGTGTTTGTGTGTGTGTGATCAGTTGACAGCAATTAATGATGATTATTAATAGGGAGAAAAATAAATAAAATAATTGAATATAGAAATGCAGAGAAAGTTGAATTAGGACGGCCGGTTTGTCTTTCTTATTGTTTTTATTAATTCAATAATCATGTGATTATGATTAAATTAACAAAATTGGAAGAGTAATTAAAGAATTGCACAATCACAATATTCAAGATATTTAAATTAGGTGTATGAATGTTGTTAAGAAGAATTGTGATATAACCTATTTAGCAATTAGCACTAACACGGGAATGCGGACACCGGACACAGACGGACAAGGAGAAACTCCCTTTATCGAAAAGTTGAAAATGTTTAATTGTTAAAAATACAGGGATACATTTATAATTTCTAAAAAATATTATAAAGTTATCGTCAATTACATATTTGTATCAACAAGTTGGAATCCGAATTATGATTCCACAAATTACATTTGAGGCATATAAATTTATTTTAGTATGAAATTAGCATCAACCGAAAATATTAGAACACCAATTTAAAAAAAAATAAGCGTATGCACCTTCGAGTTTATATTTGAAATGGATTTTTGAATTTTTTTTGTAGAAACGCATTTCCATATTTTCATTATTACCAGAAACATCCCTGAAACTTTTACATATTTAAGGAAATGGCCCCAAAATGTTTTCGCATGTGTCATGAAGTTTTGTTTTCCAAGATGTTTATGAAACGTGAAAACGTGTGTGCATAGTAGTTTCCATGCATCATAGAATATAACTATTTGATGCATATAATAAATATAAAAATGAATAAAAATGGGAAACCATCTTACAACGTATATAGTTGAAGAGGAACATAGAAATTAATTAATTAATTAATTAATTAGAGACTAAGTAATTAATTATTAAAGACGTCTTGAATATCCAGATCCTGCACACTTCTTGCACAGTACCATTCCTGTCATAACATTGCACCAGGAAAAAAATTTAATTAATATAGTAGAACCACAATAAATTAATATCTTCATTTATATAATATTTTTTTCTGCTCCCAACTCGATAAAAACGTATTAAATTATTAGTTCGATAATTTAATATATCGCTAAATTAATTGAATTTTGTTAGTTCCGACTGCATTAATTAATTTATAGAGGTTAACTGTATATGCAACATTTACTGAAATTCGTTTGAGCAAAATGGACAATTCAGACAACGATTTCAACTCAACATAGTCATTTGCTCGCTTTCGCCTAACAGAAAATACGTACTTCATTCTCGTTTTCTTGTTTCGTTCGAGCATGTCGAATGAATTAATTAGTAGTGTAATTAAGTTAATAGAATTGAAATTCAAAATATTTAAAAAAAAAAAATAGTATATATATACCTGCACCCTTGCAAACTTTACAATCAACAAGCCCTGTTTCAGCCTTCATCTTACCATCACTACAGAATACACATTTTGTTCCACCTGCTCACCAATAATTAATATAATTACCAATTTTTTGAATAATATTTAAATTTACTTCATGCAAAGATTTTGTGACACAGGAAAAAAAACGAGTATAGCTCACAATTCACGTCACACGAAATTAATAAACACGACTAGAGAATTTATCGACACATTGAAGCGACAAAAAAAGAATGTCGCATTGAACTTGCTATTTTTTTTTTCTTGAATTGTCGATACATTATGAATCGGAACTCGGTAGTTAGGGTTCGATATACTTCAATGGCGATTAGGAATCGAAATATCATGCAAAATCGGAAGGATCAAAACCACAATTTGGCATTAGTTTAATCAAAGACAATTAAATTTTTAGTTGAATTTAATATTTTTCATGTGAATTTTCAACTTAATATATCAGATAATATATCATTTATCTTTTAATAGAATATGTAATAAGATGAAGAAATACCATTTCCAGCACATCTTTCACAGGGTACAGGATCTCCCTACACAAAAATATTATTAGAAAAATAAATAAATAAAAATTACATATTGCTATAAATGAAATAAATTGAAATGGATGTTTCTTATTTTATTATTAGGGCAAATTACGGTCACCCCTGTGTTATGGTCAAATTATGAAAACACCCCTCATGTTTGGGTAATTAAAGTCACCCCTCAACTATGTATTATCTTACGAAAAAACTCCTCCAAAGGTAAATAATAAATTTAAGGATGTTAAATCGGTAAAATCGAATCGAAATTTCGATACGGCCCAACATTTCATACCGTTTGCCGAACTGAATATACGATTTGGTTCGGTAAATATCCGAATTACATAAATTTTATATTAAAATATTTAAAAGAAGGGGTGGTTGTAATTAACCAAATAAGACAGATTTTTTGTACTTTGGTCATACCTCAGATGTAGCTGTAACTAATAAGTCATTTATTATTAATTAATGGCATCACAATGCACTAAACCTCACATTATATAATAACCACGAATTAGCATTAATTAATTAATTAATTAAAACAGAAGAAAAAAAAGAGTGAGAAAAATAATTAAATGAATTACCTTGAGACCAAGAAAAAGGGAAAGAGCAATGGCGACCAAAACACTGACGGTAACTAAGAAAGTCTGAGTGTCAACAGTGGGTGACGATTCAATTCCGGTAAACAGCAAAATTGGGTGCTTTGGAATTTGGATTTGTTCTTGAATTGAAATTTGGGAAGGAAAATAAGAAATGGGTGGTGAGGATAAGATTGAGATTTCTGAATTTGTTGGAATATTGGTGGGGAAACTGTGGTGAGAAGAGATAAATAGAGACGAAGAAGAAGAAGGTGGTGAATGAGAGAGAGCCGCCGCCGCCGCCGCCGCCACCGCTTGTGGTGGTGGTGGTGGTGTTGCCGCCATGTATGGTTGTGGATGGAGATTGTAATATGTGTGGAGGTTGGTTTTTGAGTTCAGACGTTTATTTTATTTTTATTTTTTGAAATAAAAATGCTTCATATACGACACCGTTTTGAATTAAAATATTACCAGGAAATCACAATGTCATATGTCACATGTATTTATGAAAAAAAAATAATTCAAAATACATGTATTTATAAAATAGAATACGAGATTAAATATTATTTTGCTATAAACACTCGTCTTGTTTTATAAGATTTTATTTAATAGATTGTGAGATATTAATATTTCTCAATATAAATATTAAAATATTGATGTAGTCTAAAGGGCTCAATCACGAATTGAAAAAGTGGAATGTGCATGAAGTGAGAAAAACCTAGATAAGAAGAAGATCACGTGTTCGCATAAGGGTTTTTCGCCGTTAGCACTCTCATGGTCAAGTCAGTCGGAATTGCGAAGAAACAATATAAGTGTAGTTAGAGAAATATGATAAGAACATTAGAAATACCCAGGAGAGTCGTCGTCCCCTTGTGCTTAAGACTGTATTTATACATGTCGTATGGATAGGGTGGTGGGTCCCCCGTTATATCTTTGATCTAATCACACGTGGGAGTGATGTGAATACTACTAGTTGTGCTTGTCTGCAAAGGTCAAGCTATCTTGCTCCCCGCGATCTGGATCAGTTCAATGGAGAGAGCCCGCTGGTGTGGTCGCTCTTGGTTCTACCGCAAGTGGACCTCTCCTCGGTCCATAATCATGTTGCAGGCTTTCCACCTTTATTACTAACATTGACGCTGAATATAGTCGCATCTGCCTCTATTCTATCCCTTGTGGGGACAGTGACAGGCTGGCTCTATGAAGTGTTAGTAGACAATGTGGGATTGCACACGAGTCGCCTTTGAGCTTCGTGTGATATTCTTACTATTTAGACTTTAGAGCAATTGAGCCCGTATCAAATACAGTGCGAAGCGAAACACATTTGTGTGCTCTCCTTCTCAACTGCCAACCGTTTATCCAAAATATGCATAGTTACAAATATATTTGAAGTGTCTATAAAACATTGACAAAAAAGACTACAACATCAAATAGGTCAATGGTCCTTCCTCTTAACAAGTCTCATATATTATATGATGAAACCCAAACATGCAATCCTATACAGTGTTTTGTTTACAAGAAACCAAAATCTTGCTGACCTTCTCTGCAACAGTTGTATGCACACACACACACACGCCAAAATTTCCTATTGCAAAACTGTGTAGGTTATATAATTTACGAACAAACTCAACGAAAAAAAAAAAAAAGACGCAATAAAGTTATCAAACATTCAACCGAATTGACCTTTTGCAGTAGAGAGATACATCCCACAGGTGGGGAAACTCATCGATATGTATCAGATAAATCGAGTCAACTCGGATAAGACCAAACGAATTGTACGGCAATTCGCACTTTCTGGTATTTGATTAAATTGAGCTTCCGATAATTTAATCAAGATTCAACCAGGTAAGCCTCTTAATTGTATATCTTCACAGCCTTCTCGTATGGGGGACGATACTGAACAAAAGTTGGTGATCTCAGATATTAGTGTAAATTTTGTAAGACAAAAATATAAAAAATCCATCACACGGCTCGATAATAGTGAGAAACGAGAAATACATTATTTGCGTTGGAAATGCTTTATTGTATGCTCATGCATATAAAATTTAGCATGCCATTTAAAATTACATGATAACAAAGCGAAGCAGATTATACGATATCAAACAGATTATTGGTAATTTTTCCGAAATTTTCTACTAGTAGAATATCAACGAAAAAACGGAAGCAACTTAGGGCATGAAATGAAAATTGATGGAGACGAGTTGAACAATGCATGTAAGGAAATACCTGATTTGCTGCAGTAGACCTTTTAGGGGTGTTATCTATGTGCTCCAGCCCAAGATACTGCTCCCAAGCCACGCCACTTCTCTGTAGGCTCCAAGATTCATAATCATGAAATATATACATTATCGTAGATACTAGTTCATCATGAACAATACTATGGCATTAAAACGGCAAACCAACAAAAGAGAAGAGGTCGCTCTTTGTGTTTGATTGTGTGTGCGTGTGTGTGCGTGCGTGTGTGTGTGTGTGTGTGTGTGTGAGAGAGAGAGAGAGAGAGAGAGAGAGAGAGAGAGAGAGAGAGAGAGAGAGAGAGAGAGAGAGAGACCTGTAAACGAGTGAACAAAATGTCCGAATCCTCAAGGTACTCGGCCCGACCTTGTGAAACGGAAGCAAATTTCCACTGGACATAAGAGATGGGTGCATAAGAAGAAAGTAGAACCACCAAAGGCAGTATAATATTAGCAACGACATAAAGTAACTAACAAAATCAGGTCTGAGGCATACAACCTTAGAGAACTCTTCATCTGGCACAAGTAACCTTTTCTGTAAACGGTTCTTGATATGAGCTAAAGTCTCATCCTCGTGAATGGCCAATAAAAAGGGATCGCCAAAGTTTTGTATTTTCTGCCAGAAACAAAGTGGAATATCATGGCACGGAAAGAGCAAGTAGAAGTGCGTTTGATGGACTAATTTTTCCCCACTATAGAACTTCAGAAAAATATACATGTAAACAATCAAAATGATACCATTTGGTTCTGATTTTCTTCATTCATAAAGTGATATACGTGAATCAAACAATCGTGTGGACCAAGATTTTTCTCTTCCTCGGGTATCTGCAAAAAAAATACCAGGATGGAAACTTCTTGATGATGAAGATTAATGATGCAGACAGAAGCCATGCACCATAAAGCGAAAGGGTCACCGCCTATTACAGGATGGCAGTAGTAAGGATCACAATAACAAGTGCAATTTCTTTAGCTACATATGCATGACCTAAAAATTATAGTTGCTTATGCTGCTGAACATGCAAATTAAGACGAAGAATGCCACTATAAAAGACAAAATGCCATGGGTTATTATTAAAGATTACAGTAGTAAGGATAGCAATTAACATTCCATAATCTTCAGCACATGCATGGCCAAAGAATAGTAAAATTTCATGTGTGAGCATGCATGCATGCACACACACACACACACAGAACGAGAAAGAAAGAGAACCTCCTCTGCCCGTAGAGTCCAGTAATTGTCATTTATGCTCTCTATCTTTTCACTAGATGAAAATATCTGCAAAAAAATAAAAAATCATGTTTCAGCAACTAAATAATGTCCCAATCACTTATGTGAAGATTTACAATGTCAACAGCATTTAATAAAGCAGAAATTAAAATAGTTTAATGAGCTCTAACTTCTTTTTACTCTATGATAGAATTGCTCATCCATTTGGGATGACAAGATACAATCTATCAGGGGTAAGGTCGGATGATAACCATGTCAACTGTATGATGGAAATTTAAGAAGAAAACAGTGCTATTGTTTTTGGTATGTAATTTCACCATCTAACAAGGGGTCCAGGTGAAATTAACCCTAATAATAATAATAATAATAATAATAATAATAGAATCAGATAATGAAGGAACCAGAATTTAAAGACCTTGTAGATCCTGTGGGTGAATACTTCCAGCAATCTAAGTTCTGCCTCTGGATGAGACAGCTTCGCCTGTGCAACATTGAGCCACATAAATCAAAGGAAGTTGTGTTAGTGAGTAGAGGGCATCGGGAAACAAATTATTCCTAAAAAAGTAACAAAGAAACGAAAAGTTCCAGTTCTAAGGAATGAATCCCACTTAATTGTTGATCGAACATATTAAACCAAAATTACCAGTCGACCAGTTTACCTTCATCCTGACATCATCAAGTACATCACTGACGGTGCTTTCTTTGGGCAGTCTAATATTGTGAATATCCATCTAGGCAATAGGAGAGATGGGAGAGTAATAGTATGTCAAACATATAATAGAAGAATGATGTGTATGCCAAGTGCATACTACTCACACAAAATCCATTATAATGCCTGCTTACTCACTTCATTGTTTGTTGCATTACGGAAAGCTACTTTAAGTGTTCTCAGACCTTGCAATTCTGGCAGAGGCATATCCAAGACTTCATAGTACAAAATATCAGAAGTCTGACCAAAATAATATGTCAGTCAATGTTTCAGTCCTTGTGTGTTGTGAACTCTAACTCTCAGTGTTGAGTAATGGTTTACCTGATTGTAGTGCAGCAACATGTCTAACAAATTATCTACTCCTCGATACTTTATGGGATGAGGTTTCGGTTGCTGAGAGTAAGAATTGTTTGATGTAAGCCTAATTTTAGAAGGATCATCTACTCCGAGTTGTTGAGCTGCTCTTTCTACAACTTCATCATATGTATCAAGCTTCGACCTTCATATCCAAAATTATGCGATTAGCATGCAAATTAACAAGACCAACTAAGATAAAAGATGATAGTTTGTCGCATTCATAATTTGTTTGTTCGACTGCACTTACAGTTGTAAGCAAAATGCATCCTCCTTAGGCTTGTCCAGGGGCCGAAAATGAATAACCTGCATCACATTCAATGCAGAAAGAAAAAAATGTCTTCAGAAACTCCAGAAAGTGATCTCTAGACGACAACTGAACGAAAAGTGGTGCAAAAGAGTTTCGGAGTATGATTTACTTAAGACGGCATCAAAGTATAGGTAGCTTTATATTGTTCTACAAGAAACATTACTTTAATTCCCACATTCTTCTCCCAAAACATCTTTTCCGAAAATAAATCGAAATATGACCCCAAAAGAGGGCCGGACATGGTCTAAGCTTCTCCCATCACTGTCATAAAAGGATTGGGTCTTACGAGTTCTGAAGTCAAGGAGCTTAAATGCAAGGCCCATTGAATCCAAGGTACAATGCACATCTATGTAGATGCAACTTAGTGGTTTTTATAGCATAAAATCCAATAGTACTTCAGTATCAAGTTCTAAGGCACTGGTGAAGATAAATTTGTATGACTTGAAAATATTAGGCCTAGGTCATTGTGTGAAGGTCAGGAGGGTCCATGTCAAATAATATAAGATATATCAAACTTAAGGACATGAAACTGAGATGATCAAAACCATTGCTAGAAAACTGCAACTATGTGCAGCTTGTATATCATGTCCTGGATCCTTTGATAGATCGAATCTAAAACCTATACACCAAATTCATCAAACATATAAAGAAACCTATATGCCAAATAGCATTCACCGAATGTTTAATAAACATACTTGGAGATTGTGCCGGTATTCGAAGAATGATGGAACATTTGGACAACGAAGTCGCTGGCTAACTTCGGCTGGGAGAGACTTCTGAAAGCAAACTATGTCCCCATCCTCAAGCTGCAAAACGCAAAGGGAAGTCATACATATATTTTCTGCTCATACATGTGATTATGATTGAATAAATACCTGGCTGGATTTGAATGTAGACATCTTGTTTATGTGTTCACACATCACACTGGGATCGAACTTTATTTCCTGAGAATGAGAAACAGAAACAGAGGACAATATGAACAGAATGAGTATCTCTGACTAGAGTAAATGAATAAAAGTGATAAATACTGCAGTATGGACAATATGTTCAGCCTGGTAGTAACCTCTTCTATTAAAGAGCAGATAACATCAATGTATAAGAAAGACACAGGGAGTTAAAATAATTTAAATACAGCCAGCAGAGAGAAGACCAAATTTAGGCATGAAAATTGCAACAAACCTCATAAATTTCAATGTCTTCATCAGGAGCATATCCTGCCATCTCATTTAATTTAGTCAATATATCTATTGGCTTGCCGATGTCCTTCACAAAAAGTCTTCCAACATATCTGGCATATTATGAAGATTAAATTTAATGGCAACAGACGGTGATTTTAGCTTCACCTTTCTTCTATTTTCAGAGATGCTGTAATCCATATAAGAAGTAAAAACAAGGATCAGGAACGAGAAGAATACCTAAGCTCTTCCTTCTCAGGGTCATAAAGTTTGAAGAATAACAAAATGTCATCTTTCACCCTATCAGGAAGAGTGATAGGCCTCAAGTCCTAAATGAAAACATAGAAACTCATTAACAATAGTTATTAAACAGGAAGGTTAATTAACGATACTTTTTCAGCTTGTATAGGAACAGTTCGATTACCGGTCCAAGCTCTACTTCTAAGAATAACTTCAGCTCTGCATTCTGGACCTTATTACATAAATCCCTCACATGTCCAACCTACAACCACATAACCATTTGAAATGAAGATGCAGATAACGTATATCATTTGGCTCACACGAAATCATGATAATGGTTATCTTGTATGATAAATTAATCATATTTTAAATCCTTTTTACATGCAACTTAATAACTTGAGGATACAGAAGATTTAGTTAATTAGTGTCTTCTGTTTGCATCTGTGTACAGGGACACAAGTTAATATTAGGATATTTTTAATCAAGTTTTGATATGTGACTGCAGTATATTAGGATCAATAATCGATACTACCCAAGAAAGCATATATAAGCAACTTCGAAGTTGGGCATGGCATAACATACTTATAGTTAGTTTGTAAGTAAACAGTGGTTTTGCTTTAGTCGCTAAGGACTTGTATCATGTATAGAAGTTATATACAACATGTTTGTTAATGTCAACATGTATGTTCTGCCATGCATGGTAAACAAAAAATTCAGAGTAACATAAGCTCAAATATAAAGCATCAGTGCAACCTCCACAGAATATTACCAAGTATATACCTATAGCTAAAATATAATATGCAACGATCTTCATATATAAGGCACTGGGTTTTTGGTAAACTTAAAAAAGTCATAAGGTCTAAAAAACCAACACAGTTAATTTACTGTTTAATTGTCTACAATCTACATGCAACACAATCTAATAATAGAAAGAAAAAAAAATTAAATTCCTGGCCCTGGGGGAGGATAAAAAGAGTAACTCCATAATGCTGGTACCATAGTTTAAACCTATATATGCTAGAATGAAGGCTTGAATTAATAAATCCTAGTGCAAAATACTTTTTCACAGTTATATTAGCTAGTAAAACTGATCACAAATAATATCACCAATAAGAAAACAAACTAAACTTGCGGAGCAACTTTGAATTCAATGACGAATATGGATTAAAATACAAAATAAGAACCCAACAACATATATTAGTCAAAACGGTGAGGAATAAAATGTGACAATTTAGCAAGTGATAAATTAGTAAGCAGCAAAGATGCATACAGTTTGTGCCTCCTCAAAGTGTGTTAATGGACGGCTTGGACGATAGGTGTGATTTTGGCGCTTTGCCCACAGCCAAAATCGCTGAAACTGTACTGGTATACCAAATTCTTTTGCAACCTCTTCCTGGAATTAGCATAGATTAGCTGATATTTTAATACTAACAATGACAATGATCGTAATCAAAACTTCAATGATTTGATAATCAAGGGATACTAGCATGTAATATGGGTCAAGTTACTTGAGAACATAATTCACAGAGAACGTAGTATTTGACTTCCAGAAGAGCAAAATGTTATTGACGCATAATATGTAAAAAGAAAGACGGCGGTAAAACAGAAGAATCAGATCTGACAATAAAGAAGTATACTCAATAGTACATAAGAAATCATCAAATTTACTGACACTTACATTATGTGTTTTTCTACAAAAATGGCTTATAAAATTTCCTATATGTACATTTTCCTATACGTGCTATATATTACGTACTCTTGAAAGAGCAAAAAATATCAGCAATATTGGGACATTCCAGCGTTCCTTTGTCCTCTTATCTTATATATTGGAAGAAAAAAGTCCAGTCTGGACTAGAAGGATTTCACCAATGGCGCAGCACAAATTAATTCCACTTTCTTGAATATTCTTGCGGATCTACCCATCAGTTTTGTAGCACGTGAACAGTGAATTGCAATTCTACTAAAACATAATATTTTCCCAGTTCCAAGTTGTTCTAACTTTAGTTGAGTTCTGATGGTTCTCAATTACAATGTACATCTTAAAGAGGCAACATCCATCATTGTTAAGTTTCTATCTAAGGCATAGTTTCAGGTGATGGGCCAAGTTAATCTCCAAAAAATTTACATATTTATCTAGTATATCCTCAATGACGTGACGCCGGAGGAGCAACTCTATTTGATTGAGAGTACTCTTAACAATATCTTTCTATATCGAGGCTCAGACTGGCATCAATGATTTTACCCAGTGGAGCAATTCAGCGTACAGCCTCGCACAGCCACCGGTAGTCATGATAAACCTAAAGACAACCACAGTTCACCAAACCAAGTTTAATCTTAAGTAGAAAAACATCCAAAGCACTCATTAGGAAAGTTTAGAGTGGGAGTTTTGGAATATGCTAAAACGAATAAAGACTAGCTACTTTAGGAAAATATAAACCCTCCTTATACATACCTGCTTATATCCATACCAGGAACGAGCATAGGACTAGCTTCTTGGTATTAATAACTTTCCAATTGAACGAATCCATTACAATTCAGTGAAATATTGACACTAGTCACCTCAAATACTGCAAGCTTAGAGCTTACTCTTATCATAAAGGATGATTTCTCTACCAACTAGGTTTTTCTCTTATATGAAGAGATACAACACATTGCATCACTAATAGAAAGAACTAGTACGAAGCAAGATTTATGTACCTTAAAAATGTTAAACGGCATCAGCTTCTGGACACGAAAACTCCTAACTTTGTCATGATCCACTAAATCAAAGAATACATGCTTCCCAATCTGCCAATTAAAATCTTCATCGCATGCAACCTGAAAACGTCGCACTATTATCTTATAGAATGCAACTATGCAAGTAAGTTAAAATGGAGAAGATGAAGAAACAAATAGTTGCTCTGCCCAAGAATTATGAAAAAATTACCTTCACAATTGAGTAAAGATGTGCTTCAGCTTTTTCTTTCTTTTTTTGTTCTTTTTCTTCTTGTTCTCTCTTCAGCCTCTCCTGAGAAACATTGTAAATTTTAGTAACCAAATATATCAAGAAAATAAAAGGAATGGGTCAGTTGTCAAAATTAAGCAAAATCGTATGTTGGTAGCGTCTAACCCTAAGATGTTCAGCAATGTCCTTCTCCTCAACTTGACACATTATCTTATCCTTGTCACTTTCACGTATATATACCAGCATATAAGCATTAGAGTGCTTCGTAAACTTGAAGTGAGTATTATTAATTCCCGGGTTTGCCTGCATCAAGTGCTGAGAAGAAAAATAAAAAGGTTAAGTTGTCAACGAATTAGAAGATAGACAAGCATAATAAAGCAATCGATTTAAAAAAGAAGGAAGAAACTACGACATTATGGAGAACTTACTTCTTCTTCACCACCATACAGCTCTTCTAAAGCCATTTTCATGTCTTCTTTTGTCACTCGTTCATCATCAAATTTATACCTGAAAGCCATTCAGGATTATTTGCATTGTGCAGTACAAAATGAATTATATATATATATGTGATGATCCTTGTTCAAGCAATTCGGATTTCATAAAAACTTCCCGATTCAACCAGGAACCATTAGAATTTCATCAAGAGAAATGACAGAGAAAATGCCTGAGACGATGCCTATGTAATTTTGGCACAAAAATTAACTACACAAGAGAACAATGGCAACTACCTATAATTTGACTAGGCTCATAGAATTGACAAGAAATTTGGACATAAGATCCCACCCTATCAGCAAGAGAACAAATCTGACATCACAAAACAACTCCAGAACGAAGAACAATGCATAAAAGAGGGAAGAGAACTTGTGAATTCAAGATGCATCATATTTATTAATGGACTTGCCGAGGACTTGCCGAAGGCTGATTAGAAAATGATTTAGAAGTATGTATTTATTTTGTGATTTATACATGCTGAGCAATCTGTGCTTAAACTGCATACCACTCGCTGGAAAGAGTTGGCCTAATAAAGGCGTAATAGTGTCCACCGTGCACCCCACCACTGTGGACCAAAACACTGCAAACAGTCAAAGTTGTCAGAACATACGGAAGAGTTGGAAACATTCAAAATTTTGCAGCTGGATGATAAGAAATATTCTAGATAGGTAAAGAAAGACTAAATACCACCTCAAACACATTAAAGCCCAAATTACTTATGTGTGTCTCAAATTGATTGTATGATTTGGAATGGTTGTAGGATTGTATATGATTATTTTGAATAAGTTCATTTCAGAATATCATATAATGTTTGTATCAAGCATGAGCGAAGCAGCAAGATAATTCTTCAACTCAAAGAGTTAATAAAAATATAGCAAGTCAGGAAAAAGTGAAATTCACAATGGAAAACATTTACATCAAAATAGAACGTATTGGTATTAAACCTCTTACGCAAGCAGGTTTAGATATAAATATATAAGGATGATCTAGGGTGGAAGGAGACATGAACTCAGACATCGAAGCAAAATGCGACCACTTAATCCAAACAAAATGGTGAATAACATAGTAGATTCTTCACTGAAAATCGGTACAAGGAGTAAATAGGAAATAACATCTCATCATCTGACCTGTGAAGTGTGTAAAGGTTGCGTACTGTTCTATCAGCATCTGGTGACAAATATTTGCCATTCTCCCTATCCAGATCAAGTTGAAGAGGGAACTCATAGCGGTCATTTATCTGCATCATCAGAATCAAGAAGATTAATTACTCTCGAGATCACATCATTCTTGAGGGGATAATTTCTAGCTCTCTTCCTTTTTATAACAGCGCGTACTCAAGCACTAGCACATAATATATCGATTAACACCAAGAGCTTTTATTTCAGGACCACCTCTAACCCCGTACAGTAACAAATGCAGTATGAGGAGTCCGGAGGCAAGGGAGGTGGGCACGCACATCTTTTGATGTGTCAAATGTTCACTCATGGAAGTGAGCTTCTATGATGAGTTTCAACAGTAATAACAGCTTAAGAAGCCCCCAGAGAAAGAACGGATAAGCTGAAAAGCAGGGATAACGGCTTTAAGTAATGGATTTAGCCAACAAACTTGCTCATTCTTTTACACCCTAATGCCAAATAGCACAGGTATGTCACAATATCCATGGTAATACTTACCCAGGCCCCAACACGCTCACTCCCGAAATCACCTATACACCCCCTAGTGTGAAAAAAGTTATAGGGTTAAGAATCAACTAAATGGCTTCTGTGTTTTCCAAAATGATGAGACCTAGGTTGCCCGTGAACCAACAATCCATCTGTAAGTTGCCATTTCAAACCTTACGGGATTTATGAGGGATAACATAATAAGTGGTATGACACAGTTTTATTGAAAACAACGCGAATTCAGGAAGATGATATAATAAACGGCATAACGAACAAAATAAAAATAAAGGTGATACAAAACTATAAATGTTAATCTATGCTCTTGCCATGTCTAACCACTAGACTGTATTAGGCACCAATATTACGCTTCAATATAGGTAGTTTTGTTTGAAGAGGCCGACTACCTGGATTCATGAACTGATTGTAATACAAGTAGTGCATTCAAATATGGGTATCTAATCTAGATCATTTCATCCTCTATACTGCAAATGTTATCTGTATCGTATCCATAACCAAGAGTGTGCTAAGCCCGAGACAATGAGTTTGACTATTGGCAGAGTGTTACTTTCCATCAACCAACTTTTGCCCATTAATTAGGAAACCATGCTTCACACCTGATCCACATGATAATGCTAAAAAAAACATTGAACTGGACGAATGTCCATATCAACCTCATCTCTTTCTATTCGTAGGCATAATGGAAACAGTGAATCAGGCAGGCCCGTTAAATTGGAAGAACATCTTATTCTTAACTGCTCACCTTTATCATAATGTCACGCACATAGTCATATTCAAACCGCTTTAGGTGAAGCTGGAGAACTGGGGGAAAGTCAATAAATAAGACCCCTTTCTTAGCATCCTACAATAACATAGCAGCAGTTGAAAGAAGGTTATTCAGCACAACACAGATTTTATGGCATATATAAACAGGATAATAGGACAGTCCTACATTGAATAAGGTTAAATGAAATCAATCAGATTTTAGTTAACAGGCAACACAACATTTATGAAATCCGCTTGAAATAAACCTGCAAACCATGCTGTTCAGCTTGATATTTGTTATCGCCATCGAGATGTTCCACAGCAACATACTGATCAAATGAAGCATAGACATCATGACAGCCCTTGACATCAAGCTGAAGATCTGTCACACAAAAAGATAAAAGTGTTCAAAGAGATCAAGCGAAAACACAACAGTCAGGGCAATGTAAGTTGAAATCTTGTTCAAGGTCAAATACCATAGAACGACTCCTTTCTACTAGATTTGTAGTCCACATTAATGCACTCAATGTAGTTCATATGATGACCTTCAAATAACTGCTGTATAGCGCCTTCCACAACAGTTCTCTACCGAAGCATGACAATAGTTAGTTAAGAACAATATCCAAGTTTGAAGTAATTAGGAGAAGTGTAATATATATCTAAGGACCTTCATCTTTTCTTCAAGCTTTTCACAGAGAACTCTATTGAGCTCTTGTACATCATGTTGCAAAAAAGCATCGTATGTGTCCCATCCAAACGATTTTGTCAACTCCTTTGTCGCAACACTGTTGCCACTGTATTGTAGCTTGTAAAATAGACTCTGAAGGGCTAGAGAGATGCTTGCAGATGGCATGTCATTAACGTTAGTTGGCATGTGGTATACAGCCTGAATATACAATCAAAGATATGACTCCATTTGGGGGGTGAATAAAAGAGCTTGATATAAACAACTCATATACAGCACACAAACCACTGACAAAGAACCTAACCTTCCTGAAATAAGGAATATGGTATAGCGTTTGGAGGAGAGAGTTCATGTAACAGGTAGCCCCTTGGTTTTTGAGTCCTACAAAACCAGTTTCTTTCTTTGAATCGTATGACCATGGATCGGCTTTATAGACTGCAACCTCGGCTTCAATTACACAGGTGTCATTGACAAGATAACCTCTACTTGGATCATAGAGTTCACCAAGTGGCATAAAGGATGTAAACCCCCAATCATTTTCTCGAGCATTGAATTGGTGTTGTGTTTCTGCATGGTAAGTAAAAGAGTTCACCAACTGCAATTAAGTCAATTTTACCCACATTCACTCAGCTTAATCTGTCTTTGATTGAAATAAATTCAAACCCATCATTTGATGTTTACTCTATGCAAATACACACATAACAGACAAAAAACACCAAATGCCAGCAGTTGCCACAGATGTTTTGGTGTATCATCATTTTGTTAAATAGATTCATACAGTCATGTCCAATCAATGTGTTATAGCATTGTATCAAAACCAATAAACAGAAATTATCCTCAACAGGGAAAACGACAACATTAAAGATGAAGATCATGACACTCGTAGTATTCAGGTTTACGCATCTTTTCTCAAAGTATATGTTCGCACTTATACTGCCGATCCATGCTTGAAACTATGAAAATTATATATAATGAGGCTGTGGCCCTATCTACAAAATCCTCTAGCTTGATGTTAACTAAACTTCTTCTTAGAACTATCAATAAAATCCTCTAGCTTATCTTGACTAGCCAGATGATCAAATTGACACAAATAACATGTTTCTCTCAATTCAAAAGGAACGAACTAATGACAAGAAACTATATAAGTTTGTTACTGCGCTTGAAGTCACAATGTCACTGTGTGCTGTACAGTATGGAGGGGTAACTAGAAAGTAGTTTTCCCAATTCAATCAGACCCCTTTAAAAAATAAGAAGTGCACATACTAAAATTTAAATGACATGCAATGTGCATACATCCCCCAGTAAAAAAAAAATCAGGACTGTTGTCGATTGGATAAATTTCTCTCACTCCAACCCATATAATTCATGGTAAAACCACAGTTCTAGCAAACCAAGGTAATAGCATACAGTGTAAAAGAAAGGTTTATTAGTGGGGTTATTTAGCCACAAAAACTGTAAAAGGATTTGAAGTACCTTTCCTGACTGAATACTTGCTATGAACTTGATTGACAACGGTCAAACTGAAGTGGGCATATCTAGTCCATCCATAAGGTAAGGAAGCAGAATCAGCAACATCCAGGTACATGGATAGAAATTCTGCATTGTTCCCCTTCGGAAAAATAAGAATCCGCCTGAAGCATAAAGGGAAACCAATCACCACCGTTAGGCTCGTCAAAAAGTTTTAATCATCAAATGATGCTCCCAATTTGTATCCATTAAAAAAAATTACCATTTGTATTCACCGAGGTCAAATACTCCAGAGTATAGCTTCTTCATACTCGACCTAGAGAAGTCTTCAATCTTCCAAGAAAACTTGGCCGTGCGAGGATCCTCTGCTGGCTGATTGTCTGCAGTATTCTCTGCTGCCTCTGATGCTACGAGAAATAGATCGAAAATGAAAAACAGTCAAGTTAAAATAAAAAAAATTAAAATTTTTATCAATGATGCGTCCATGAAGTTAGATTCCTATAAAGGTAATAGAATTTGAACAGCATTTAGTTCTCTCTCATTTCTTAATTAATACTGCAATAAAGGAAGACGACAAAGACATAACAACGTCACTATATTCATTTAACCTCACATACCAATTCCGGATACATTAAAAAATTATGCACGGCAAAGAAACAAATATGTCTATTTATGTGCTGCATAATTAATTGTTTACGACCAACTCTTTCCCACTATTTATGGATATCTCCATTAGAAAATTACTTTCTTTTCCAATTAAAGCAAACGATAGAAACTTCTGGTTCCCATAAAGTACAACCAGACAATACATACAAGTACATATATTTATCACTACACACCATCAGATACTCAACTTTCCGTGCCCTAGTTTATGATAAGAGTTGCCAAAATCAATTGTAAACAGATGGATACATACATACATGTATATATATATATATTTTTCATTTCAATGTAGTAAAATTGACAGAGAAAAAAAAAAAACACAGAAACAGCAATCACCAATTAAGTTACCTTCCCTGGGCTGAGGCCCTTCAACCAATCCCGATCGCGGAACCAACATATCCTCATCCTCTTGCTGCCGAAAAAAAACAAAACAAAATAAATAAAAACCACGCACAAACAAACGCCATTCACTTGATCGCTACTACAGCAATAGAAAACGAACCAGGAAACATAAATAAATAAATAAATAAATAAATAAAAATTAATCAGCCAGGGATTGTTAAAAAGGAAACAGACAAACAGAGACGTGAGCGCGTTGTCCGCGCGAAAACACACACACACACACACACACAGTAAAAGAGTTGGAGGTTTCAGTGTGCATCGGGGAAGAAAGGGGGTTGACGAACCTCATTGGGGGGAGGAGAAGCCATTACAGTCATGTGAGGAGAGGTTTGAGTGAAATCTGTGTGCTCGAATTTCACCTCAATTGGAGTGAATTTAATTGGATTTGTGCAGACGTGTTCGGGCAAAGGGGGGAAAAAGGTGGTAGGGAAAGAAGAAAGGGGTGTTTTGGGGATTTCGTTGGTGAATTGGTAAATTAATTAATATTTTAATAATTTGAATAACCTAAAAACTAAAAAGTATATCTCATATTTTAAGAAGAAATACAGTATCTGTTATATTCAATTTTTTATTTTATTTTAAACTCAATATCAATATATAATTACTTCAGAGTTCCTATAATGGAAGTTATTTTATTATAATATGGAAAATCTGCCAAGTCCTCTTCCATTTTACCAATATTTTACATGAAAAATCAAATCAAACTGCTTGATATTCAATTCGATATCGTTACTTAAAATTTAGATTAAGTTCGACTTGTCAGTTGTCCGTATAACGAACAAAAAATTGCATTGTATTTTGTTCGATTTATAAATGAAACTCGCTCAAATTTGAGCTCGATTGATAAGAATGATAAAATATGCAACTCGAATTTCATTTGTTTGTTTCATCTTGGCGCATTGTTAATTAAATGTGTTATTTGTTCGACTTTATTAGTTTAAACCCCTACTTAGCTTTTATAACGAACTTGATCGTCAAAGTAATTTCAAAAAGTATCGTTGATGCATGTGAAAGCCAGCACAAATTAATAGTTAGTCAATCTAGCGGGTTGGTCTGCTATGAAGTATATTAGAAGAGGCCAATTGAGCCCCCTGTGAATTTACATGGATCGATAATGAGTTGGAAATATAAAGAGAATTTATTGCGTATATAGCAATTCGAACTTCGAAACGATTATGTAAGTAAAAAAATAAAAATAAACGAGTCGTGAGAATTACATTTGTACAATTTGTTCAAATGAATGAGCTAATCATCAAGTTCTAATGGCTTGAAATATTTGGCATCTATAAGATAAGTACCAGCACTAACACGAACTGCCCATACATCCTTTGGTTTCCTCGACACAATCCTGCAAGTAAAATCGGACACCAATTATTCATTAGATAAATTATGTAAACTACTCTCTCTGTTCCACAATAACTGTCTCTTTTTAAAAATATTTTTGTTCCATATTATCTGTCACTTTAGATTTCCAATACTGCATTAAATGCATTTTTCCTGTTTTAACCTTATTAATGAAACTCTAATCATTATTTTTCTCTTAAAAATTTATAATTCATTAAATAATAAAGGTTGTTTTAGTCATTTTTATATGATTTTTCTAAAATCAAGATATATTTATTGAGTTTCTTAATCTTTGTGAAAAGTGAAAAGAGACACTTATTTAACGGAGGGAGTATTATCGAAGTTCGATTTTTTTTTTTGTTACAAATAAGTCCATTATATATTTTAAAATTACAAGTTGCCAGTCCATATATTCAATGTGAATGCATATCCATACTTGTAGAAAAAAAAAAAAAAAAACCAATATAGTTAGTATCAAATACGGAAAAAAAAAAACGTTATACCTTCCAACATCGCCTGGTTTGACCAAACCGGAATTGGCGCGCAAACAAGGGACCGAAGCTGCAGTCTTGAGCAACTGTGGGGCCTCCGTCACAATAATGGGCGAGCCGATTTCGAGTCGCGACCATTTTTCAGCTCCCGATTTCGTGTCCGGAGACGATGGCTCGCTCGAGCTACACTTTGTAACTATTATATGTTTGCTACTTAGGCTGCAAAGTTGCAAATGTGGAATTGGCCTTGCAAATGAACCGGATTTTGGCATGGATGACAGATTGAATGCCATGTTTGTGAGAAACTAAAAGAAGATTATGTGCTTGTGGTTCTTATTTATCTGACACTTAAAATACTTATGTTATATATTTATTATTTATTATTTATTTTTATCAAAGTGATAATAATATAAGTTGAATTTTGCCATTATGTGGGCCTATTTTTTATGTGGCCCACTTGTTAGTTCTTCATGATTATAATTGATAGGTTTAAGTTTGGGCCAAATTAATAAAATAGGAGGTCCAGTTCTTCAAAGTAGTATATAATTTACACGTTTCTTGCAAGGGACTCGATAAATGCAGGACGTTTGATGTAGGATATTTTATTTAATAAATTAAAATCTAACACAAAACAATTAGTCTAAAATTTGATAAATTAAAATCATATAGTAGGATAGTTTATTTAATAAATTATTTAATGTAGGACGCTTAATCACATATTAGGATATAATTTACATTATTTATTTTTGCCAGGATACCGCATTACTATTTGTCAGAACACGAGTAGTTTATTAAAATTTGAACATAACTCAGACTAGTGTCTACCACAGACAATGCTCGTTTTTTCTTAGTTTTCTATCGAATTGTTCCACCATTTTTTATGTTTTTATTTTTAATACAAAAAACCGCAGAAAACTATTCATTGTAAATAGAAGACATCTACTTATTCAATTTCAAGACAAATCTATGGACAAATTTTGAGTTTAGATTATTTTTCCTAAATTAAATCTAAAAGTTGAGAAACATAATTTGCATTTATGAGTATATGATTATTCTCTATTAAAATATAATTTATTATATTATTTTTTCCAAAATAATTATATTAACATCGAGAATTAACTACTAATAAATAAAAAGTAAACACTACTATATTATAATATTTTGATTATCCTAAATAATATCATTCAAATTGAAATTCAAAGATTTTTTTTAAATGATATTCTTTTTTTACTTTCATGATAAATATTTATAATATGATTGTTGGGATATAGAGGTTGGATTGAAACCCAAACTTCAAGTTTGATGAAATAAAATTTACTAATATTTATTGTAAAATATAATTATCATTGTTGGAATTAATTTTTAAAAATATTTTTCTATAAATTCTTATTTTAATTTCTATAAAAAAAATTCACTCATTATTATTATTGTTGGACTCGCATTATAAAAGAAGAGACCTTGAAAAAAGCCCAACTGGGCCCAGCGTAGTGTCTTCAGCGTAGTGTCTTCCTCAGTTCCTAATCTCGTTATCGTTTTCCGACTCTGCACCTCAAAATTAGGGTTAGGGTTTGGATCGCTCCACCACTGCTAATCCCGCTGCATCTACTTTTTTTTTTCTGCACTGTAATTCACCTGCGAAATCGTCAACAGTGATTAAGTTCGGCATGGGGAGGAGAGAGAAGACGGCGAAGGCGGAGAGATACACTTCGTCGGAAGAAGATAAAAGGAAGAGGAAAGCTGCAGTTGAAGCGGCGAACAGTGACGACGATGCAGAGGCCAATGAAGATCTCAGCTTGAAAATCATTGAAAAATTCAAGCAACGGCGTGGCAGTAGCGATCCCCGTAGCAGCGACGGCGCTTCTGAAATTGTTGTTACGGATTTGAGAGAGGAGAAGAAGAAGAAGGAGAAGAAGAAGAGGAAGAAGAGCAAGGAAATTGAAGTTCCTGAAGATTTCGTAAGCATTGATTTTTATTTTTATTTTCTAAATTGTTCTATTAGAAAGTTATTATTTACTTAAATGTGGTTGGTTTGTGAATGGGAATCGTATTTTTTTTTGCTAATAAAGTAACTTGACCATGTCTCAGGTTTCAAGTGAGATAGATACAGGGTTTAGAGATTTCTGCGGGGATTTGTTTCTGGTAGTAGTTCAGCTTGAAGCTGTTTTTATTAGTCTATAGAGATCATATTAGTCATAAGAAGCTGGTTAGATAATATATAGTAAACGAAGATGCTGCCTTCTTAAAAAGCACGATTTATACCACGAATTTCAAATTTGTAGAGAATACTTTTCGTTGAACATTTATGTCAGTTTCATTCTGATAAGAAAAGAGTTGGAAATTTTTCCACTGAATGTAATTATAATGATTCGGTTATTTTACGTTATTTCTTTCTTTTAAATTGATCAAATTGGGATGTTAGTGTTGTTGTCTGAGCTATTAAATTTTCCTATCGGCCTTAGGTGGACAATGTGAAAAACTATGAGAACCTGGAAACTGATAAAGCTGCTGAGGTTTCTACTGAAGCTGTTGAAACGAATCCTGTCGAGGCGAAGGACAATGTTGTCCTGAGGAAGCTTCTTGTGAGTTTCAGTAGTTTGTGTTCAAGCATCATTTTTTAGATAACCGTAAGTGTTTATGATGATTATCATGATGTCAGCGGGGGCCTAGGTACTTTGATGCTCCAGATAACAGTTGGGGAGCATGTTATAATTGTGGGGAAGAAGGTCATACGATTGCCAACTGTACTTCAGCTAGGCGGAAGAAACCTTGCTTTGTTTGCGGGAGTTTTGAACATAATGCAAAGCAATGTACCAAGGTGTGTGCTCGACAGACTTATTCTATTTATGTTACGATTACCACTACTCTTACTACGATTGTTTTAAAAGATCTTGCAACTGTTTTATGTTCATCTGTATCTCCTATGTGATAAGCAGTTTTTGGGTTTTAGATCCCAATACTTCTTGATCCCCACAAATCCTCTTGCCTTCTTCTTGATATATGGTTCTCTTATTAAACAGATTCTATAGAACAACATAACTGTACTGATGATAAGCAATCTGGGGTTTTCCTTTGTAAAATGTTTAAGTCAATATTGCAATCTAGCTATGTGTGTGAATTTGGTTTCGTAAGTGTAGATTCTGCTGTCCTTGCGTGTCTCTCTTGCTGAATCCTCCATTTGACCTTGCCTTTTCTTTTAACAGAAATATTGAGTTTGTAGTAAAATCTATTATTGAAGGTAGATAACAAAGACAGTTTCTGTCATTTGCCTAGACTGTAAATACATTACCATGCACTATGTATTATAGGTTGGTCGAAACAATGATTTGAAAACACATTACTAAAAAGAGGGAGGGAAGAGGGAGGCATGTCAGCATTGATCACATTATATCCATAATACATTCACACTTTTGATCATATCCCATCTGGAATACTTTTGAAACACCTTTGTGTATGACTGGACTTTCTTTATTATGAATCAAATGATTATGTTGTTTATCTTGAGTTCTCATGTTATATACATACACATGTATATATGTGTGTGTGTGTGTGTGAAAATGTGATGCTTAGAGGTTTGTTCTCTGATGCAATATGTTTGATTTTTTTGTTACTATTCTATTTATTTGAGCAGGGTCGAGATTGCTTTATCTGCAAGCAACATGGTCACCGTGCAAAGGATTGTACTGAGAAATACAAGAGTTCAAAGATGTGTCTAAAGTGTGGAGATTTGGGGCATGATATGTTCTCATGTAGAAGTGACTATTGTCCTGACGATCTCAAGGTCCTTATTTTGATAAATTATTGGAATTTTGTTTTTCTTTTCAGATTTAATGAGGCATTCGTTTATATCTTTTTTTTTTTGGTAGGAAATACAATGCTACATTTGTGGAAGTTTTGGCCATCTCTGTTGTATAAATTATAGTGACTCTGGTCCAAGAGAGGTTACCTGTTATAAATGCGGTCTTTCTGGCCATACTGGTCTGGTAAGTTCAGTTTACATCCTAACTTGGTCAATTCATATCTTATTACTTATCGGTTAAGGTCTTGAAATTTTTTGTTGTATTTGAGTTTTCAATATATAGATTACGATGAGAACGTGGTAGATTTATTTCCTTGTTCAATCTCTTTTAATTGGCCGCATACCGAATATGGTACCTTTCAGTCTTTACTTTTTGTGCATTGCCAGTTGGCAATAGGATGTGAGGAATGTAATGTAGTTGTGAATGATTCATGTTTTTGTAGTGGGGCGCATCAATGTACTTGTGAATGATTCATGATTCATGATTCATGTTTGCCATCGAACTCGACATCTTCGATTTTGTTGCCTTCCATTTTGTTATCTGATAATTATCTTATTCGTGCAGGCTTGCATGGGACACCGTGCAGAGACAAACGGTACAGTTACTAGTTATTCATGCTACAAGTGTGGTTTAGAAGGTCATTTTGCTCGTGAGTGCATGAACTCAATGAAGGTATGCCTCCAACTTCCTCAAGGCTTCATTTGGATTGAAGTTGAAAATAATGGATTTAAAACAATTTCAATCGAGTCCAAACGAGAGCGATTTGGAACCCACAAAATTGCTTAAACAATAAACTGAAAATGAGAGCTAGTGATTAGAAATTCATTGTCAATCTTGAAAAAATAAATTCCCAAATAGAACGATGACAATGGCCCTTTTTGTTTATTTTTTTTTACCAGGCTGGTAAAAAAATCCACGAACCATCAACCCCTAACCAGAGATCCTCGAAGAAGAATAGAGATGACCGCGTAGAAGCCAGGTCAGCCCCACACGACCTCGACAAGCCGTGGAAAAAGAAGAAATCTCAGTACACCGAATTTTCTTCAGCTGCAAAAACAAAACACAGAGGCGGTTGGATAGCTGAAGACCCTGAAGAAGATTACTATTACAGTAAAAACAAAGAAAATAATAATTGGAGATCGCCAGCTGGCTCGAACGACAGGAGAGCTAGAATACCTAGTACGCACGATGATTACGCATCGACCTCACATTCTTCAAGACGGACCCACAAGCTCAATTTCAGCAATTCGCCCGCGAATGGATCGAGCAGGTATTATCAGCACAGATACTCAACTTCGAGATTTGGTAACAATAGCAATGATGGGACGGGAAGAAATAATAACTGGTGGTAGGTAAATTCATTTTATATTATTTGATCAAACGGTTTTGGCTATATACGGGGGCGATTACCCCCCTGCAGCAATCTTCGGGGGGTCTAAATGGTGAATGGTGTTGTTGGAGGTTCCTCTTTGCCTTGTCTGAAGAAACTAAGTTATCTATGGAGATCTGAAAAGTAAGTACAGGCAAAAAGTATGGGGAACAATTACCTACTGTGTTTTATAAGCTGGTGGAAATGTAATATCAGCTAGTTGTTAAATTATTATTATAGCCTCATTTTTTTTCTTTTTGTTTATTTTTCCTTTTATATCAATGCTATCTGTTTATGTATGCATATGCCAAAACTACCCCTCACCCCACAATTAAAATTTTACCATTGTCTTGTTGAGATATGAATTTTCCTTTTTCTCTTTTCTTTGTGTTTTTTATTTTGTTCTTGCTAACTGAACCTGTAAGGCTATAATCGGCAATTTGTAATTTTTATTTTGTTTTCTCGTGCAGTTGCAATCTAATTCGATGTTTTGAACATGGAGTTAAGGTTGAATCATTGAATTGGACAAAATGGTAAATTACTGGCACCTGGCTAAATTTTGAAATAATTAATTTAATACAGAATTATATTTAAATGATTACTTTAAAAGGTACATGGCCAATATTTTTACCCTGCAGTGAAGTATCAGAATGAAAAGAAGAGATAAGAAACTAGGAAATCTAAATTATAAATAACCCCCTAAAGTATGTCTACGTGTTCAATTTTTTGTTTAAAAATTATCTAAATTATTTTAATACTCAAATACAATAAAGCCTCGATAAATTAATTATTGATAAAAACCCCCCTCTTGTTTGGATAATTACATCTACCCCCCTCAACTATGATTTTTTCTTACACCTCCACCATTATGGTGCCAAATTCAACATAATCATCTAGATTTCGGGAAATTTGCTCTAGTTTGTACTCGTTTTGTGTAAAAATACAGTTTCCGATGCACCAAAAACTGATATATACAAGCTAAAAATCACATATTATGATCATCTTGCTTCATAATGTAAAGTTTGAATGAGATAAAACGGGTACAAAAGTGATAATATTCCATATAATCTCGAAGATTTCACTAAATTTGAGGAGTTGAGGGGGTGGTTGTAATTATCCAAACAAGAGGGGTGTTTTTGTAATTTGACCATACCTCAGGGGGGGTGTTTGTAATTTACCCATTATTTTAATACTCAAATACAATAAAGCCTCGATAAATTAATTATTGATAAATTAGCAACATCGCTTAAATAATAATTTAATATATCGCTAAATTAATAAAATTTTGCAAGTCCTGACATGTATTAATTTATAAAAGTTTTAACTATATTTGTGATGGCCCTATTTTATTTCCAGATAAATAAATATATTTTCGTAATAAAATATTTATTCAAGTTCATTTTTTTTTCTAAAAAATTAGAAGTTTAAAAAAATTGATTTTTCCATCTAAATCACAATGCATAATTTTATCAAGGTAAATGTAAATACAAACAAGGAAGATTTTTTTAACCTAACAATAGGTAAAAAGAAAAACACTGCCAAGAAAGTTGAGAAATTGAAAAAGAACCGCCGTCTTCAAATCTCTACTCAATTCCCACCATTTTCTTTTTCTTCTTCTTCTTCTTCTTCTTCCTTCGCCCCCCCTCCTCCCTCTCTCTCTCTCTCTCTCTCTCTCTCTCTCTCTCTCTCTCTCTCTCTCTCTCTCTCTCTCTCTCTCTCTCTCTCACACACACACACACACACACACACACACACATACACACACATGCAATCGCAGAAACTCGCTCACCAACACGGAGTAGAGTGAAGCTTACGACAATCCCCTTCCGCAGCTGAGTTGTAAACTATCGAGAAATTACATCATGTACATAAAGCAGGTGATGTATTACGTTTTTTTTTTCCTTTTTTCGCCTAATTCATTTTATATTGTGCTCACTTGCTAATTGCATGGGGATCTCTGCTATAGGTTGTAATTGAAGGATTTAAGAGTTACAGGGACCAAATTGCAACTGAAACATTCAGTCCCAAAGTTAACTGTGTTGGTATAACATATTTTTCCTCTATGCCTTTTTTCTTATTTCTCTATTCGTCTCCTTGATCATGTATCGCCGTATAACGGTGTTGAATTTTCCAGAAGTAATTCATTTTTGAATATGTATTGTGCAGTTGGTGCTAATGGATCCGGAAAATCCAACTTTTTCCATGGTATATTGATTGCAAGTGTTTGACACCTTATTGTTTTTTCTTTCTGTTTCATCGGTATTGTTTTGACGATAAAACAACTTATATATACAGCAATACGCTTTGTGATAAACGATCTATCCCATAACTTGCACAATGAAGAAAGGCAAGAGTTGCTTCATGTATGTTCTGTAGTGAAACTTCTGGTTCTCTCGGATTTTCGCGTATCAATTCTGCTAAATTTTGGACATAAACTGAATATTTGCTTCTCTTCTTGTCAGGAAGGTGCCGGCCACCAAGTGTTATCCGCATTCGTGGAAATTGTGTTCGACAACTCCGACAATCGCATCCCGGTATTTTTTTTGATGATGATATATTTCCATGTTCACGGACATGCCATGAAAAATGCCGATTAGCTATTTTTATTTGTTACTGAAGTTGCTGCCATATGGTTATTTTTGATTTATTTCTACAAATTAGCTGATGCATTGACCACCTCGATATTAATTGTGAACTTCTTTTTCGTGTCTCAATTATTTATTTCTTCATATATTAAAATTGGCATTAGAAATTCGATACTTCATCCTAATGTTAAAATTGATGTTAATGGGTTAGCCCTTATACTATTTTTAACCACTTGTATTACTTGATATCTTGGCGTCTCTGGTGAACTATATGATGAATAAACCACCATATAATCGAGCTAAATGTGATTTCACTTTTGCAAAGGTTCGGTTTGTCTTTGAGTTGTTTGGAATTTGGATGGTTACGATTAGTAATAGATGATGGGATCATAGTTAATTTCCATTTGATTTTCCATGGAAAATGAATCATGTTTATCGGATACTCATAGAAGTAGCCATAAATTTCTGTATATTTACAAATCTAAATGTTTTCTCTATAAGATTCCATGTGTACTTTCTTGTAAGATTCATAATCTTTCCCCAAATTACAGTGGCATCTTCGGCAATATCGTTCTTATTTATCTTGCATGCCTCATATTCATTTTTTTCTTCCACAGGTTGATAAAGAGGAAGTGAGGTTGAGGAGAACAATTGGTGTGAAGAAAGATGAATATTTCTTGGATGGAAAACATATCACGTAAGTGTACTCTTAGTCTTTGTCTCTTTCGTGTAACCTGCTTGTTGATATTTGGACAATCTATGATAATTTTGAGTTTTCAGGAAGACGGAGGTCATGAATCTGCTGGAAAGTGCGGGATTCTCTCGTTCTAATCCTTATTATGTCGTGCAGCAGGGAAAAGTATGCCAAAATTATGCTTGTTTTTGTTTCCTTTGGTTGATTTTTAGACCCATCCTTCTGATATATGTCTCTTCCCAGATTTCATTGTTAACATTGATGAAGGATTCACAGCGTCTGGATCTGCTGAAGGAAATTGGTGGTACTCGAGTTTATGAGGAGAGACGTCATGAAAGTTTGAAAATCATGCAGGAGACTGGCAAGTGTTACGCGAGTTGTATCTGAGTTGTCGTTTTGTTTTTGTTTCTGATAGCTAATCTGTTGCAGGTAATAAGAGAAAGCAAATTATTCAAGTTGTCCAATACTTGGATGACAGACTTCGAGAGCTTGATGAAGAGAAAGAGGAATTGAAAAAGTATCAGCAGCTTGACCGGCAGAGGAAGTCTCTTGAATACGCCATTTATGACAAAGAACTTCATGATGCAAGGCAGCAATTGGTGAAGGTATTTTTTACTTCATAATCTTGCCTGTCTTCTTTTATTTTTAAGTCGAAAGGAGCGTTCTGAACATTTTCCTTTTTGTTCTCCAACACGAGGAAATAAGTATTTCAGTCTTGAAATAAACTCAGTACACTCTTGTAAGCATCTGACTTTATGTAGACGTTGTCATTTTTTGCAGATAGAAGAGGAAATATACAAGGTTTCGGAGAAATCTGCCATGATGTACGATAGTATTTCAGACGCCCAAGCAAATTGCAAGGAGTCGGACAAATTACTTAAGGATCTGACTAAAAAAGCTCAGATTTTGAGCAGAGAGAAAGAAGAAATAGAGAAACAGAGGACAGAAGCTATTAAGAAGCATGCGAAACTTAAGCTTGACGACGAAGACTTACGAGATAAGGTTGAAGGGAATATAAAAGCTAAGGTGCTGTTAACCCTTGCATGCCAATTCTTGAATTCGTTATTCAGCTTATGGCTTTGAACAACAATAAGATATTAAAGTAATATGTAAGCGGAAGCTTTTGCTGATGTACTGTTTCGTATTCCAGGAGGATGCTGCTATACAACTTGAGCTTTTGGATAAAGAAATTCAGGGATCCAATGCTGAACTCACTAGAATCACGCTCTTGTATGATGAGCATGTTAGGGCGGAGGATAATTTGACCCGAGAGTATGTTTCCATTTATGCAATGCAGCGCATAATATTCCCCACCTATGTTTTTTCATCTATTTGAGAAATTTATCGTTTCCTGTTTCAAATAATATTAGGCTCTATTATTTGGACGATGGATTTCGAATTCATAATAACAAATCCCTTGTTCTATGCCTAATTACTCTATTTACAGTTACTATAATCCTTACATTAAAGCCTATAATTAAGTGATTCATTACTCTATTTTCCTTCTAATCGTCATGCATCAGCTCCTGACTTCTATACCTTCATCCGTTCGTCAAGGGAGGGTTGATTGGATGTATTATGGAAGTGGAAGAATAATCTTCTTGGCCTTCTTCATCTGTTTGCTTCTTATCGTGTTTCAACCGCTTTACTAATTTTGCTTTGTCCGCTCCGCATTCATGTTAATTAATGATAATATGTACTGGGTGAGTATAATATAAAATCTGGATGTATTGACTATTGTGTAGGATTATGGAGTGCGAAAAACAGCTTAGCATTCTGTACCAGAAACAGGGTCGTGCGACACAGTTTGCTACTAAAGCAGCTCGCGACCAGTGGCTTGAGAAAGAAATTAAGGACTATCAGCAAGTTTTATCTTCAAACCTAGTACAGGTAATTATTTTGGGCTATGAGTGGTGGTTATATTTTAGCTTGTTTATATTTGGCACCCTCTTGGGAAAAAAAGGTGTTACGTAGGTAACTTAGCTCCTATACCGACATTCATCTACAGTTATAGACAATGGTCGTGATAAACAACTTATTGCTATCTTCATCCAAGCACTCTTTTAATCTGAAAGTTTCAATTTTATGAAACCATCGATTTATGTAGTTTCAGTAATTTCAACTTTGTAGCACAAACTATTTTATCCTTTTGAATATCAGAAAGAAATCATTTTAATGTTTTTCTCTTCAGGAGAAAAAACTTAGGGAAGAACTTGATCAGCTCAGGAAAGATATCCGAGAGCACGATGCCTCTATAAAGGTTCGAAAAGCTGAAGTTGCAGAATTAGAATCCCGAATTTCTGGATACATACGAGGATACAACCAGTATAAATTGGAGAGAGACGAACTGCATGACAAGCGGAAGTATGATTAACAATTTAGTTGTTTTATTTGTACAATTTTCTTCATGTAGAGTCTAACCAGTTCATGAATACTTAGGCTTTTGTGGCGGAAAGAGAGCGAACTTTCTGCTGAGATTTATAGGCTTAAATCGGAGGTTGCTAAAGCCGAGAAAAGCCGTGATCACGCAATTCCTGGAGTGAGTTATTTATGTGCTATGATTGGATTGATAACATATTGTTATAGCGTCATTGAACTATGTTTATTTGAATTCAATTCATTTCTTCAAACAATATGGTTGGAAATGTGTATTATGTATATTATTTTATTTTAAGTGCATTGCTCGAGAACGGAGTGAGGAGTGGGAAAGAGAGTTTTTCTGATGCTGATGAAATATTATTAAAACAATTTGACAATCAAATTTAGCATCATTAAACCATATAATCGTATTAAAGATTTTTTTGACCCTTAGAACAAAGTACTTAAAAATCAAGTCCCTCAAGGCCGAATATTTTCAACTAAGAAATAAATTTTTGTCATTATTCACTAAAATTTGCAAGTTAAAAGTAGCCCAGTTAATGAATGTTGTCAAAATTGATTAATCAAGGTTTAGCTGGAGGTGAGAGCTGGGGAATCAGAGTTAATGGAACCGGGTCGAAAAGACAAATATTTGGAAATCAATTTTCTGCTCTAAGTGACCTTGCTGCAGGTCTCTTATACAAGCCGATAAAGCATTATGTTTTTTTATTTCAACATCCCTGTTTTTCTTCCTCTCAACATTGAATCCTGCTTATAATTGTACCATCAACATGCTCAGGATATAAGAAGAGGATTGAGTTCCGTGAGGAGGATATGTGATCAGCATGGTATTGGAGGAGTACATGGTGCTGTTATTGAGTTGTTAGACTGCGAGGAAAAATTTTTCACAGCTGTTGAAGCTACTGCTGGAAACAGGTTAATACAATTCTTGAGTTCAAATATTGGTTGTATGTCTTCGTTCGTCCGATGACAACACATTGTTTATGCGTGGCTTTAAATATTTGACACCTTCCTTTTATTTTTGGTATGGCTATACTAATATATTCTTCTATGTACAGCTTATTTCATGTGGTAGTTGAAAACGATGATATATCAACCAAGATAATCGGGCACCTCAATGCACAGAAAGGTGGACGGGTGACATTTGTACCATTGAACAGGGTGAAAGTCCCACTAGTTACGTATCCACCAAATGTAGAACCACTTCTGGAGAAATTAGAGTTCCTAGAGAAATATGCTTCAGCATTTGGCCAGGTCAGCCTCTTTTTAGTACTTTCCACAACCTACTCTCACAGTAGGAATATATTTTGAAGTTGCAATTCGACACAGTATTGTTGTTTGGCTGATCATCATATACTGTTTTCGGCAAGTGGCACCGGTCTCCATCGTTGACTTTTTATTTAAAACCTTTTTTTTTTTTTCTTTCGAAAAGCTATTTTCATTAATATTACTGTCATTGCCTGCAATATTACTGTCTGAGACAGTAATATTGCTGTCTCAGACAGTAATATTAATGTATTAATTAATTTCATAGTCTCAGCCTGCAATATTATTGTCTCCGATAGTAATCCGACAGTAATATTACTGTGTTAATATGAATACTACTGTTTTGGTCTTCAATATTACTGTCTCAGACAATAATATTGTTGCTAACACAGTAATTTAGGGGAAAAAAATTCAAAAAAAAGTCAACGCCGGCGATCGGCCCCGAAAAATCAGAAAAAAAAATGTTTTCAAAAAATTGTGAAAATGGGGTTAATGTGATATATTTGTTCAAATCCATGGTCAATGTGCAATATTGGTAAAGTTAGAGTATAATGGATGAAATTGATGTAAGTTATATCATTAGGGGTATTTTGGACAAAAAACATGTGGATTGGTTTATTTGCGAAACTTTTTTTTGTCTGAACATATGTGCATTTAAATCCCCTTGTCATGGGTTTATATGCAATTCACCCATTAAAATTTGTAATTAATAATTTATATGAAATATTATGCTTGTTTATTATAGTTTGCAGTTTATTTCACTGAATGCTGCACCTGTTATTACTTTCTTGAAATATGGTTTCCTAGTGTTGATATTAAATGATTGTACACGTCTTACTTTTTTTCAAATTGTTAGATTTTCTCAAAGACGGTTATTTGCCCAAATTTAGATGTTGCTACAAGAATTGCCCGTACCGATGGTCTGGACTGCATCACCTTGGAAGGTTGCAATTGAACTTCATCTTGTTTTGTATTTCAGCTGCTCTTTTTTTTGGGTCCGGGTCATGATTACGAGTTTATCCCTTCCGCTGCAGGTGATCAAGTAAACAAAAAAGGTGGCATGACCGGTGGATATTATGATTATAGGCGTTCTAAACTGAAATTCGTCAGCACCATTAGACAGAATAAGGATTCTATTATAAGTAAGGAAGATGAACTGAATAAAGTCAGAGACGAACTTCAAAATATCCTTCTTAAACTTATCTTTTTTTTCATGCTTGTTGCGGTCTTTTCTTTACTATGCACCAAAACCTCTATCTGTATCTAGGCATCTTGGCAAATGCCTCTGAATTTGTGAGTATGTTTGTACATCTTCTGAAGTGTCGTTCCGCCGTCTTCTGTACGGTATACGCAATATTCTTGTTCGACTTGTGGTATTTTGTTTTCACTGAACATGCCCCCACAGACTGACCAGAGAATCAACGAACTAGTGGCAGAGCAGGAGAAATTTGGCGCCAAGTTGGCTCATGAAAAATCTGAACTCGAACAACTGAGGCAGGACGTTATAAATTCTGAGAAGCAAAAACCATCCATTTCTAAGTCACTTGATAAGAAAGTTAGTTAACCTTTTGTTTATCCGATCCCTTGATCATTTTTAACATTCGTTGCATTTTTGCAGGTGAAGTCGCTCGACAGCATATTGACTCAGATAGAACATAATAGAGCTAATATTGCTAATAAAGAAAAGGAAATGGGAACTGAACTTGTTGATCACTTGACACCAGAGGAGAAAGAGTCGCTCTCTCGGTTGAATCCTAAAATAACTGATCTGAAGAAGCAGCTAATTACCTGCAGGAGTAACCGTATGGAGGTAAGAAATTAATTTAAGCTCTTTTGCAGATATTTGACTTTTTCTTGCTTTCGTGTAATGTAATCACTTGACATTGTCAATTCACAGGCCGAAACAATAAAAGCAGAGCTTGAGATGAATCTTTCCACAAACCTTGTGAGGCGGAAAGAAGAGTTGGAGGCAGTAAAGCAATCTGCAGAAACTGACGTGTTACAAAGAGAAGCAGCGCTGAACAGACAGGAATTAGCACATGAAAAATTATCGATCGATCAATTGACTCAACAGCTCAAGCGTGAGACCTCATGCTCTTTATTGTCAAATTTAAGCTGAAGTTCGATTGACTTTGCTTTGACTTAAGATGTTTTGTATCGTCCACAGGAGTAACTAAGAGTATAGACCAGAAGAATACGGAACTGGAAGAAATTAAAATTGAAAAAGAGAAACTAAAAGTAGTCTGCTATTGTAGAATAATCTTGTCGTTCGCACATGTGTGTGTGTGTGTGTCTTATGTAGATGCTAAAATTAGTCATTGTTGATGTAGAGGTTGCAAGATGAGTACCAATCTACGCTGCAAGATGAAGAGAAAGATCTGGAGCAACTACTGAGTAATAAGAATATATATCTGTCCAAGCAAGTAGAGTACTCGAAGAAAATTCGGGAATTGGGTCCACTATCTTCCGATGCTTTTGAAACGTAATCTTCGTAACTGAAATTTTACTATTTCACCAACGACTTAAGTGATTACGCTGTACATTTTCATTATATAAGTCAGTACATTAGGGTGGATCGCTTCTGTGATTTATTTATCTTTTACGCAAATTTTAGGTACAAGCGAAGAAGCATAAAAGAACTGTACAAACTGCTTCACAAATGTAACGAGCAACTGCAACAGTTCAGCCATGTGAACAAAAAGGCTCTCGATCAATATGTTAATTTCACAGACCGAAGAGAAGAGCTCCAGAGAAGACAGGCGCAGTTGGATGCTGGTGACGATGTATAGTTATTCATCTTGGTCGTTATATTTCTTTTGTAGTTGTAGTTAGCATTTGCGGCTAATTTGACTTTCTGTTCATCTTTATTAGAAAATCAAAGAACTTATATCAGTTTTGGATATGAGAAAGGATGAATCAATTGAGCGTACATTTAAAGGTGTGGCTAAGCATTTTCGAGAAGTATTTTCTGAACTTGTGCAAGGAGGTCACGGATTTTTGGTTATGATGAAGAAGAAGGTTTATTATATTCTCTCATTGTCGTTAATTTTGTGTACTGCTGTTATTCCCCTGTAATTAGTGATACTTTACATTATTATATATGGGTTACCCTCGATTTGTTTACAGGATAATGACGACTTTGATAATGATCAAGATGACGATGAGCCTCGACCATCGGAAGCAGAGGGGAGGGTTGACAAATACATTGGCGTCAAAGTGAAGGCAAGCAATTAACTTTTTTCTGCAGTCTTGTGTGTGTTGAGCTCTGCATTATATTTAGCTAAGGTCGAAAAATACTGAAGCAATTTTGAAAGCAATTCCTGTATCTAAATCTAATTTTTTTAACCGTTTCTTGTTATCAGGTTTCTTTCACTGGGCACGGAGAGACGCAGTCGATGAAACAATTATCCGGCGGTCAGAAAACTGTGGTGGCTTTGGCATTAATCTTCGCCATACAAAGATGTGATCCTGCCCCGTTTTATCTTTTTGATGAGATAGACGCAGCACTTGATCCTCAGTACAGAACTGCCGTTGGAAGTATCCTTTGCTATATGCTCTTCACTCAAGTTCCCTTTTCCATTGCATTGCCTTTTTGTTTGTAACTTTCGATTATACAAAATCCTGGCATCTGATTTTGTTCTGCTTAATCAATTTTTTCCCCCCTAATCTTTTCAATTAAATCCGCTTTAGCTTTTTGTGGATCTTTAACTTGTTTCTTGTAGACATGGTTCGTCGCTTAGCAGACACGGCAAGCACTCAGTTTATAACTACTACGTTTCGGCCTGAGCTTGTGAAAGTAGCTGACAAGATATATGGTGTGGAGCACAAAAACAGAGTGAGCCGTGTTAACGTTGTGTCCATTGAAGAAGCTTTGGATTTCGTTGAGCGCGACCAGTCCCACAACGAGGTTAACATTTTTACTTATTATTTCTTTTAGCTCGCCTTCGGGGGACGATAAACTGATTATATATTGACTATTTATATTCTTGTGAAATTGCAGTGATATTATTGGAAAATCCTTGTCGATAACTGACGTACAATGACCACGATGAGAAAAACTCCGTAAGTTAACCAATTTCTCTCCTAACTTTAGATCATAACTAGTAATAGGTATTTAGGTAGATTTTTTTTTTCTTTTTTTTTTTTCTAGTTTTTGTGGATATTCTTTATTAATTAATTAATTTATTTGAGAGGTATTTTTGTGGATATTCAGGTCTGGTGTTTGATCAATTAGTTTTTCTACTATCTGGTTTCAATGTTGGATATAAAGTAGCAACTGACATGGTTTGTGTCTGAAAAGTGATTTTTTTTTTAATAAATTTATTTAAGCAGGGTTGAGATTGTTTTATCTGCAAGCAACATGACACTAGAGTGTCGAAAAAAGTTGCCACAAAATGACAACAAAAAGTGTTGATTTTTTTTCAAAAATACTAGATACCAGAATACCGTGAAATGGCAAAAAAAAAAAAAAGAACGATATCAACTTAGCGTCGAAAAAATCCAGAAAACATAGACATTGTTGTTATCGGTCCGTAAAAACGACATGTGCATGTCGTGTGTGGACCGAAGCTTCTTTAACAAAATCATCCATTTATCAACATCTTTTCCCAATTATGTGCTCAATGCAGCTTATATTCATTATTCTAACAAGAAAATCTCAAATAGTGCTCATGGTTTTCACATTTTTATTTTCAAAAAAACTTAACTAAAGAAATAAATCCTTACTTCTTCGTCGGTGGCGGCAACGGTTGTGGGCAGCGACGGTTGTGGCGGTCGTCTTCAGCGGCGTTGGAGTTTTGCTCGTCGTTCTTCTCCTTCCCTCTCTTCTCTCGTTTCAAAATTTCCTTTTTTTTCTGTCTTGCAATACTAATTACAAATAATTTGAAAAAATAATATCAAAATAGATACTGGGGCTATATTAGTAATTTCCAGTCTTACTCTCAATAAAATCTTTCTCCTTAAGAAATTTTGGCAGCCTTTACCAATCCGAAAGTATTACAATTAGCTCTCCAATAACAAAAATTATAACAGTTACACCCTTGCTAGTTATAGGGATAAAATTGTAATTCGGAGGAAAAAAGAAAACATTAAAAAAAAGGAAATTGGAGAAATTGAAAAAATGGAAATAACACTACACGGCTGAAAAATAATCGCGTCTTAAAATGTCAAGTCAATTCCCTCCATTTTCTTCTTCTTCTCCCGCTCCTCTCTCTCTCTCTCTCTCTCTCTCTCACACACACACACACACACGCACTGGCGCACAACACAGAGTGGGTAAACTACAGAGTAGAGTGGAGCTTACGATAATCTCCTTCAACCGCTGACGGGTGAGTTCTTCTGTACATGTTTTAGCTTTGTAGAATTTACTAAAAAACTAGCCCCAATTCTGTATAGAACCCTAGACTTCAGTTTCTGCTCGATGTTTTTTTTTCTCCCTTTCTCAGTTTATCATTTGTGTCTTATCTTAATTGTAGTAATTTTTCAACCTCTGATATGGTCCTTTTGCCTATTTTGTTTTAATTTATTTCGATTTAGGCATTTATGGGTACTTCTACCTCGAATTTTTGACTGATACTTTCAGTTATACTGGTTAATCCAGAACAAAAAGACCAGGTTCTGGAATTTTCTCTGAATTAAGTGTTGTTTAATATTTGAGTTTTTGTCCTAAAATGAAACTATTTGAGTTTTGTAAGTAGTTATTCCAATTATGGGTCCTGATTGTAACCAATTTGCTACTGTTCTCATGCCAAATTGCAGAGGAGTTGCAAATCATCGAGGAATTACATCATGTACATAAAGCAGGTGATGTATTACTCTCCCTCTCTCTGTTTTTTTTGCCTGATTCATTTTATATTGTGCTTGCTTGTTTATTGCATGGGATCTTTGTTATAGGTTGTAATCGAAGGGTTTAAGAGTTACAGGGAGCAAATTGCAACTGAAACATTCAGCCCCAAAGTTAACTGTGTTGGTATATCATATTTTCCCCTTATGCCTCTTTCTTATTTCTGTATTCATTTTCTTACTTATGTATTGCCATATAATGATGTTGAATTTCCTAGAAGTAATTCATATTGATTTGTATTATGCAGTTGGGGCTAATGGATCTGGAAAATCCAATTTTTTCCATGGTACGTTGATTTTAAGGGTTTGACACCTTATTGTTGTTCTGTTTTATCAGTATTGTTTTGATGATGAATCAACTTCTATATATACAGCAATACGCTTTGTGATAAATGATCTGTCCCATAACTTGCGCAACGAAGAAAGGCAAGCGTTGCTTCATGTATGTTCTGCAATCAAACATTCTGGTTCTCTCATATTTCACGTATCAATTCTGCTAAAATTTGTACATAAACTGAATAATCTTTGCTCCTTTTCTTGTCAGGAAGGCGCAGGCCATCAAGTGTTATCCGCATTTGTGGAAATTGTGTTTGACAACACTGACAATCGCATCCCGGTATATTATTTTTGATATATGCTATGAAATGCTGATAAGCTCTTTCTATATTTGGTAAAGAAGTTGGTATCATATAGTTCTTTTGTTTCGTAGTTGGAATTATTTCTACAACTTACCTGGCAGTAAATGAGTGTACAGAAGTACTCCATAAGCAGTCCTCATATATCTATTTTCGCAACATGGAAGTATAAGTTGATGCATATTGTTTATGTACAGTAAATGACATGGAACAGGTTTAAGAAGACTATTAAATGGTAATTGGAAAATGATGTGAATAGTTGTAGAATAAACATATTAGTTAGATGCAGAAGCAGGAAAACAACATCAATACATGTTTGCCTATTAGCTAATGCATGGACCACCACAATGTCAATTTTGAACTTCTTTTCTTGTCTCAGTTATTTTTCTTCATACCATTATAGATATCGTATTAGAAATTCAATAGTCCATCCTAATGTTAAAATTGGTGTCAATAGGTTAACTTCATACTATTTTTAACTACTTATAAAACCTGATTACTTAACGTATCCGATGAACTATATGATGAATAAACAACCATATAATTGGGCTAAAGGTGATTTCAATTCATTAAAATCTGGGTTCGTCTCGTCGTTGACTTGTTTGGGTCGTTACAATAAGTAATAGATGATGGGATTATAACTCATTTCCATTTGATTTCCATGTGAAATAAATCATGGTTATTGGATCAATAGAGAAGTAGCCACAAATTTATGTACTTTTACTTAACTACGTGTTTTCTCTATAAGATTATCTATAGTATTCCGTGTGTACTTTCCTGTAAGTGTCATAAACTCTCCCCAAATTGCAGTGGCATCTTCTCAATATTGTTCTTTTTTGTCTTGCATGATTAATTTACTTTTTTATCCTTCTACAGGTTGATAAAGAGGAAGTGCGGCTGAGGAGAACAATTGGTGTGAAGAAAGATGAATATTTCTTGGATGGAAAGCATATCACGTAAGTGCATACTTGGATTGCACAGAATCATATTTTTATTATATTACTTGTTTCTTCATTATTTTTGTACACTTAGTTTTTGTCTCTTTCCTATCACCTCCTTGGTGATCGTTGAATAATCTATGACAGTTTTGAGTTTTCAGGAAGACGGAAGTCATGAATCTGCTGGAAAGTGCGGGATTCTCTCGTTCTAATCCTTATTATGTTGTGCAGCAGGGAAAAGTATGCCAAAGTTGTCCTTGTTTTTGTTTCCTTTGGTTGATTTTTTTACCCATCCTTCTGATATATGTCTCTTCCCAGATTTCATCGTTGACATTGATGAAGGATTCACAGCGACTGGATCTGCTGAAGGAAATTGGTGGTACTCGAGTTTATGAGGAGAGACGTCGTGAAAGTTTGAAAATCATGCAGGAGACTGGCAAGTGTTACATGAGTTGCTTCTGACATGTTGTTTTGTTTTTGTTTCTGACAGCTAATCTTTTGCAGGTAATAAGAGAAAGCAAATTATTCAAGTTGTCCAATACTTGGATGACAGACTTCGAGAGCTTGATGAAGAGAAAGAGGAATTGAAAAAGTATCAGCAGCTTGACCGGCAGAGGAAGTCTCTAGAATATGCTATTTATGACAAAGAACTTCATGATGCCAAGCAGCAATTGGTGAAGGTATTTTACTTCATAACCTTGCCGTGTTCTTTCATTTTTAAGTCTGAAGGAAGTGGCCTTTGTACTTCACACAGAACGGCGCAGCAACTTTATACTTCTTGGTTCTCTTTACTTGACTACAATTAACTTAAAAAATTCAAAGCCTCATTTAGATTCTTCCCTTTCTCTTCCTTTTTGCCAACATTATAATGCAAATGCCAGAAGAAACTAATTATTTTCTGAAGTAAATAATTACTTTGATTGAGAAATGACAATGGGACAGTGTCACAGCAGTAGTTGTTCTTAATTTGAGAGTGGCATGCTACAATTGCTTATCATATTGTCAATTTCGGTCTTATGCGTATTCCGTAATCCAAAAAGATGTTACCCTATTGTCAATTTTTAGTAGAAGCAAATGGCCTTACAGGTTGTATCAATATATAATGACAACTAAGGATCCCGTATGCTGCAGTAGTGAGTCACTAAATCATTAATGCGAATACACCTAATTTTAATATGAGCACATAATAATTTTAAAGCTCAAAATTTAAAATGCATAATGAAAACAAGAGAAGACCAAAAGTGACGTTGAAGTCAGATTTCTAGAATAAGGATGGGATCAATACATTTTTTTCTAACAGTGAGATCAATTTTTTAAATGCATTATTGGAAGAAAACTTTAGACCGACAACTTAATTTATGAGGTTCAACAGTATATGGATATATACTACTCCCTCCGTCCCAATTTAAATAACGTTTTGGGTTGTTGCACACATATTAAAAAAATCAATAAATGTGTATAGATTATAGTAAAAAGCATAGAAAAATACTAATATATCCTTGACATTAATTGTTTTACAACTAACTAATTAGGAGTGATAAAGGGTAAAATTGAAAACAGTGCAATTAATGATGCATTGAAAATCTAAAATGACAAATAATTTAAGACAAGAATAACTCTCTATAAAGACATATAATATGGCAGAGGGAGTAATACATGTAATGCATATCTAAGAAAAATAATGAATTTGAAACTGGCCCCAGTTTTATGTTCTGTTAAGAAAAAAATACTAGTTCTGATATTATTAAACTGAGGTCTCTGTAATTAAAGTAATATCCGTTTCTTCTTTTTAAAATAATGAACAATTTATAATTTCGAAATGACTATTGTAATTTATGTATCAAAACAAACCGATCTCTTCAAAAGGAAGTATGCTTTAGGATAGTAACTACAGAGTCGTCTTTTGAACAGTTTCCTTTTTGTTCTCCAAAGCATGGGATAGAAGTATTTCAGTCGTGAAATAAACTCTCTGTGGAATCTTTGAGCAAAAAGTATTAGAAATGAGGCTACTTGCCAAAGATGAAACCTTAGGGAGGCTGGTGCTAAAAATGAAACATCAATGAAGGTTGTTACGAATAAAGTTTCTGGACACAGTTCAAGGACTTCAGTTAGTCGTTGTTCTGCCTATGGCTTTGAACAATAAATATATTACTTGATTTTCTCTTTATGAATCATTTAATCTTACTGCACATGCATGTGAAGATCTCCAACATTGTTTCGGTATATCATCTGGAGTGGCTTGTAAACATTTTATTGTAAGCATCTGACTATATGTAAACATTGCCATTTCTTGCAGATAGAAGAGGAAAGATACAAGGTTTCTGAAAAATCTGCCACAATGTACAATAGTGTTTCAGACGCCCGTGCAAAGTGCAAGGAGTTGGACAAATCACTTAAAGATGTGACCAAAGAAGCTCAGATTTTGAGCAGAGAGAAAGAAGCAATAGAGAAACAGAAGACAGAAGCTATTAAGAAGCGTGCAAAACTTGAGCTTGACAACAAAGACTTACACGAGAAGATTAAAGGGAATAAAAAAGCTAAGGTGCTGCTGGCACTTTTCATGCTAAATTCTTGAATTTTTGAATTCTTGGAAGATGTACATATGAATGAAATGAAGTAATCTGTAAGTGGAAGCTTTTGCTGATGTACCGTTTCATATTCCAGGAGGATGCTGCTGTACAACTTGAGCTTTTGGATAAAGAAATTCAGGGATCCAATGCTGAACTCACTAGAATCACGCAGTTGTATGATGAGCATGTCAGGGTGGAGGATAATTTGACCCGAGAGTATGTTTCTATTTATGCAGTGCAGCGCATGAAATTTTCCACCTATGTTAAGTTATCTATTTGATGTTTCTGGCATGAGAAAAGTATTATTTCCAGTTTTTAATAAAATTAAGCTCCATTTTTTGGAAGAGGGATTTCAAATCCATAATAACAAATCCCTCTTACTTGTTTGGATAGAGGGATTTGATGATGGATTTCAATCCCCACCCCTCCTTTTTAGTTATAAATTGAGCCATTGCTGTGGATTTCAAACCACTTAATTTGGAGTTTTTGAAATCCTTTCCCCAAATCAAATCCTTATATCAAATGGAATTGGAGGCTTAAGGTATCTTCTTCCTACTACTTTTGAGGTTTATGGTTTACCTCATGAAAAGCCGTCAATAATTTTCAATGAAACTGCAATTTTTCATAACATTTGTACCTAACAAGTTAGTCTATAGCCAGCCTCGTGTTGCGCTGTAGTCAAAGTAGCCGTTGGTGACCAAAATTCAATATATGTCTTTTTTAAATGAACGAGTTAACCTGCCTAGTCTCCCGGGTCAACACGGCTAGTTACTGAATTTTAAAAACTCGTTTTTAAAAAAACATATATTTTTGTTTTGTCCGCTCTGCATTCATGTTATTTAATGACACTATGTACTGGGTGAGTATAATATAAAATCTGGATGTATATTGTGTAGGATTATGGAGTGCGAAAAACAGCTTAGCATTCTGTACCAGAAACAGGGTCGTGCAACACAGTTTGCTAATAAAGCAGCTCGTGACCAGTGGCTTAAAAAAGAAATTAAGGACTATCAGCAAGTTTTATCTTCAAACCTAGTACAGGTAATTGTTCTCTTCATCTCTATAACAGTGGTTAGTGAACATGCCATTATAATGTAGTTGAGAGGATGTTAGACATATGATGTGTGATGATTTATATTTTGTGTCTTGGTAGCTAAAATATGTCTGGCATGTTATTCCTTGGATTTCTTTTACTTTTTTCTTTGACCTAGTATTCTGCAAGAATTAGAAACAAAAATCATTTTTAATGTTTTTTCTTTTCAGGAGCAAAAACTTAGGGATGAACTTAAGCAGCTCGAGAAAGATATCCTAGAGCACGATGCCTATATAAAGGGACGGAAATCTGAAGCCGCTGAATTGGAATCCCTAATTTCTGGATACATACAAGGATACAACCAGTTTAAATTGAATAGAGATGAACTGCATGACAAGCGAAAGTATGATTTAACATTTTTTTCCTTTTATTTGTAAATTTTTCTTCATGTGGAGTCTAACCAGTTTACGAATACTTAGGTCTTTGTGGGGGAGAGAGAGTGAACTTTCGGCTGAGATTGATAGGCTCAAATCGGAGGTTGCGAAAGCCGAGAAAAGCCTCGATCACGCGACTCCTGGAGTGAGTTCTTGATGTCCTATGGTTGGATGGATTACATGTTGTTATAGCATTGTTGAACTATGTTGATTTCAATTCATTTCTTCAAACAATATGGTAGGAAATGTGCATAAGATGGTTGACATCTGGGTTTGTAGATTGTAGTTGTGGATCTAATGATGGAATTATAAGTGCATTGCTCGAGAGGGAAGTGAGGGATGGGTAAGAGGTGTGCTGGATAATTAATATTGGTAGGGGGGTATGCTGGGAGGTAGTTTTTCTATTGCTGATGAAGTATTATTAAAACAATTTGACAATGAGGTTTAGCATGATCAAACCATATAATCATATTAAAGATCTGGACCCTTAACACAAGATTCTACGGGTACTTAAGAATCAAGTCCCTCGAGGCTGAAGGTGAAACCATCTATTATTAAAATTAAAAGAAGAAATATTTTCAACTAGAAAAATAAGTTTTTGCCATTATTTACTTAAATTTTTAAGTTAAAAATGGTCCAATCAATTAATATGGTCAAAATTGATTAGTCAAGGTTTAGCTGGAGGTGAGAGCTTGTGCCTGATAAACAGTGTGCTGACAATGAGGAATATATTTCAAAAAAAATAAAATTAGTTAACCGGACCGGGTTCAAAATAGAGAGTCGTGACTATAACCGTGGTCCTTTTTCTCTTTTATTTCTTATCTTCCATGGTGGTCAACTTTGTATTGAAAAGGCAGTAGATTGAAAGAAGTGCCAAGCGATTTTGCTTTTATTCATGGTCATTCAGAAATGGTTCTTTCCTTTAGGGCATGATAAAAACTTTGACAAATCATAGACTATACATTCTCGCTGTTTTTAGTTCAACACATGGTCAAATTAGAGCACATTTTTGCTTCTTATTGTTCACATATTTAAAGTACTGGCTTCCTCATGAAATTCAGTATGGAGTATTTTGTTAACCCGTTTATTCTATTTCTTCTTTAAGTGACCTTGCTGTAGGTCTCTTACACAAGCGGATAAAACATTATGTTTTTATTTCAACATTCCTGCTTTTCCTTCCTCTCTACATTGAAACCTGCTTTTAATTGTACCACCTTCTCAACATGCTCAGGATATACGAAGAGGATTGAATTCTGTGAGGAGGATATGTGATCAGCATGGTATTGGAGGAGTACATGGTCCTGTTATTGAGTTGTTAGACTGCGAGGAAAAGTTTTTCACAGCTGTTGAAACTACTGCTGGAAACAGGTTATAATACAATTCTTGAGTTTAAATGTTTAGTGGTGTCTAACAAAATCACAATATCGGTTTATGTGTTTGTTCTCCCTTTTGCTCGTCATTGAAGAAGAGTGCTGACAACACCTTGTTATGCGTGGCTTTAAATATTTGACACCTTCCTTTTATTTTTATTATGGCTATACTAATATATTCTTGTATGTACAGCTTATTTCATGTGGTAGTTGAAAATGATGATATATCAACCAAGATAATTGGGCACCTCAACGCACAAAAAGGTGGACGGGTGACATTTGTACCATTGAACAGGGTGAAAGCCCCACAAGTTACGTATCCACAGAACTCCGATGTGATACCACTTCTGAAGAAATTAAAATTCCTAGAGAAATATACTTCAGCATTTGGTCAGGTCAGCCTTGTAACATGTATTTTTTTCCCACAACCTACTCTCAGTAGGAATTTATTTTGAAGTTAAATTTGACGCAGTAATGTTGTTTGGCTGAATCATATACGATCTTTGGTAAATCGCACTGGCAGTTCTAACTTTAGATAGAACTATTCTTGTAGTCAAGATCAACATCACGTGTAATGATTTGGTGATGATTTGCCTCATGACTTTCGTTTGCTACTTTTTTCGTTACAGTTTCAAAGAATAATGTCCTTGAAGCTGTTGAGCGTAGTGCATAGAATGTTTGTAAATTGATAAATGACTTCTTATATAAGTTAGAACACTGAAATTCCTAAATGATATTGTTTGATAAATGGGAATTCAAGTAGCTTCCACATTGTTTAGTTATCATAGGTCATATCATCATATGGGTCTACTACTGTTGATATTAAATGTTTGTTTACATGTGTTTCTTTTTTCAAATTGGTAGATTTTCTCAAAGACGGTTATTTGCCGAGATTTAGATGTTGCTACAAGGGTTGCCCGTACTGATGGTCTGGACTGCATAACCTTGGAAGGTTGCAATTGAACTTCATCTTGTTTTGTATTTCAGCTACTCTTTTTTTGGGTCCGGTTCATGATTACGAGTTTACCCCTTCCGCTGCAGGTGATCAAGTAAACAAAAAAGGTGGCATGACCGGTGGATATTATGATTATAGGCGTTCTAAACTGAAATTCATGAGCATCATTAGACAGAATATGAAGTCTATTAAGATGAAGGAAGATGAACTGAATAAAGTCAGAGACGAGCTTCAAAATATCCTTTTTAAACCTATCTTTTTGTTTATGTAGCACTGCAGTGTTATGCTTGTTGTGATATTTTCCTTATTATGCATCTACAGTGGTTATAGAATACACCTAAACTCCTTTTAAGTCCTGGTCGACAAATATTTTTGACTTATTATTTACTTAAATTCAATGTCCATGTATATTTGATCAGCATTTTGGCTGTTGCCATCATAGGTGGAAGATGTTATCATCATACATTATAGATGGTTACCGTTCAGGCATCTATTACAATACATGCATGAGTATGTGAGCACGGGAACCTGCTTTATGTTGTCGACATGGTGTTTCAATATAAAAATCATAAAATTCTGTTATACATAGTGTTAATCGTCCACTGGTTTATTTGTAGTTATTATGCCTTGTTGTATCTAGGCATGTTCTGAAGTGTTGTTCCTCCACTGTTGACATGCCATGAGCAGTACGGTCTACTCAATATTCTTGTTCAACTTTTGTATTTTGTTTTCGCTGAACATGTCCCACAGACTGACCAGGAAATCAGTGAGCTAATGGCAGAGAAGCAGAAAAATGAAGCCAAGTTAGCTCATGAAAAATCTGAACTTGAACAGCTGAGGCAGGATGTTGTGAACTCTGAGAAGCAAAAACTATCGATTTCAAAGTCACTAGAGAAGAAAGTGAGTTAACCTTGGAAGAGGATCTAATGGATCTCAGTAGTGGTTTTGTTTTTTAATGAGAGGGGATCTAATGGCTTAGTTTTTTTTGACATTCGTTGCATTTTTGCAGGAGAAGTCGCTCGACAGCATATTGACTCAGATAGAACATAATAGAGCTAATATTGCTAATAAAGAAAAGGAAATGGGAACTGAACTTGTTGATCACTTGACACCAGAGGAGAAAGAGTCGCTCTCTCGGTTGAATCCTAAAATAACTAATCTGAAGGAGCAGCTAATTACCTGCAGGAGTAACCGTATGGAGGTAGGAAATTAATTTAAGCTCTTTTGCAGACATTTGATTTTTACTTGCTTTCGTGTAATGTAATCATTTGACGTTGTCAATGACAGGCCGAAACAAGAAAAGCAGAGCTTGAGATGAATCTATCTACAAACCTTGTGAGGCGGAAAGAAGAGTTGGAGGCAGTAAAGCAATCTGCAGAGACTGACATGTTACAAGGAGAAGCAGAGCTGAACAGACAGGAATTAGCAGATGGGAATTTATTAGTTGGTCAACTAACTCAACAGCTCAAGCGTGAGTTCACTTGACCTCATGCTCTTTATTGTCAAACTTCAGCTTAAGTTGAATCGACTATGCTTTATATTAAGATGTTAATATCTTCCACAGGAGTAATTGAGGATATAGATCAGAGGAACAAGAAACTGGAAGACTTTATAACTGAAAAGGAAAATCTAAAGGTAGTCTTCAACGGGTTAAATGTTTGGTACTTTACCATTGTAAAATAATTTTGTCGTGATGTGTGTGTGTCTTATGTAGATGCTAAAATTATTCCTTGTTGATGTAGAGGTTACAAGATGAGTACCAATCTACTCTACAAGATGAAGAGAAAGAACTAGAGCAACTACTGAGTAAGAAGAATATATATCTGTCCAAACAGGAAGAGTACTCGAAGAAAATTCGGGAATTGGGTCCACTATCTTCCGATGCTTTTGAGACGTAATCTTCATAACTGAATTTTTACTATCTCACCCCCAACTTGAGTACTATCTGAACATATTTTTGTTGCATTTTATTTTCTAGTACTGTCTTTCTGCATGTCTGCTTTTTAAGATCACGGAGGATCTATTTTGCCATTCCTCTCTTCCCAATAAATCAGCATCACTTTGATGATGTCACGAGGTTTAGAAAGGTTAACCTGGACTTTTGAAAATAATTAGGAAAACTTCGCGAATCTAGTAAACATGTATATCTTATCTGGCATGCAGTGGTGGGTCTATGTCAAGCTAAATATGTTATTTCTTCTCTTGTAACTGCCACATATTTTAGAAGAAAATAAATTGGTTTGACAGAATGGAAGTTGTAAAACACTGGGGTTACTTTATGGTCCTCGCTGGGTCATTTTGAAGCTGTCAACATACCACTCCGTCCTCTAGTAGTGCTCCTACCCTAGGATAAGTTGAGTCTCAGTGTCCCTCTTTTTTTCCCGGTACTCCAAAGTAACATTGTTTCTGCATTTTTATGTCTCTCTCTAATCCTATTTCATTATATATATTCAGTATATTAGGGTGGATTGGTTCTATGATTTATTTATCTGTTACCCAAATTTTAGGTACAAGCGAAGAAGCATAAAAGAACTGTACAAACTGCTTCACAAATGTAATGAGCAACTGCAACAGTTCAGCCATGTGAACAAAAAAGCTCTTGATCAATATGTTAATTTCACCGAGCAAAGAGAAGAGCTCCAGAGAAGACAGGCGGAGTTGGATGCTGGTGATGATGTAAAGTTATTCATCTTAGTTTTTATATTTCTTTTGAAGTTGTAGTTAGCATTTGTGGATGGAGGATACTGATATGTCTAATTTGACTTTCTGTTCATCTTTATTAGAAAATCAAAGAACTTATATCAGTTTTGGATATGAGGAAGGATGAATCAATCGAGCGTACGTTTAAAGGTGTGGCCAAACATTTTCGAGAAGTATTTTCTGAACTTGTGCAAGGAGGTCATGGATTTTTGGTCATGATGAAGAAGAAGGTTTGTTATATTCTCATTGTCGTTAATTTTGTGTACTGCTATTATTTAGTGCAGCTGTTATTCCCCTGTAATTAGTGATGTTTTACATTATTATATATGGGTTACCCTCGATTTGTTTACAGGATAACGACGACTTTGATAATGATCAAGATGATGATGAGCCTCGTCCAGCGGAAACAGAGGGGAGAGTTGAGAAATACATTGGCGTCAAAGTGAAGGCAAGCTCTTAACTTTTTTATGCAGTCTTCTGTGTTAAGCTCTGCATTATACTTGGCAAACATGGACAAATACTGAAGCAATTTTAAGATCAGTCACTCTTTCAGATGGAGTACTTAACAACTTCGAAATCGTTTTTGCTTTTAGAGTAGGTCCTTTGTTAATGTAATTCCTGTATTGCTTCTGAATATATTTTTTTCTTTCACCTTTTCTTCTTATCAGGTTTCTTTCACTGGGCAAGGAGAGACACAGTCAATGAAACAATTGTCTGGCGGTCAGAAAACTGTGGTGGCTTTGGCATTAATCTTCGCCATACAAAGATGTGATCCTGCCCCGTTTTATCTTTTTGACGAGATAGATGCAGCACTTGATCCTCAGTACAGAACTGCCGTCGGACGTATCCTTTGTTATATGCTCTTCTCTTAAGTTCCCTTTTCCATTGCATTCGCAGTTGGCTTTTTATTTCAAACTTCCGATGATACAAAATCCTGGCCTCCTTTCTATATTTTTTTGCTCTATGCCTTCGAGGAAATTAAGTAAAATTTTAAATCGCGACTTTTCAATTATATGACTATTACTGCAACTTATTTTATCTTCTTCTTTAGCTGTTTGTGGATCTTTAACTTGTTTCTCGTAGACATGGTTCGTCGGCTAGCAGACATGGCCAGCACTCAGTTTATAACCACTACGTTTCGACCTGAGCTTGTGAAAGTAGCTGACAAGATATATGGCGTGGAGCACAAAAACAGAGTGAGCCGTGTTAATGTTGTGTCCATTGAAGAAGCTTTGGATTTCGTTGAGCGCGACCAGTCTCACAATGAGGTTAGCATTTTTTTTATTATTGTTAGCTCGCTTTCGAGGAACGATAAACTGATTTATTATTACAACTGACTATTTATATTTTTCTGAAATTGCAGTGATATTATTGGAATATCCTTGTCGATAACTGACGTACAATGACCACGATGAAAAGAACTCCGTAAATTAACAAATATCTCTCCTATTTTAGATTATTATTACTAATAGTAGGTATTCGGGTATGTTTAGAGATTTGTTTTGCCCCTAGTATTTGTAGATATTCATGTCTGGTGTTTGATGAATTAGTTTATCTACTATGGTGTCTGGTTTTAGTGTTGGAAATGAACTGCAATTGTAATTATTTAAGTAGCAACTGACACATGGTATGTTTGAGTTAAGATTGCTTTATTTGTTATCTCTTGGTCTATTATTCAAAGTATTCATTAGGGTTTAAATTTACGAAAAATGCCGGTAAGGTAGAAAAAGATATTTTGCAGAGTTTCCTTTTTTTTTCAACTAATCAACTGTTCAACTTTGAATCTTCTTACATGTTCACTTTGATTATGTCAAATTAAACATAATCTTTTAGATTTTGTTGAATCTTCTTTAGTTTGTACTTGTTTTTTTGCAAAAATGCAGTTTTCTGATGCACGATCATTTGACATTTACAAGTTAAGAGCCACATCTTATGATTATTTTGTTTCAAAATGCGGAGTTCGAATGAGATAAAACAAAATACAAATTCTCATGATCTTGAATATTCTACTAAATTAGATATCGCGAGGGTGGACGTGTAAGAACGTTCACAGTTGAGGGTTGATTCCAATTACCCAAACTGAAGAGATTTTTTTATAATTTAACCTTACTTCAAAGTTGTTCATAATTTACCGTTAAAAAAAACAATAAACGTATTCTCATCAATTAAATCCACAGTGGCAATGGATTGCACAAAAAGGGGAATATTTTTATTGGAGGGAGTTTATCTGTTTCAATTTTTTTTTTAAATTTTCACAATTAAATGTAGGCTTACCTAAGATAGTGCATAACATTTAGGTTCACTTTCTAAAAATTATATTTTGAGTTATGTTTAAACTTTAAAGTTATACAATAAGATTCATTTTCTTTTTGTAATTTATTGATATTAATTTTTTGAAAAATATTTTTCATTTAAAAAAATTACACCGAATTTACCCTCCCAAGTCTCAGTAAAGTGCAGCAGTGACCCAAGCCAACGTCTCCTAGGGTTTTGAGGTTTCCGTAGTAAAAATCAATGGCGTCTTCTCTCTCCAAAAAACTCTCCGGCGTAATTTTTTCGAAATACACAGCAAAACCCTCAGTTTTCTGCACCAGGAACCTCTCTTCTTCATTAACCGACTCAGAGCCCGACACCGACTCAGTACCTTCCGCCCCTCTCGCAGCCGATTCATCTTCTCCGAATAAGAATCAGCCGAACGGCGATCGCCCCCTCGAGAACGGCTTAGACCTCGGCATTTACAAAGCAATATTGGTGGGGCAAGTCGGGCAGGCTCCTATTCAGAAGAAACTCAAGAGCGGCCGGACCGTAACTCTGATCTCCATCGGAACCGGCGGCATCCGCAATAACAGGAGGCCTTTGGACAACGAAGATCCTAGGGATTACGCTAATCGATGTGCCGTGCAGTGGCATAGGGTTTCGGTTTACCCGGAGAGATTGGGGGAGCTTGCTATGAAGAGCGTTGTGCCTGGTTCTATTTTGTATCTGGAAGGTAATCTGGAGACGAAGATCTTCAATGATCCCATAACTGGCCTCGTTCGCCGGATACGTGAGGTGGCCATTCGCCGCAACGGGCGGCTTTTGTTTCTGGGCAACGGAGCTGAAGCTGAGCAGCAGCTTTCCAGAGCTGATATCGGCCGTGTTGGTTATTACTGAGGTGATATATTTTTTTTCGCTTAGCTGTGTTGTAGTTGCGTTCTCGATTTCTTCAGGAGGAAAAAAATGATTCGATTTTGCAGTCGTGGTTTCATGTTTTGGAGAACTTGTGAAAAATGTGTTGAATTTCTGTCCATTTTTTTAACTGATCTTTGTTCCTATGAACTAACGTATTAGAGTAATACAGATGCTAGCTTTATATAGATACAGGTTTTACCTCTCGTACGACCATTGACCGAGTAGTAAGTGAAAGATTTCATAGCTTAAAAGATGCTTACTATCATTCATGTAAAACATCTTCTGAACTTTGCCAAATAATTTGTCGAAAAATCGGGGGGAAAAACCCCATAATTTGACTTTATAGTTCCAAGGTCTATTAATGGAAAGCGGTAGAACCGATGAAAACATGGGATGAAAAAGTCTAACAAGCATAAGATGAATTTTTCGTTGTTTTTCATGCTACTACATCACATGCTGATTCTAAATTATAATAATGCCGTCTGAATAAAGTGTTAGTTATGTGAGATTAGATTCCTTTCTCACTAGGGAATTCCAGGTTCACCACTGTCCACCTATTTTCACTGATTGGAAGCACAACTGTTCCCCTAGGCAATGCCATGTTTGGAATTGATGTGAAGACTTTGACCCGATTGCAAAGAAGATAGCTTTCAATTTCGTTGGTCTTTTTCGTGGTCGTAGAGTCTGGAGTACGATAAACAATTTCTTCACTTTCACCTAAAAAGAAAAGTAGTCACTCGATGATTAGTGAGCCTGTCCCAGGTTTTTAAGCAAATTGATGTACGTAAAAACTATAGGATAAAGCCCACATGGAATCTTTAACAGTAAGATGTTTGTTACCAGTGTTGTCTTGTTCTTCAGTCTCGTGTTTCTTGCCTGAACTGAAGTTTGATGGAGATCCGGATATGGGATTTTCTTTCTTGTCAGAAATAATGACTGATTCCAAACGAGGAGCAAGTTCGATGATGTCATCACCGGAGCTCATTGGTGAAAAGTAACCAGGATTGAATAACTTACCTGAGAAAAAAACAAAATTAATCTTAATGACAACTATATGATCATGTGTATACTCAGATTTTGAATTTTAACAGTAGAAGCACAGTGTAATATTATTATTACATTAGATGATCCATTTCATAAAGTCTTTATCAGTTCAGATTCAATAAAGATTCGACTTTTGATAGGAATGTGGAAGTGTTTTAACACAAGTTGAAGAAAGCCACAACTTACGCTCAGTGAATACGGTATATGCAGCCTTGGCAGCGTTCAGCTCTGCTAGTTTCTTAGACTTAGCTGTATCCCCTTGAAAAACCTCTCCTTCAACTTCCACAGTAGATGAAAATGTCTGAATACGGGAGTCACGAGGCACGGTCGTTGTGTATTTTGGCGGGAAAAACCCTTCTTTGTCTGCTAGCTCCTGTAACAGAATCTTGTAGGAGTGTGGATCGTTCTTGCAAAACGATATTCATAAAAAAGGAACATTAAAATGAGTATACATGAAATTACGCGTTCATGTGTGAAAAATAAACATTAAAGCTTTTCTTTTAATTACCTCGTTAAATGCATCTGTTGATAGGGATAACAAAGCAGACTGTGCAGCAGCATTCTCTGCTTCCTCGGCGGTCTCACTGAGTTGTTCACTCTCAAACCAATCTTCACCGATAGAAACTCTAGCCTTGTAGCAACCACCCTCTTTTTCTATACGATATACTATTAGGTCGAGATTCTTGTTTTTAGCATAAATCTGGAGTTTCTTCTTGAACTCGTCGTGAAAATCTTACAGCAAGAAATTAGGATAAAATCATATCAAATGGATGTCAGTGTTTGAAATGATGGAACAAGTTTTTAAGGTACAACATGCTGTTTTTAAATGTGTGTGAGAAGCAATGATTACGACATGTTTTCGACTGAAACGAAACAGAGACATAAGTTTGTGCATAAAAGAGATGCTAACCAATGTTGTCACGGTATTTCTCAGTCATGTCCTCTGATTTTACGGAGCTCTGAACTTCTTTCTCACTGTTTTTCTTCTCTGTATATTCACTCTTTTGATCCGAGGGGTCTGGAAAATACGGATTGCAAAATACTTATATTACATGCTAATAAATATTTTTTACCCTCCAGCCCCACATCGATGAACACCGTGAAAAGTATTACAACCAATATTCGAGTTTATAAATACTAGAAAAGAGGTGTGTATGTATTATTATGTATATAGAGTGTGAATAAAAAGAGACTCACCAAGATTCTCACAGCGTTTCACAGTCATGCCCTCCGATTTTACGGAACTCTCAGTTTTAATCTCACCATTTGTCTTCTCAACATATTCAGTCTCCTCACTTGAGGGCTCTGGAAAACATCACAACAAACAAACACATAAAATAAATCCACTGAAATTTCTCAAAAATAATAAAAAAAAATTTAAAAAAATTAAAAAAAAAAATTGTACCAGAAGTGAAATGGAGAAAAGCAAGTTGAGCAGCTTCATTGTAGGCTTGTTTCGAAGATGTTAAGGCAGGGGGGCTATTGAAGGTGGTACCACTGACCACAACAGAGGCCTTAAACATCGGGCAGTGATCTTCACCGTCTTTCACGCACGTGTATTTCGGCAGTCCCCATTTCTGTTTGTGGCACAGTTCTTGCAGCTTCGACTTGTACATCGTTCGTTTTTTTCTTTCTTTCTTTGTGTTCTCTGTTTTTTTGTTAATGTAAGTGCAGAGGAAGAAATAAACTCGCCTGAGTTATTTAAGGTTATGGAGGTTGTTTGGTCTTCTTGAAACATGATTACCTTGTGTTGTACCTTTTTCTGCAGAGGATTAAAAGTTTGTACCTTGAAGAAATGGAAAGTTCTCAGACACATTTTTGCATGCTTTTGTACTTCATGGGATGTCTGTCCAGAGTTCCATATGTGTGTTGGTATATGGAATAAAGGTTTTTTTTGGAATCAAAATAATAAGACTTCGAACTTTTCGGTTATCGATCTTTATATTGTAAAAATTTCAGTATTTTTGAGGATCGAGGAAATCGATTTTCGTTTTCACCTTAATTTTGATTTATTTCGAGTTCAAATTCCACGAAATTTATACTTCATAAAAATCTGCACAAACAAGCCCACAAAAGCTCTCTAACTTATAATAAACATAAGAATCCTTCTTCTCTATACTTGTAAGAACTCACTTATTTGCAGCCAAATTATTTCGGGCCAGCTTAGCAGCAGCAACCATATTGCTCAGCGCAGGCTTCACTTCAGAATACTTGCGAGTTTTGAGTCCACAGTCAGGGTTGACCCACAGGAACTTGCTATCAAGAACTGTCAGCATCTTGTTGACCCGGTCAACAATTTCTTCGGTTGATGGTATTCTTGGTGAATGTATATCGTACACCCCGGGGCCCATGCCAGCAGCGTACTTCACTCCTCCCTCGCGGAAAACCGAAAGAAGCTTCTCGTTTGACCTGGAGTTCTCGATGGTGATGACATCAGCATCCATTTCTATGATCGAGTCGATGATGTCGTTGAAGTTTGAGTAGCACATATGGGTGTGGATCTGCTCACGGAATCAGTAGAAAATCGTGTTCAACAGTTGTTTCCAAATAATATATAATGTATATAAAGAGGCTCATTTTTAATTGAAGCTAAGGATCTCAAATCTATATAATAATAAATTCATGGCGCCTGTTTGGATTAATTCATCCTGCAATGGATTTCAAGTTCTTCGTTCTCCTTTTGAACTGTTCTGTGATTCATTGTAGTGGATTTCTGATCCGGTTTATATACCAACCCGTGTGAAATGCTTTCTCCAAATTCTCTCTTCAAATTCAAATGGTTCTATCTAAATGCAACCTAGTAACAGTTTTCCTCGTAAAAGAAGACGACAATAGAATGAAGAAAAATACCTGGGTGCTGTCTTGAACTGCAGAATTAGTTATCCTGAAGGAGTGTACAGCCCAGTCCAAGTAAAATTGCTGCTCGGATTTTCTAAGTGGCAAACCCTCTCTTAAGGCAGCTTCGTCAATTTGAATAACTCCTATTCCAGCTTTCTCCAAATCTTCAACCTCATTCTTGATTGCTAGAGCAATCTGATAGCAAGTCTCGTTTCTAATAGATGGAGAACCGGATAACATTAAATTCAAAACTGAATTTTCAAAATAATAATAAATAAGATGTATTAAAGAGAGGATTTGATTTGGCTACCTGGGCTGGTCGTTTCTAACAAAAGACCAATTCAGTATGGTAACAGGGCCTGTAAGCATTCCCTTCATCGGGCGCTGAGTCATGCTCTGAGCCAACTTAGACCAAAAGACAGTCATTGATTTAGGGCGACTGACATCACCGTAGATAATAGGTGGCTTAACGCACCTCGATCCATAAGATTGAACCCATCCATTCACAGTGAAGGCAAAACCAGATAGCTGCTCCCCAAAGTATTCCACCATATCGTTTCTCTGCACTTGTCCAATAAAAAAGAATTAAAAAAAATCATTTTATTTACTTTTAATCTTTCTGTACGATAGTAATATATTAATAGGTCACCTCTGGTTCCCCATGAACGAGGACATCAATGCCAAGCTCTTCTTGAAGTTTCACTACTGCTGCTATTTCCTCCTTAATGGCTTTGACATAGTCTTCCTCGGATATCCTACAAGAATAACTAAATAAGTTGAAAGCATACAAAAGTTGGGATAGTAAATAAATGAATATGGGAGAAAAACTTACTTACTAGCCTTGTATTCACGGCGGATTTTCCTAAGCTCCAAAGTTTGAGGGAAAGATCCAATAGTAGTAGTTGGGATAATAGGTAGGTTTAGCTTTTCATGCTGGGATTCCAACCTGGCACTTACATTTGTAGCTCTCCGATGGTCAGAACCCTTTAAAGCAGCAGTCTGATTATAGTAACAGAAAAATTAAAGTCATTATTAATACATAAACAGAGCATATCAGAAAAGCACGACAAAAAAATGTGAAGTAGCAAAGACTCATACAGCAATCTGAACATCCTCATCGGTAACTCTAGGAGATGATCTTCTTGAAGCATGAGCTGCTGCATTAGCAGAGTAGAATGCCTGAGTGAGAAAAATACTAGCATTAAGATAAGCAACCTGGTCAAACTGTTGCTGCAGATAAGAGGTCCGAGTTTATATCCATGTCTAAATTAAGATAAGCATCCTGGTCAACCAATGCTGTGGTTCTACACGTGTTCGTCCTTCATACTTTAAGATAGCCATAATGGTTAAAAATAACGAGCCGATGTATAGGGAAAAAAAGAAAAAGAAAATGGCAATGAAATACCTCATCCTTTTGACCAGATAGTGCCTTCGCCAATCCATTGACTTCAAGTAACTTCTGTGCAGCAAACGCAAGCCATGACTTCAGTTCTTCATCCAACTTCGTTTCATTTACCAAATCAACTACGGTGTGAAGTAGAGAACACGAAGTAGAGACCACAAGCTTGTCTGAAAAAAAAATGCAAGTGAAACGGCGTAACATCAAAGGTGATTTTAATTGCAGTCCCTCTGAAATCTAGCAATATAGCACAAAAGATATATGTAAAAAAACAAACTGAACAGAGTGTATAACCAATCACCACTAGAAGTCTAGAATCTAATTATGGTTGTTAGATGATCTTCAACACCCTCAAATGCCTAATTTGCTGATGTTATTAGTTGTTAATTTTGAGTTCTACGTCAGTGACTACATGTAGCGTATTAAATATAATGTACACGAATTTTCTGGAAATCACCTTTGCCTACCACACCCTCGAGAGCCTGCAAGGTACTTAAAGAAGCATCAAGATCATTAGCCCAAATGTTTCTTCCGTCAACAACTCCAGCAAAAAGATATTTTCCCAGAGGATATCCATTTTTAATTAGGTCAAGTGTGTTTGATCCACGTACTAAATCGAAGCCAATAGCTGTGACACCCTTCAAAGCAGTCACCGTATTATATGCCTCGGCAGGAAGGTCTGCAAAATATGTTTCAATAAGAACATTCAAACCAGAAACCGATGATTCGAGCTCTTTGTAAGCATGAGTAAATGCGTGTAATTTGTGCGAGTCGAGATCCATGACAAGTGTAGGCTCATCAAACTGAATCCAGCTGGCACCAGCTGCCTTTAGTTCTGCCACAACTTCCCTTCATAGTAAAGCAAGAAAAAAGGGATTAGCCTCAGTATAAAATATAAAATCAAATCGAGATGTCACTTGTCAGTAGAATATGCGATGATCTTACATGTAGATGGGTAGAATCTTATCTAGTAGGGAAAGAAGAGAGAATGATTTCCCAACTCCCTTTGCTGGTTTTGATAACAACAAGTAAGAAACAGGGCCTACGAGGACTGGAACTGTGTCGATGCCGAGCTGCAACGAGGAAACATTTGACAACATAAATGAATCTAACTCGCTTAAATTAAATGCAGCATCTCACAAGTAAAGTGATTTGTGTGGTCTTTTCTAAACCCTGTGTACTTACAGCTCTAGCCTCTTTATATTCTTGCACAGCCTTGCGAGATGCGTAAGAAAATTCAGTCTCCAACCCCAATTCCGGGACAATGTAGTGACTGCATTCACATAAATTATAAACTGTTAAATACGGGTAGTTTAAACAATAAACAGAACTCATGCCAGACTCAACCAACAATACATACGATATAATTATATAAAAACAATAAAATACTACTTACTAGTTGGTATCAAACCACTTTGTCATTTCCATTGCAGGAACAGAAGCATTACCCCTAGCCATCGAAAAGTAAACGTCAAATCCTATATCACCTCCGCTCCAACCATATCTCGACGGAACGGCACCCAGCATAGCGGTGGTATCCAACACTTGGTCATAATACGAGAATGTATTGCTCGGAATATATTTGATTCCAGCATCTGCCATCTGCTTCCAAATCGACACCCGTAAATCAGATGCAACCTTGTGCAGCTCTTCAGCATTGCTCTTTCCATCCCAGAAGGATTCCAATGCAAACTTGAGCTCTCTTTTCGGCCCAATGCGAGGGTAACCAACTACGTGGGAAGCCATCGACCTGCTTTGCCAAGTAATGCCAAACTCAATCAAACTTAGTGGAACCACATCACATGCACTGGAAAAGCAACATGCTCTCACAGACATTTACACAAACACATGGGCCGCAAAAATGGAAGGTGGCGGAGGACAACATACAAACCTGATATGGAATCTGAAGCGAACTGGAATTTGAAGACGTGGGTTGGCGGGTAAACTGGGGAAGGAGAAAGAGAGGGAAGAATGGAAAGAGATGAGAGTGGGAGAAATCTGCCTCATTTTTTGTTAGTTCGAAAAACGGCTACCACATTTCCTTGCTTAAATTAATTTTTTGTTTCATTGGTTTATGTGTCAGTATGAAAGACAATTGAGGTTCTTTGTTTGGATTTAGGTTTTTGTAGCTTGCTCTATCTCCATGCTCGGTCTGTTTTTAAACCGCTTCAGAAAATGAAGCACATTTGACAGAACAGAGAGAGAGAGAGAGAGAGAGATGAGAGAGAAGAGCAGAACAAATTTCTTAGCGCGGTTTGACAAAAATACCCCTTGTCTTTGTTAATTGTACCGAAGTCAACTTTCTTAAATTGAGGTTAGTATCGGTATACCCTATTTTTTGGTATTTTAATGGTACAATTTTTATTTTTTTTTAAATTAAATTACGGTTAATGCAAGATAATAATCGTAAAGATAAGATTAATCATGGGATTGCTCAAATGGGCCCATTATTGCAAATTTAGTCCAATTTAAAAACTTTTACTATGATGTAACTAGTCCAGCCCAATCTATTAGCTGTTGCAAATTGCAACACCCCACTCGTACTCGGCTGGGCATGGGTTGGATCGGACAATTTTCGATAAATTACCTATTCGACCCGACTATCAAATTATATTGATAATTGAAAACTTAACCGGCTCACACATTATGGGACTAATAATAGTTGGTAACTGACTTTATCGGATAAATAATGGGCCGGTTGGTTAATATTATCGGTAGTACATAGATATTTATAAATTTTGTGTATTGAGTTTTGACTTCTTTTATATTCTGCAATCAAATATTTTCAATAAAGAAAATTCTTAAAAAATCGGTTCATCAATATTACCTGACCAACCCATTTATATATGGGTCGGTTAAAAAATGGGTGGATTGTTCGGTAAAACTTAAAAGCAACTCATGCACGGCCCTACTTGTATCTTTATTAATTAAATAATTATGCAGCTTTAGTTATATATTTATACGTGATTTATTATAGTCAAAACTGTAATTTGGAATAAATACATTACACTGCCTAATAACTACTAGTTTATATTCAATTAAATCCGGTTTGACTAGGTGCTTCCTAGAGTGCCTAAATCAAGAAAGTTAATTGTGCAATTTTCTTGTACAAATAGTAGTGCACCCACCATGTTCACCTATGATTAATTTAAAACTAGTTGTTTATAAATTAATTATCACAACGTCTTAATCAAACGGAACTAGTTGCTTGTGATAGGCGTATTCAAAAGTCTCATTTGATTTGATTTCATCACGTGCTAAATTAAAGTTTCAAATATGTGTCATTGTCAACTTTCCATTGATTAATTCAACTTGCACTTTCGGACAAAAGGAAATACATTATGGATATAATAGTAAACATCGAAGGCATTTGGTGTTTTGTTGTAATCTTATTTATGTATTAGGGAAATTAATTGCAAGTCCCTCAAAAATATTTTCTACAACTTTCAGTATATGCAGATTTTGTTATTTTGCTAAAAGTTCTTATGTTCTTTCCCGACGCTAGATTTGAAGTCTCTCTAACGGAATTGATTATGAAAACTAACAGTAACGGTGATGGTAATTTGCGCAGCTTAATTATACTAATAAGCAACAGTTTAGATAAAATTAACTGAACAAAAAATAAAATCAAACATGCATCCCACCTGCTACAACACATACACAACTTACAAGGATAATTTAAAAAAACTTATTTACAGAATTTAGTTAAATTATTACAGAGTAAAAGTTTAGCAGAAGAAATATGCATTTCATGTAATTTCTATAAATTTTGGGTTAATTAGACAACTTAGAAAGCTTATATGCTTTGCTTAATTACATTGGTGACCAACAACTTATTTAAAATAAACTGAATAAAAAAACTTGAATCTTTGGTGCTTACATCACCACCAACATTACCATCATCATCACCAAACGATTCTTCATATTTTTCAGTTTTTGTTTCCATAATTATTAGGTTACAACGAAGGAGAAGGAGTGTAACCAAAATTGTAAGTGTGTGGTTGCGTATGTGTGTGTGCGTGTTAGGTGTGTGCGTGTTAGGTGTGTGCGTCTGTGTGTGGCTTTGTGACAGAGTTTCGACGATGACAATGACATGGAGCGGGGGAAGATATCTAACGTAGTGCAGTTAAATTAAACGGGATGAAACCGAGTTTGAAGAAAATATAACTTCTAACAAATTGTAAAAATCCAAATCCTAATCCAAAAGAGTATTAGTGTACAAGAGTATTTGGCAAATTACCCCATAGTTATCTTCTAACCATTTTTAAGACAATTTAACCAATTATTATCAATTTACTTATTGTTATTACCACCATATTTGCTAATTTCCTCTATTAAGTATATTACAAACATTGTTGCATAACAAGAACCAAATTAAAATTAGAATACTTTTGAAAACTGAACTTTGTTCTTATCCAAATACAACAGTTTCCATCACATCAAATTAAAGGTGGTACCAACAATTATATGTGGAACATCATAATTGGATCCACCTTGTCCAATCCCACTTGTTTTGAATTATTTTAATTTTGCCAATATTTCAACACCTACTATTGTATTCATAGGAATTTTGCTTAGTGTGTGCATTATTGGCTGTGGTACAAAATAATTAGTTCCAAATTATACGGTAAATGAAAATAAATTGAATAGAATCTCGATAAATTAATTTTTATTAAATCAATACACATGCACTCAAATAAATATGTACCATCAAAATCACTTCAATGTGGAAACTGCTTCTATGTCACTTAGGCTAAACTTTATTGAAATTGTCAGACAAACTTATTTAAATTAGTAAATAATTAAATAGAAATATTCGATAAGTGAGATTAGTGGAGCATTCTTATCACTCAAACACGAGTGAACATATATACAAACACATTTTTATTTCTAACTAAAAAATAAAATAAAATTGGATGAAAGGATTTCAAATTGAGAATTTTGAATTCATTGAGCTTATTTGAATAAATTCAATTTAAAACAATTTGAGTTGTGACTAATTAATTAGTAATTAAAAAATAAACATTTGTTAGGTAAATAGATATTTTTTTTTTGAACCATATAATTGATGCTCTAAAGTTAACATTATTAGGGGAAATATATCATCACCTGGCCTTACTCGCATCCCATAATGTTGGTGAAAAAATGCATAAGTTGACCAAATTTTCGGGTGCCATGACTTTACACACTTCCTAATTAATTCGAAAACTCCACGTGATTTTACCATTGTGCCCCCACTATAAAAAGAAACGAAACCCAAAACATCCTAAAACCTCCACATGATCTTAAAATTCTATAGGACATTAGTCTCTAATTCTATTCAGCACACACGAAGGTCCACGACACTACTCACCCGTGACCTTTTTAATACTGCTTGTACGATCTGAATCATTACCAGTTGTTCTAATTGGTGTCACGAAAGACGCAAAGTCTGATCTTTATGTACAGTGAATTCAGCACACACAAGCACTCACGACATTTGATTGTCGACCATCAATACACGAGCCTCCTCCGCATGAATAATTAAAACATGAAAGTAACGAGAAAATTTTGTGAGAAAAAATAGGGTACTTCTACGAGGGATTCTACGAGGGAATATAGGGGACTATAGCAGTTAAAACATGTCATATCTATGTACTAATCAAATCATTTCTACAAATATTGAAAAGATTTTAATTTTGTAAATGGGATTTGTTTTTCCTTTTCTTGAATCTAAATAAAATCTAGAAAAATACATAAATGGCTACAATTATCGTTAAACGTGTAGCATAAACCTAGGTATTATAAATTTTCGTAACGGTCCAACACAAAGCGAACTACACACGCAGTGTCTTAATTGCATCTGTACTTCATCGTACTAAACTAATACTACTATTTCTTTTCTTTTTTTAAAAAAAAATATTTTATCAGAAGTTGAAATTCATAATAAATAATAATGAGTGGTGAATAATGCAAACTCCCAAAAATAATAATAACAACACTTTTTGACTTATGAATCTGACCAATTTTCTACCCCCCAACTTTAAATATTTTCACACGCGCCGTAATAAATTCACCAAATACGACACTTTTCACCTCCCCCTATTCACACTGTCACAATAATAATTCATTTGATAGTAAAATTAATTTACAGCAGTATATAAATACCAAATTGAATAATACTTCTCACTACATGACTTTCCCATCATTTTCTTCCCCCCTGGCCCTGGTTCTCTCTCTCTCTCTCTCTCTCTCTCTCTCTCTCTCTCTCTCTCCTCTGATATCTCTCTCTCTCAAACTATTTCTAAATAGAGTCAATATTTCTGCACGAGGGGAAGAGGTGTTGGAAAGAAGACTTTCACAGAAATACTCGTCAGGTATAAACCAATTAAACAAAGGAGAATAATTAAAAAATCTTATTCTTCTTCTTGTTTGTGTTTTTCTTGTTTGTTGGTTGGTTAAAGTTCATGTCTTTATGATTTTGGTTGATCTTTTTTTTTTATTTTTTTTATTATTTATAATTATAATTGAATGAGGGGAAGAGGGTTTTCAAGAATTAGGGTATGATTTTTATTTTTAATTTTAATTTTAGTTTTTTTCTAATTATGGTGCTGAAAAAAATTGTTTACCTGCAAAAAGATTCAATTTTTATTGTTGAAAAATCTTGTCCTTTTGTTATAAGATTCTGGGTTTTTTTTTTACTTCAATTTCCGTAAACAGCAGGTGGATCCAAATTCAATTACTGAAAACAATTGATTTAAGAGTATTTCTGTTTGTGAAAATTAAAGTTACTTAATCATTTTTTTATTAATTAAAAACCCTGAAATGATCTTGGGATGAAACATGAGTACTGGGTAAAATATGTTGTTTAGATGCATTAATTGTTGCTTTTATTTTTGTCCCATGTTTTCTGTGAAATCTTGTTTCAGATTTTCTTGGACTGTTTGACTTTCTCTGTGATCTGTTCAGATCTGGCTTTTCTGATAAAGCTAAGAACTTTAAAAAACTTAAAGCTTTATCTTTTGTTCATTCTTGGCTTTATATGTGGGGATTTTTTATTTATTTCTGTAATAGCAAATGGTTAAAGTCTGAATCTTTATATTTTGTTCGAAAATCTTGGTTGAGATTTTCTTTAATTTTCTTGATTTCTATATTCACAGGTGGTAAAAACCTTTTCCACTTGGTGGAAAAGATAGACACGGTCGAGGTTTTTGTTGAAATTCAGTTCCTAATCCTGCAGTTTCTTCCAGTTCAGCCCTGAATTTGAGGATGATGATGTTTGATGACATGGCGTTTTGTGGCGATTTCGATTTCTTCTCCTCTGTTCCAATCAAGGAAACAGCAGATCTCTCAGCTCCTCCTCCGCAGTCGAACAACGAGCCCGATCCGACGGAGGAGGACGATTACACAGACGACGAGATCGACGTCTACGAACTCGAGAGGCGGGTGTGGAGGGACAAGATGAGGCTCAAGAGACTCAAAGAACTGAACAAGGGCAAAGAAGTAAATAACAGCAACGCCAACACCGACGACTCTACAAAGCAGAGGCAGTCGCAAGAGCAGGCTAGGCGTAAGAAGATGTCGCGTGCGCAAGACGGGATCTTGAAGTACATGCTGAAAATGATGGAAGTGTGCAAAGCACAAGGCTTCGTGTACGGCATCATACCGGAGAAGGGCAAGCCTGTCGGCGGAGCGTCGGACAACCTCCGCGAGTGGTGGAAGGATAAAGTCCGCTTTGACCGAAACGGGCCCGCCGCCATTGCTAAATACCAGACCGAAAACTGCCCTCCTGGAAAATTTGAGGGGGGTTCCGCCCCCATCGGCCCCATCCCCCACACTCTGCAGGAGCTCCAAGACACTACGCTCGGATCTCTTTTGTCGGCTTTGATGCAGCATTGTGACCCACCTCAGCGGAGGTTCCCTTTGGAGAAGGGGGTTTCGCCGCCCTGGTGGCCGAACGGTACGGAGGAGTGGTGGGGCCAGCTAGGGTTGCAGAAAGATCAAGCGGGCCCGCCTCCTTACAAGAAGCCGCACGATCTTAAAAAGGCTTGGAAAGTTGGGGTTTTGACGGCTGTGATTAAGCATATCTCGCCGGATATAGCTAAGATTAGGAAGCTTGTGCGGCAGTCGAAGTGCTTGCAGGATAAGATGACTGCTAAGGAGAGCGCCACCTGGCTGGCGATTATCAACCAGGAGGAGATTGTGGCTCGTGAGCTTTACCCCGATCGGTGCCCACCGCCTTTGACTTTGTCCGGTGGGGGTTTTGGCACCCACGATTTCGGAGAGTACGATGTCGATGGGGTTGATGAGGGGTCGAGTGATAATAACAATAGTTTCGAAGTGCAGGAGCAGAAGCCCAATAGGCTCGATTTGTTGAATATAGTTCAACAACAACAAATGCAGCAACAAACTCATGAAATCAAGAATGAAGCTTTGATGATCGATAATAACAACACCTTCGATTTCTCGAGGAAAAGAAAATCCGGAAACGAATTGGGTGTGATTATGGACCATCAGATATACACGTGCGAGTTTCTCCACTGCCCGCATAGTGAACTCCGCCATGGCTTTCGTGACAGAATCTCGAGGGACAACCATCAGCTCTCTTGCCCCTTCAGCAAGCAACTATCTCCAAATTTCAGGGTTTCGAATTTCGCCGTCAATGAAGCGAAACCTGTCGTTTTCACTCAGCCAGCTGTCAGTCCAGCTCAGAATTCGTTCGACCTGACGGGGCTCGGCGTTCCGGAAGATGGGCAAAGGATGATTAACGACCTTATGTCCTTCTACGACAGTAACGTACAAGGAATCGTATTCGAAGAGAACAATAACAATAATAATAGTAACATGCACAATAGTGGTTCGATTTTTGGTGGACCATTTGACCACCGTAAGGCTGCTGCGGACGCACCATTCAATGCGGGCCCCGCCGAGAATTTCCCGTTGATGTTTAGCTCGCCGTTCGATATGCCGTCCATGGACAATCTGCCGAAGCAAGATGTTTCGATTTGGTTCTAAGCATATTGGGAGGTTTCTATATATATATATATTCATATCAACTATTTTGCTTTGTCTTTAGTTTTTAAACAGTTATTTATATAGTTACTGGTGTTAGAGAGCTGTAGGGGGTTTGAATTGGACAGGCTTGTAATAAACAAATGGGATTTACTTATAGTATTACTATGCTTCTGGCACAATGGACAGATTTATATGTGTATTGTGTATATGGTTATTTTGGTTGATTTCTATGGTGGTTTTTTCTTTTTTTCTTTTTTTTTTTAAATATATATTATTATTTTTTTATTTTCTTTTAACAAAAAGGGGTTATTTTTGTTAGTTACAATTTTATAACATTAAAAGTGTAATAGAAGGGCAACCTTGTAATTATAGGTAAAAGTTCCAGGGGGAACTCACCTACATTCTTGAAGCAGCATTTTCTGGCTAAGGAACATGCATGTATGGCTTCTTGTAAGCCATTCTTGAAGCATCTATATATATATATATATATATATATATATATATATATATATATATATATATATATATGCATGCACCTAGACATAATTCTGAAATATTCTAATTAAAAAACACATGCATTTAATTAATACGTACTTAAATCCCATTTTACGATTTCCATCACTAATTTAGATTAATTAGTCTAGAACCAGAAGAACTTCGAGGTTAATTAGCAGCAAATAGGTACTTGTGTTTTGCATGCAAGAAGTAAAAACTATCTGATATTTACAAAACTTTTGTTAATATTATTAGTATTACAAATTATTTATATTATAATAAACAAAAGTTACAAGATGTAAAAACGAACTGTAACTTATTTCTTCAATTTTTTATATGAATTTATTACATTATTATTATTATATATATTTAACTAAAAAAAAACTCACAAGCCGGCTCGTTAGCTAATGAAAGTAATAAAGCTCGAGCTCAAAAATTCGAGCTCGAGTCTGTGTTGTTGTCAAGTCGACTCAGCTCATTTCCGTTAGCTATCGAAGGTTTAGTGCTCTAGAGCACAAAACCTGGAAATTTTTTGAAGGACGAAACCCCCCTCTTTTCGAATTGTTTTAGGGGTTTCGTTATGTAAATAACGAAGCTCCTTTTCTTTTCTTTTCTACTTTCGTGCTCGTTTTACCTCATAATAGTAATCCGGGTAGGCCATTGAAGTAGTTGTTGTTTCTCGGCAGCAAATTTGTCAAACGACTTTCAGATTCGTAGATTTCGAATTTCTTGAGTTGAGAGAGTTTCGGTTGTTTTAGAAAGTTGGAAAATGAGAAATGAGACTACCGCTGCATAGCTAATTTCAGTAAAAGTCTCGCTGCAAATAGTTTTTCAGTTAAATAAAACAAGTTATGCACATTCTTCGTTTTACGAATAATCTCGCATTACAATACCGGCCAATTGTATATCTACGTCGTCAGCACGCGGAGGAAAGCCTGCCCATCTCCACACCATCTTTCAGGAACAAAAAGGTAGGCTTATCGCACTCCACATTAAATTCCTTAGCAACACTCTACAAACAATGTTTACGAACTTTTAACAAATCTAGCTCCGATTATTCGACATATATATTTTTTTTAATTAAAAAAAATGACAAATGTAAGCAAAGAATCATTCATAATACCCGAAGCTTCAAAAGATCCACCTTGAGGAATATAACACGACCCCCCTTCTTCTTGGCAATCTCGGGATCAATAGCACGGCTTGATATTGACTCGTTCGAGAAATCTACCACTACCTAATCAAAATATACGCCCAATTAAACAATATAAACACGAAAAAAAGTTACCGCAGTAACCAAACATCAAATAAAATCTATCTTATTAAAGCGAGTAAATCGTTACCAGCTTCTTGGACTTGGTACCCTTTTTGAAATGCTTATTCCACTCTTTTACCGAACGGCATTCGATCACCGGTCCCGCTTCATCTACATTGATTATTTTTTGTAATTTTGTTTTTTGAATAAATATTTATATAATATATTATAGATATAAACGAGTAATTTTTTGCACACCTGCATTGTTCAATTTAGGCGCGGTAAACGTATTTGGCCGGGCGGTGACGTAATCGGGAGATCGATCCATGATATGAGGGAGGCCGAGTAAGGAGCCGTTGCGGTTTTCGGAAACAATTTTGTAGTTGTCTTCGAAATTTTTGAATGCCAATTTTTCGATTTTTTCGGTGCTGTATTTTTTCCCATGCCCTTTACACCACTCGTTAAACACAGCTCGAGTGCTGAAAGGAACCCTAATTTGGTGATTGGTGCTCGTAATTGCTTTATGCTGCTGCTGCTGCTGCTGCTTCTGTTTCAGCACCGCCGCCGCCGCCGGAGGATTCACCAGCAGCAGCCGATTGCAACCGATCAACGCCGCCTTTTTAATTATTTGGTACGAAAATTCGGTTTCATGAAACAGAAAATGATAATCGAAGCATAAATTAGGACGAAAACAATCAGTAATTATTGCAGCTTTACATAAATCTGTATAAAAAAAAATGAATAAATTAAATTAAATTAAATACTGTACAGAAAATCAGTAGAATGAAAAACAAACCTTGCGCAAGGGGTTGGCCATGTCGAAGTGCGTTCGTAGCGCCGGCTGGAGTGTTATTTCAAGGGTAAATTACGGTGGGTTATGGTCAAATTACGAAAACTTTCCTACTGTTTGGGTAATTATAACCTTCCCAATTATGTATTATCTTACGATAAAAGTTCCTCCTGAAGTAAATTTAGGAAAGTTAATTTAGTAATACCGAATTACATAAATTTTATGTAAAAACATTTAAAAGGATGGTGGTTGTAATTATCCAAACAAGAGGGGTTTTTTTGTAATTTGGCCTTACCTCAAGGTGGCCCTAATTTGCTCTATTTCAAAGGGCTGAAATATTGTTTTATTTTTAATAGGGTAAATCACGGCCACCCCTAAGGTAAGGTCAAATTACGAAAAAAATTCCTCATGTTATTGGTAATTACAACCAACCCCTGAACTATGAATTGTCTTACTAATTCACCTTATGATGTCAAATCCAACATAATCTTCTGCATTCTGTGAAATGTTCTCTAGTTCGTTCTCGTTTTGTGCAAAAACGTAGTTTCTGATGCACAACAATCTAATATTTACAAGCCAAAACACACATCTTATGATCATCATCTTGTTTCTAAATATGGAGCTCATATGAGTAAAACAGGTACAAACTGGAGAAAATCCACTAAATTTGACACCGCAATGATAGAAGTATAAGAAAATTCATAGTTGACAGGTGATTGTAATTACTCAAAAATGAGGGAGTTTATCGTAATTTGACCTTACATCAGGGGTACCGTAATGTACCATTTTAAATATATATGCACATATAAAACGATGGTTGTTGCATTCAGCACCCTCCAATTAAATCAAATTGCAAAAAAAAAAAAAAAAAAAAAAAAAATCCTCTCCTTTTTGTTATTCTAGAGCACAAACTTTAAAACACAATCATAATTTAACTTGCAAATATATAATATATATATATATATATATATATATATATATATATATATAAATATATATATAAAAGTATTTTCTTTTGTTAAGAATTATTACATTTTTCTTTTAATCTAACTGGATGGATAAACAGCATGAAACCCAGAAGTGGCTGGCCGGAGCAAACGTAACATACAAACAATTGAACACAACAAAATAAATTGCCTTAATACATACTTAGCAATTAGCATATGTCACTCGTATGTTTACTTGTTCTACATTTTTCTTAATTAATTCTATAACATATTTCAAAATTAAAATTCGATTTCCGAAACATTTTTTGTAATATTTTAATTCATATATTATTTTAATTAAAATAAAATTAGACACGCTATTAACTTTTCTAACTGATTGATTTGTTCATAACTATCCCATTTGAAGTATTCTCTATAATGGTCTTTTTTTTTTAGCATGATAGTTATATTGATCTATTCTTATTAATTTGAACTAGTAATAGTACTAGGTCAAAAGTTTTGTCTTTAACTTGTAAGCAATTGCATGATGACCAAAGGTTTATTATATTTAATTTAATTAATTGATAAATATGTTTGTCGTTGTCCTTGTGGATAATCAACATTATATTATTCTTCATTTAATAAATTTAATGTGTTAATTTAAAATCAAGAAACAAAATTGGAGAGGTCCTAAATTCATTAGAAAAAATGTAATAGTTGATATTATTAGTTTTTGTACATAAAATTACAATAATTAAAAAAAATATATTAGAGCATATTACAAAACAAAATCAAATTTATACTACAAACTTTAATATAGGGTTCTCAATTTTCATTTTTATTAATATATTGCCTAGACACCCCGGTAAGCATTCTGATTTTTTAGGAACTGAAAAAATCAATTTCAATTATGTTCCGAAAAATCGGAAACAATAGCAAATCGGAATTTCGGAAATCAAAATGAAAAAACTCATTTCAAAATCAGATATTTTTTGACTGGAACTGGCGGAAAGCGGAAAATTTCATTTTTTTAGTCAATTAAAAAAAATGTATGATAAAATGATACTATAAGTGTATTTTTTCGGAAATTGAAATCGGATATGAATCGGAATCTCATAAATAGGTCAATTTCAATTCAAATAAATTCGGAAAAAATATCGGAATCGGATTTTCGGAGTTTAGAGTGAAAAATATTATTCCAAAATCAGAATAAATTCAAACCGAAATAGGCGGAAATCAGAAATTTCATTGCAATTTCCACCCTCAAGTCATAGAGATTATGAACGATAATAATATATTTGGCATATTCTTTTGGCATATAGCATAGACTGGACCAATTAATATGTAACTTAATTAGAATTATTAAAATCTAAAATCACTAATAACTCAATTTAAGTGATTGATGAAATCTTCTAATAATTCAATTGTGGAAAAGAGAGTATTTAAGTTTAACAACTGTAATTACGCGGCGGTACATAAACTAATTACACATTACAGTACGTGTTTTACACACACCATTTTGTATCTATATATCTCTATAGACTGTATCTATCTGTATATATACAGACAGCAAATTCTCTCAACCAAGTCCTCTACAAAAAATACACACGAACATATACATACAAAACCCATACATATATACACACAATTCCACATTCAATTCTCATTTAATTTCATTTGAATTTTGTTTTCATTTGGTGTAGAATGGATGATCCACGTGTTCATCCCACCACCGCCGATCCCCCGCCGCCGCCGTCTTCCTCCAACCCGACATCACCCAAGCACTCCGGCCAGAATCAAAAGCCACAAAATCTCACTCCGCCGCCGGAGATTTACGTCGTCCAGCTACCCAGAGAACAAATCTTCCGCGTTCCGCCTCCGGAGAACGCCAGAAAATTCGAGGCGCTGACTCGCCGGAAACCCCGACGGAGTAGCTGCCGCAGGTGCTGCTGCTTCACTCTCTGCCTCGTCCTGCTCCTCGTCGTCGCCGCCGCCGTCTCCGCCGGAGTGATGCACTTCGTCTTCCGTTTCAAATCGCTCAAGTATGACGTCACCGGCATCTCGATTAAGGGGATGAATCTGACGTCGGCGGCGCCGATCTCGCCGGATTTCAACGTCAGCGTCAGAGCGGAGAACCCTAACGGCAAGGTTGGCATCTACTACTTGAAGGGCAGCGCCGTTACCGTTTTCTACAGCGACGTGAAGCTAAGCAACGGCGTTTTCCCTGTTTTCTACCAGCCGAAGAAGAACGTGACGGCGTTCTCCACGTCGTTAACGGGGTCCACCGTCGTGTTGGGCGCCGCCGTCAGGAGGGAGTTAATGAACGCGCAGAATCAAGGGAGAGTGCCGTTAGTGGTCAACGTTAATGCACCCGTCAAGATTAAGGTGGGGTCCGCTAATACGTGGGAAATTACAGCTAAGGTCAAATGCGACGTCGTTGTGGATTCATTGAGTGAGATAGCAAAAATTGTTTCCAACAAGTGTCGTTATAACGTGAGATTGTGGTAGAGTTTCAACGACTATTATAGGAAATATTTCATTTAATTCAATTTTAGCCAGTTGGAAGAATTATTCATTATTGTATTTGATTTTGATATATCCACATATTTTAATTATATAGTATTATTTTCTATTTCTTTCATTTGATTTAAAACCATTTTTTTTACAATATTAAAAATAAAGCCAAACTACTCGATTCAAAATCGTTCGTTAAAAGCTCGTTTGAGAAAAAATCCAATATACTTCTAATGTCGAATCAGGATTAACTAGAACAGAACTAAAGCATTGGGTCGAACTCTCTCCTTTGCATCAGGTAATAGCTATGAATAGTCATCGACTTTCGGGAAACCAAACCCGAAACCCGAAACCGATAGAAATCACCAAACGCATACAAACCTCACAAAATGGGGAATGAATAAACCAAATACAGCATATAGATATCCATTTTATTTACATCAAACAAAAATACAACATTACGCAACAGCAAATATCGGAAGATCAACAACTTCGGCAAAAGACAGCCAATATAAAGAAGTATTTGATTAAACAAGAAACCCAAGTTATACAGATCTTAGTAATGTGCATCGTCGCTTTGCAAATCTCAATATATCAAGAACCTAAATAACATTTAAAGCACTAATGCTTCTTACAGGCCGATAATTTTCCTATGCAAATGGTCTCCGTGTGGGCCCGCATCATGATGGTCGTGAAAAATAAGGGTCAGAACTCCAACTAAACATAGAACGGAACCTACTAGAAGCTTGTCGTACCGCTCCACCCAGTGGAACTTGAGCTGACTCGCACCGTAAAACGAGAGTGCCACGAGTGATGTCATAACAGTTATTGTGCTGCAATGTAAATAAATAATACCGTACTATGTTAAAACCGAAATATTTTGCTCGAACTGTTTGGAGGATTACAAGTAAAAAAATTAACTACATCAATAAGTAAATAGCAGAAATTCATAAATTACATGACCCGTAAAAAGACCGGAAACAGAGTTTCTTATCCCAAACGAGAAAATTCTAAAAATGCTATCTTTAAAAAACTTGGCAAAAGTTATTCAGAAGCTAATACGATTTCCACTAATTTATACTTCCTTTGACCTTCTAGAATGGTCAGATATTTTGAAATCGTAAAATCGGTGTATATAATCTTATTTTCGGAGGCCAAGGAAGCAATTCATGAAAGAAAATGCATGCTATCTCCATGTAGTATCATAACCACAACTAAATTCGTTCAATAAGGCCTCGTTTAGGTGGTAAGATTAGCCTTGATTAATTAAATAACTGGACCTTATTGGATGTTTGGTTGGTTAGTCCAACAACTTTTCGGGCCGCCCCGCAATCGGAAAATGGCCTTTGATAATATTAGTTAATCTTATCTTGGTTAATCTTATCTTATGAACCAAACGAGGCCTAAGCATTTCATATTCCAATAGTAAAGATAGAACACAGCTATAAAGCTAGCAGTTAAACGACATAACTTATTACCTGAATAGCAGAACTATTATAGCGAGCACCATCATGGATTTTGAGTTTCCAACGGCAAGAAATACGGGGAGAGTGGTTGCACAAGGAGACAATGCGGGGACGAGTACAAGACCAGCGACAGCCATTTTTTCCATCGGTTGATTGTGAGAATGGCTGTGGCCACCTTTTCCGAACAGAAACAGTACTACGTAACTACCACCGAGGAAAATAAGCAACAACGAAGCAAGTTTATGCACGGTTTCTTCTCCTGCTATGGTGTTTGTTATGGTGATTGCTGTTATGCCGAGCAGCGATGTGGACAGGACGTGCAATACTGCTCCGAATGCAGCTGCGTGCAGATAATCATCATTGTTGTTCAGCGACATTATATGTATATAAAATTGTTGCGTGTATTTGTATCACTGGAATATGAATATTATTGAGGAAAAAAAAGGTGGAAACTCCAGTATTGTCATATTATCTAGATATTCATTTCTCAAGAAATCCCATTTGAAGGAAGTTCGTTGTTCAGTGTCGATTGTGCTAAGTGCTATCGATGCTTGAGGATGTTTGGTTCGAGAAATTTTAAAGGGTTCGATTCAGATGTGAAAGCAAACCTAGCAGAATGGCTAAGTTGGGTGATCTAAACGCATAAAAAAAAGCTAAACAAAATCGTGTTGAACAAATTTTCGAATCAGGTTCAAAAAAACAAAGAAATAAGTAAGACCAATTTCAAAAGAACCTATACTTATTATCTATTGGCTTCAGCAAGGAAGAATTAAAATTAAAATATTCATCCTAAAGTGCCACTATCAAAACGATATTTACGATTTTCCTTGAGACCAGATTTCATTTGGATTCAACTTAACAGCTGAATCTATATTCACTTAATCTGTAAATTCTGTACCTATTGTTAAAAAACCATCCAATGAATAGATTAAAAACCACGTAACAAACTCGATAGAACATCTATAACATACTGCTCTCTGAATCTCCAGAACGAGGTTGTATTTTCTTTCGGTGTGTTTCATCAGATCAAAGTCGAAAAGTTCTCACCGAATCCTAAATCATTCCACAAATGCTTCACATCCCTCCTCAAAAGGCTGTATGCCACATTTCTCAATCCACCAATTATTTTCACTACAACTTCAACACCACGATTTGAAATGCAAATTACCTTCAAATTTCTAATGTTTCGATCACCGCATATTTTCTTATATAATTCTTCATACGTATTCATAACAACATGTGCAAAATAAGTCTCCTCTCCACCACTATAAACTACATCTAATTTTTTCTCCTCCCAAAACCAAGCAATGCACTCCTGGATCTCACAAAATTAGCAAAGCCCATACCACCAACTTCACCTTCTCACTGACAAGATCACATTTTTTTCTCTCAAAAATCAAAACACAACTGACAAAAAATCACAATGAATTATCATCACTTACTAACGAGGAGAGTACGAGAGAGCGTCCATTTCTGAGCGCGGCCGACGATGGAGAACGGAAGCCAGTGCGTCGGAATGAAGGAATGGAGGAGGGAAACGGTGGCTATGCCTCCGATCGTCGATAGATCCTCCGCACTAAAGCTCAATTTTCCATCATCCATTTTTTTTTTCCGATTTGTGTCGTTTTTTTGCTGTGCGGTGTTGACAAAATTCAATCAGTTTTGATGGCTGCTTCACATCTGTAATACGATTACAGATTGATTTTTCAGGGGGGTGGGGGATCGGATTCCAGTTGAGAAATCAGATTTGTGGGGTTTTTCAAGTTATTACCACTGTGTTTATCTGCGTAAACTCAGGTAGAATTGGTGTGGTTTGTGTGAAGGCAAATGTGTAATGACGTTATTACCCTCCAGTAATTGTTTTTTGCAGTACTCTAATTGATAAAATCGGTAAATACAGTTTGCATCCCATAAGTATAAAATGTATAACACTGTTACTTTTAAAGTATTTTTCGTAACAGTTACCCCTTAAATTATCATTTATAAAAAAATTTACCCCTCAAATATCATTTATTTTGTATCTTATATATTAAAATATAATAGTGCCCTTAGTATATCGTCACTTTTATTGGATGGGATAATCGTAAAAGATTATTGAATAAATTTGATCAATTAAAAAGTGAGTGCAATATTTTTAAAATTTGAAGTATATCTTTCTTTGCTAAGATAAATAACATAAACAACTAATTATTATAGAATTATATAAATTTGATGGTTAAATAAAATTTAATTTAATTTTGTTTTACCAAAAAAATAGATTTTTATATTAATACATTTTAGTTACCAATGCAGGACAATATAATTTTTTTAATTTTAAAATATTAACTTATAGATATTTTAATAAGATAATTGAATTATTTGCAAATTATTATATCTTATCCAATAGAAGAGAAGGAGTTTTAAGAGTATTAAAGCTTTAAATATAAATTAAATAATGTTTGAAGGGTAAGTATTACAAATAATACTTGAAGGGGTAAGTATTACACAAAAAATACTTAGGAAACTATTATATAAGCTATATTTTAGGGGTGCAAAGTGCAAAGTGTATTTAACCCTTAACAAAAACAATCTTTCTATAACTCATGTTTGCATCTGAAAAATAAAAGAAATGAAGACTAAAATACTTGAGTGTTGAGAATATATAAAATTACTATATATATATATATATATATATATATATATATATATATATATATATATATATATATATATATAGGTGATAATTAAAAATATTAAAATATTGCAATACAAATACTTTATTAACATATAAAAATAGTGGATGTTGATACTTCACTTAAGTAGAACATTACAATCTATAAAAATAAAATAGTGGGATACTGACAGTTGATAGCTAGGTAGAACGTTATAATCTTGAGTTGAAATACTTTGAAAATAAATTAATTTTACCAAGAATATAATATTATTTTTGAAAAAAGAAACTATGAGCTATAAAAATATGGCAAGTTAGTCCTTTTCTCTTGCCCCCTTTTCTCCTTCTTGTTCTTATCTATTCGAAATTCGAACGATTTGTTTGAATTACTAGAGCGCGCAATAGTTTGGAGGTTACAACAAGAGAGTGATAGTGTTCCAGATTACGGTAAGATGTTAGATATGTTGGGTTTGCACGTATTCTTATAATTTTCGAAAATCATAAGATAGAAGAAGAAAGTCATAGCTAATCTGCAAAATTCAACAAAAAATTGGAACATTACCCAATATTTCTCCCATTCGGAGTATGTCTTTTTCGAATTGAGGTATGTCCATGAGTTTCATGGTTAGCTTTTTTGCAAAGTAGCATGTCAAATCCATAATTTCGGCGAACCAAAATTAGAATGTGGGAAGGAAGAGTATGGGGTGAACCGGAATTAGGGCAACATAGGTTAATAAAACGAGGAATAATCGACATGGAAGAAGAATAACAAGGCAAGAAGCAAGAGAAAAAGGGGTAGGAGGAAAAGACTAATTTGCCCCAACTTTTTTCACGTAGAACGCACGTATTGTGAATGCCAGCCAAACTTTGGCAAAAAAAATGACGTTTTTTGCATCAGTGCATCAACTAATAGAGTTGAGGTATGTCCGTACAACTTTTCTCGTTCAGGGGTAAAATGCAATAACATGCAATGTTCAAGAGGAGAAAATGCACTTCACCCTTACCAAAAACTACCCTATTTTTTTGTTTCTTTTGGACTTCTGACCCTCACATTTGCCTTCAAAGAATTCCAAACATTTTGGAAACAAAAGGATCAAATTGAAATAATTCTCTATTTAGAGGGGTGAAAACTGAAAAGCGCTATCGTGGATATAGCGACCAAACTATTATTAGTGCGCGCTTTTGTTACAGAGGAAAATATAATAATAATAATAATATAGTAATAATATATAGTAATAATAAATAATAATAATAATCTCGAAACCGCCAAAATCTTGAAATCGCTGTGCCGATCCCGTCGCTATCTCTCTCTCTCTCACACACACACACACACACACAGAGCATTGGATTAGGGTTCCGCCCCCAATCCGACCGTCGCCGATGGCCGAAGACTTAACCGCCAGCGAAGAAAACCTCGACCGTCCCCAAGAAATAAACGCCACTAGCGACGACAAGCCATCTGATACCGCCCCCTCCGACACTGGCCCGGAAGCCACATCGCCGCCGCCTCCGCTGCCGCCGCGACGAGGAATCCGAGACCGTGAACGTGACTCTAGAGAGCGGCGCGACGATCGGGACTCTGACCGACCGCCGCGGCGTGACTACTATGACCGCAATCGATCGCCGCCGCCACCGCGCGAGAGGGATTTTCATAAGCGGGGCCGGCTGAGTCCCAGTCCTCCTCCTCCATCCTATAGAGACCGACGCGGGGGAGGTCCGTATTCTCCGCCTCCGAGAAGATCGCCGCCAATTCCTCCGTATAAGCGAAGGAGGGATGATGGTTACGACGGAAGGAGAGGGAGCCCTAGAGGAGGACATGGGCGAGGCGACCGAAGGTGAGATTTTTATTTAGTCCTCCTCCACCATTATCATCATCATTTGTGTGCCTAGTAGTCAATCCTGTTAATTTCGTACTCAATTGATTATCTACTCAGCTGTAACAAGATTCATGGGGTTTGTTATTTGGGTACAATGGGTTGGTAGTGAAGTTACTGGACTAGGTTTCGAGTCTATTGTGCGACTTGTGTGTGTCTGATCATGTGGGCTGTGCTACTGATCTCATCTTCTTTGTCATGGCTAAACGAACTCGCATAATCAATTGATTCATCGTATCCCTCGTCTAGGTTGGACTTTCGATTACCATCATTCCTTCGTTTGTTTGACCACTAACGTATGATTGATCTCCTGCCCTCAACTTTTGAAGTCAATATCTCAGACTTTTACCGAAGCAATGGACCTGGCTCATATGGATAAGAATACAACTTTTTTAGGAAAACTGTATAGCCCTTAGCAGACTAATTTATTTAGGGCTCTCCTACTTGCCAATCTGTGTATTTTAACTTCTATAAAGAAATTATTGTCATTTCTTTTCATAAATAAAAAGGCCAAAAAAAAAATATGTTGAGCCCACTATTGATGAATACTCATTTTGAAGACTGAGAAAGAGGAAAGCATGGTGTAGAAAACTAGAGAAGCACATGAATCTCTGTAGTGCCTTTTTTTTTCCCAACCTTATTTCTAGGATTTAGAAACTAGTTGCGATCGCAGCAGATTAATGCTTACCCCGAGACATCTCTTCTGGCACTTGAAATAGGGGAAAAGTCCCTATACCCTGAAGACCACCATCCATCTGCCACAGAGCCCTACTTACCTCTGTATATAACAATGCACAATATATATCCCTATATCCGTCAAAAAAGAAGAAATGTTATCCCTAGCCATTTTGTCCAAAATGGAACAAAATTTGGAGAAGCTAGAGCTTAAGAAAATGGATTTTGCACTATATCTGGTTTTCACTCGTTTCTTTTTGCCTGGTGTTAATTCCTTCAGTTTACTACTAATGGCTTCTGTTTTTATGTCCAAGCTGACTGTAGTAACACGAGTTGTTTTTTTCAGGTTTGGATATGATTACCCTGGTGGATATGAGCGTGAAAATGGCGGTAGACCTGGTTATCCTGATGAAAGGCCTCATGGTCGATATATGGGCCGTGGATCTGGTGGCTATCAAGGTGGTTCCATATCGTATCTCGTCGATTTTGCTTTCACCATGCCTTTTTTTTAGTCATTGAACATTTGGTTGTATGTTCTTTACTTGTTACTGTATGATTCATTTTAATTTCACATACTGCGTTCTGGAAATCCTCTCGTCAATTTCACATATTGCAACTTGCGACCTTGTACAATTTACATCATGAGTACAACTTTATGTGCACTGCAAATTTTTTATAATAGCACTCTTGGACTGCCCATTTTTTGCCTATATTCATATTTTTGGTATTTTCTTTATGCAGATTGGGATTCTGGTCGTAGTGGTTTCGCTGACGCTTTCAATTTGAGGGGAGCCCAGAGGTATGTTGCTTCTGAGTATTGGGTCATGTTCACATTTTTCGAGTCGACATCATTTGACTTGTTTTAAGCTAGTAGCACATCTTCACTTCTCAGAAGGTGTGCATTTCTTCATTCTCCCAGCTTCACTGTAAATACATGATGGCAACAAGTCTCAAAGAAAACCCCGTTAATACCATAATGGTTAAGACGAACATAAATAACGTCTCTTGATACAACCAAACAAAAAAATTAGCAACCTGCCCAAGGGGCTCCCTCTATATTTTTCTCATGAATAAGTCTCATCATGTTAAGCAGCATGTAAAGTAAAGTTCAAGAATCATAAGCAATTTTGCTTGCTTAAACTTAGCATGTTGCTTGTCATGATGAGACTGTTGAACTCTTAGTCATGAAAAATATAGACCTTGGGCAAAATGCTAATCTTTTTTTTTTTCCTTGTATCAAGACCTGTTATTTATGTTCACCTTAATCATTGTGGTAGTTCATTGGGTTTTCTTTGAGATATTCTCTCCTGATGCTGATTTTTGCAAGTAAAGTTGAATATTTGATGACTATAACTTTTAGCATGCATTTGTTTTGTTATATGTTAAGCTAGGTTTGCTGATGTAGTCTGTCAATTTTTCTAGGGAAGGAATGATGTCTTATAAGCAATTCATTCAGGAGCTTGAAGATGATATACTGCCAGCTGAAGCAGAGCGCAGGTCAGATCTGTTATTTTTTTTACATTTTATCAGTATATCCTTACTTTATTGTCCCCCTTTACCTAATGTCATCCTTCTGTTTTCTCCTTGTGATAGTTTCCCGTTTCTGTTTTTTTACTGACTGGCTGAGCATGATCAGGTATCAAGAGTACAAGACAGAGTATATATCAACCCAGAAAACAAATTTCTTTAATGCACATAAGGATGAAGAGTGGTATGCTTAAGTGTTTACACTATCTTGTATTTTGCTATGCTTTACTGCTCTTTTTGCTATTTATATGAGTTTGTTCATCTGTTTAGGTTAAAAGACAAATATCACCCAACAAACTTGCTTGCTGTCATTGAAAGGTAAGTGCACAATGTTTAGACAGACAGTTGCGTGGGCTTTATAGTACTTCCGCTATCAATGTGAAATGTAACAAATTTGTGCTGTGTGTAAATGCTGAAAATTTCCTGGTTTTCATTTGGTTGTACAATATTGAAAAATCTTACCGATTGTCTTTGTAGGAGGAATGAACTTGCGCAAAAATTGGCGAAGGACTTTCAGGCTGATCTCCAGAGTGGGAATTTGGATTTGTAAGAGCCATTCCGAAAGATTTGGGTCTACCATACTTGCATTCTAACTATTTTTCGTATTTTTACATTCACATGACCAATTTGTATATGTAAACAGAGGTCCTGGTTTTAATCCTTCCTCATTGAACAAAGCAGAACAGTCCAGCGACCCTAAGTCTGATGATGAAGAAAATGCGGGTGGCAAAAGAAAGCAGCCTGGTCGAAGTGGTGCCAAAGATTCTGATCATTCGTCCGCCCCAAAAGCTCATCCAGTCTGTTCTGAGCCGAAAAGAATTCTGATCGATATTGAACAAGCACTTGCTCTTGTACAGAAACTGGACACAGAAAAAGGAATCGAAGATAATGTCTTATTTCGAGCCGAGAATGATAGAATGAGCAGAGATAAGTCTCATGGAAGTTCAAGTGGTCCAGTCGTTATCATACGAGGTTTAACTACGGTCAAAGGTCTTGAGGGTACTGAGCTTCTGGACACCCTTCTCACTTACCTCTGGCGCATTCATGGAGTTGATTATTACGGATTGGTTGAATCAAATGAAGCCAAAGGTCTACGACATGTTAGAGTGGAGGTCAAGAATTCTGACGCGATTGCTAATGCGAATGATTGGGAGAATAAATTAAATTCTCATTGGCAAGAGAGGCTGAAGGGTTCAGATCCTCTGGAAATAATGACGGGAAAGGAGAAGATAGATGCTGCTGCTAATGAAGCTTTGAATCCTCATGTGCGTAAAATTAGGGATGAAAAATACGGGTGGAAGTTTGGATGTGGGGCGAAAGGTTGTACAAAGCTCTTTCATGCTGCCGAGTTTGTGCATAAACATTTAAAGTTGAAACACCCGGAACTCGCGGTTGAGTTGACGACAAAAGTGCGCGAAGAGTTGTATTTGCAGAACTACATGAAGTAAGTACACCGCCATTTGAATATGACTATGATGCCTCTTTGCTTGCCAAGTTCTGTAACTATCATATATTTGCAGAGATGAAAATGCACCTGGAGGGAAACCTGTCATGCAGCCATCTTTGGTACGACTTGTTTGTAACTATCACTAATATTATACGTATAAATATATTTTTTCATTGGATGTTTTCTCATTTGGGATGTCTTTCATCCATCTGCAGAAGGAGAAGCTACTAAGACGTAGGCCTGGCCCAGATAATAATAATAGAATGAATAACGAAAGAGGTGATCGTAATTACCGTGCCAATGGAAATGAACACTTTGACAGGCCTGAGAATTCGCAATCTGGGGATTTTGCTAATCAAGATGGTGCTTCTGGGAACAATGCAGATGATCCAATGTATGATTCATTTGGTGGGCAAGGCATTCCTCTTACTTACGCTTCGGATGTACCTCCTCCAGTGCTAATGCCTGTTCCTGGTGCTGGGTAAGATTGGTTTGTTCTTTTTCACTTCTTAATCAGTATTTGTAATGGCGAATCTATATATTTGAAGTTATTTGTTCTACATTAATGACCGACTAAATATTTTGTTATTGATTGATTGTAGTCCTATGGGACCTTTCGTTCCCGCACCTCCTGAAGTTGCTATGCAAATGATGCGAGACAGAGGAGGAGGCCCTTCTCCGTTTGAAGGGGGCAGAAACGGACCTTCCCCAATTATTGCATTGCCCCCAAGACATCGACAGGATCCTCGGAGTCTACGAAGGTCAGTGGTTCTTTCTTAGGCTGTGTTTGGTTGCAATTGGCTGATTCATTAATCCAGTTGGACATTAAGTGCATTTGGTAGCAACACTCGAATGAGTTGGGATACTGCTTACCCATTCATCCCAAAATGCGTGCTTAATGAATAAACGCACATGTGGACAAATTTTTGTCACATACACACTTATCATTCAATAAAATCAAATGTCTTCAGAATTGAGCCTAACATCATATTATATTATTGATAATTATTTTTTTCTCTTCTCCAAAACCACTTTATACGACTCTAAAATTTATTAATCATTCAGATACTGCTTAGCCATTTGGAAATTTATTCAATCCATCAAACACAACCTCAATCATGTCTGATCAAACATTGTTCCATTTACTGTTTACCACAGAAGTTTAGTGTTGACTGAAAGCATAGGCTAGTCCTTGCACACGAGAGCGCTTTCAGAATCCTTAGATCAACGTTAGAATGGCAAGATTTATCATTTTAAAGATCAATTAATCGTTGTATGGGGGGAAGATCAGAGACATTATTTTTAGCTTGAAAACAACCTTTGTTATCTAATTTCATTAGCGAAAATAAAATTTGGCCGAAATTAGAGCCATTGATGGAATAATTCCGTATGAATTATCTGATTAGTGAGTTTCTGTATTAAGGAATGAATATATTTGCATCTATCTGCAAGAAATGATAATATTCATTCATGGCAAGTTTTATCACAACTGCAATTCGTTTAATTTTTCGTTTATTGCGACACGATACTTACCCTTTATTTAACAACTCTGCAGCTATAATGACCTGGATGCTCCAGACGACGAAGTCACAGTTATAGATTACAGGAGTTTGTAAGTGCTCGGTTCTTTTCAGTCATCCTCTTTTAAAAAGCAGCAACAGTTCCCACAATTATAGGGCCTGTCAAGACGCAAGCAGATATTTGTTGAGTTTTGCCGTAAGATTCTTTCCTCGCTGAGCGACGACGACCGATTTGTAAATTAGTTGCAAATCAAAACATGAAGTTCAGTGAGATCATCATACTTCTGGACTTGCGTTTCTATTGTTATTTGATTTTTGAAAGAAATTTTTTTATTTTGTGGAAGCAGAGTAATATGAAGGTTTATTGTTGGATGACTTGATATAGGAAATAAGAAAATTAAATAGACGATGGATTTATTATGGCTAATTGTTGTCAATCGAGTTTTTTAAGACATCTTAAAATCCAAGTGTTCGGTCGGATGGATTTGTGGCCAACTGCACTACATAAATGATTGGTTTGTGAAGATGTAATGTCAGAATAACACAAACAGTTTGAAATATGTGTAACACAAGCATTCTATCATTCCATTCATCTTTCTCGCATTTCGAATGACAATCCTTAAGCCTCCGTTTTTTTTTAGTCGCTCGTAATATTACATAAAACGAAGATTCCGCGACAAGAAAGATTAGTACGCAAAGAGATGTTAATGAAAAAAAATCGATAATTCTATATATGCAAGCATTTAAACACAACTTCAGAGAAAAAAATGCATTTTTTTTTCTTCGTCTTATTGAGCCGTATATCGGAGCACAAAACGAACGAGTCACGAGGTAATCGATGAATCCTCTTTTTACCTCCTATAACATTGAATATGTTCTATTTACAGAAAAAGAATACCTCAAATCAAGCATGGACTTCCATAGCAGCAACAATTAGAGTATATGCACAAGAGATCAGTTTATATACGATACGACCTCTGTTTCTTTACTTACTGAATTTTCAAGTTCTTGCATTTGTGCAAGAGCGCCTCGATTGATTTCTGTATTCTCGATCTCTCAGCTTGCCTCGCCACCTGGGACGCCTCATAAAAACTTCGAACTCCACGGCCCAAACTCGCAATCGAAGGAGCCGAAGGAAGAGATTCCGCAGCACATTCGATCCCATCTTCAAACACAAGCAAACCAGAGCACGTAGCAATACTACACCCAAACGTAACCCACGGTAAAGCTCCAACCGGCCTAACCCTCCGTTTCCTCATAATCTCGTAAAACGAGGACCTCATGGCAGAAAGGCTCGTCTTTTCCGCTGAGTAGATCACGCCCTGTGCCACCGCCCGTATCTTCTCCGCCGACGCCACCGCCTTGCTGCCACTCGCCGCCATCTTTGCGGGGCCCACACCCACTGTCTTGCCGAATGCGAAAAGAACCGCCTTTTGCGTCTGAGCCAGCATGAGCTTTAGCGAGGCGGGCATGTAAAAGGTTGCAACTTTGATAAAAGTTGAAGCCGGAACGACTTTAGAGAGGGCGGAGGCTCCGACTATGGCGGTTGCACCTGCCCCGACAGCCACCACAGGCTTATCAGTTAGTAACAAACGCTTTCTGGTAGAATGTGTCGATACTTCGCCTTCTTCGGAATTCGTTCCGAGGTGGTCAAACATATCATTGACTTCGGGCGGAACGTTTGTATGCCAGTGTTTCCTTAATCCAGCTAATCCGCTAGCATCAACTACAGCAACTATTGATTTGTACTTCTTGGTTTGGCTTCGAAGAGCTTGCGCAAGAATCGCCTGCGATTGTTCCTCGATTGGAAGATCGGAAAACTCGGGTCGTACCGAATCGGGGTTGTTCTTTGTTATCCGACCGGCATTGTTGAACGCGATTCTTAACAACTCGACTGCGATTTGAAAGGAGTAGATTTCTGTAAGATGACGATTGCCGATAACTTCTCCTTTGTTGACATCAGATAGCATTTTTTGTGCACAAGCTAGAGCAGTTCCCATAGATGGTATGTCGACGAATATGTTGTGCAAGTCGACGAGTAAAGGGTACACGGATCGAGCAAACTGCGGTGCATCGTAATTGTATTGTAGCCGAAGATCTTCTTCTTCACCTTTAGACTTTGAAAACGGATTCGAACGAACTAAATACGGAGACAACAACTTCACCATCTGCGACTGAACGCCATCTTCAACATGGAAAGGTCTCGAATACGCGATTCTCGAAGGAACAAAGCTGGTGGTTAGCTGCAAATTAAACGCGCTCCGGAACCCATTTCCCGAACTATTCGAATCGCAGCATCCGCCATCGTCCTCGACCGCCGTCCTGCATTTCACGATGGGAGATTCGAGCATCAAGAACGAGGATCCCACTTCCTCGGCGGCTTTCTTGGCCGCAAGAAAATGTCCGTCGAAACTCACGCCGAAGATTTCCCTCAACACCAAACTCCCCGCAACGTCCTCGTACTTCTCCGGACCGATTTTATGCACGAAACAGTTCTTCAACACCTCAAACACAGATGTGGGCACACTATCTTCATTCAAAACCCCACCATTGTCAACACTCCCGCCTTTCGAAGATCCCGAGGAGACGCCGCCAATATCGGAATTGTTCAAGGGTCCCACTTGAACAATAACTGCGTCGGGTTTAATCTGTCTGATTAGAGACTCGGCGTCTGAAGCAGACCTTTCGGAGAGATTCTGTACGGAGAGAACGTAGATTACGGAGTGGGAATCGGGGTCGCGAATAGCGTAGACGAAATGCTTTGTGGATTCGGGAATCGGCAATCGTCTGACGATTGAGTCGGAAGCCCTCAAGTCATTGTATACCAAGGCGGAGAAAGGCCATGTGTTTTGCACGTGCTCCACAACGCCACCCCACATCATCAAATCCGAGCATATGAAACCAAAACCCCCAAAATCCCAGTTTCAATTTGTAATCTTTTTTCCTTTTTTTTTTTTCCTTTAATCAGTTAAGAAGGCGACGAATTTCAAGATTAGATAAAGCGCACCACACACACACACACGCATGCGGGAGAGAGAGAGTTTGTAGTACCTCAGAAGATGAATTGATGATGGAGGGTCAATCTCCTTTGTGTGTGGGGGGGGGGGGGGGGGGGTGAGGGGGTTAAGAGCTTTTTTAGAGAAGGTAGTCTCTGTGGAGAGAATCTGAAAAATCTTGAATTGGTTTTGAGGGAAAGAAGGTATTAAACGCTTTCTGGTTTAAAATATAATATTTACCTCTTTTAAATTTTGATTTTTTCTTTTTAATAATTTTCTTTTTGCTACTTAAAAATTAAAATTATCAATAACATTTCAAGAAAGAATGATTCAAATACTCTTTTCTATTAATTTATTTATTATTATAAATAAATAAAAATTCAGAAAGATCAGTCAAGTACTCTATTAAATTAAAAGAGTTGGGGATCAGCCAAATTCTATTAGTGTAGCGAAATACTTTTTGAACTCAGTTGTCCTTGAGTCGGGACCGAGAGAAAAAAATATTTAAACGAAGTTATTAATTTATCAAGATTCTTCAATTGTAGTTCTTGAAATTGATTTGAAAAGTTTAGGTACAAATTACACTAATAAATAAACCCCATCGTGTGTTGCTCTATACTAGTTCCTACAAAACTAACCTTGATAAATATACAACTAATTTCATCTAATACTGGTACAATCTTGACAATCATCACTAAAAACTCACATCTACGAATATTTAAATTATAAAAAAAAAAGAACGAGATTAGATTGCTTGTCAAGAACAGCTACCCTGTTCGAATACACGATAACTCGGAGTTAACCCGTTGGAGAATGTTCAGTGAGCAAAGTCAATTCCAATATGTACTTCACCTTTGGTGTGTGTGTGTGTGTGTGTGTCTACTTTCGCGGTCTTTTCGCTGGATTATCTTGTTTTGGATCCATCTGAATACAATAACAGCACCGGAGATTTTTGAACAAGAATATTATGACACGACCTAATCATTAAGTTAGGCAACCACGAATACGAGAAAACAAATAATGCAATATGAGAAGGGAAAATAGTTCCTTACTGGATTCGATAGCTGCTCGCGAATGTACGCCATTGATCTCAACATTGCGCCTAAAGTATCCCTCGAAACCTGGAATTTCACTTCTGATTCTCCTGACATTGTCTCCGTATCTTGAAGCTGATTAATAGCAGACTATGTCAATGAATATTGTTCCCGGTTCATTTCTATTTTCAACGTTAAATTTCTACGAAGAAAGTAATTGATATGATTGTATATAAGCCCTTTTCTATATGTATCAACATCGGCATTTCGACTATATACAACTCAAGTCTGTCAAAATTCCTCTTTTCTCCATCCAGGTCAAAAATCAGGGAGTCGTGATGTAAACCATTTCATCAAATTGAGAATCAAAGTAGAGAACAACAAACCTTCAAATTAAGGAAAGCAACTTTATTGGCAGGGGTCGAGAGCTGTTCGCTGATGTAAGCCATGGACCTCAATAGGGGCTCCAATGATACCCTCGACAATGAAAACTTTACCTCCGATTCTCCTGCAGGAGTCCTGCCGTAATCTTGTAACTGCACAAGCACCAAAAATAAAGTAAATGTAAAGCAAGCATCAAACTCGACTTCTAAATCCGAGTTTGCAAGCATCATCTCCCGAGCTGGGACCTAGTTATAAGAGCAGGCGACTCAGGCAATATATTAATAGATGTAGAACTGAAGGTAGTGAACGAAATAGTTAATAGGAGAATGACTGGATGTAAAGGTATTCATATATGGACACATTGTTTTGCTCGAACTCATTTAAATGGGGGATACATTATTATGTGTACTGCATTTCTATAATTCTCCTTTCGCTCAACAAACTCAAATTTACCAAAAGAATAAAACAGAGAAAAGGGAAGCGAAACCGAGGTAGAAAACGAAGCCATTGGTGCACTAGTTATAGCTTGAAACAAGTCCCAGATAATGTGAAGCACATACCTTCAGGTTAATTACAGCCACTCTATTGGCTGGAGTCGAGTTCTTATTCTCCATTACCCATGTCATCGTCTTAAGACAAGGTACAACCAACTGCAAGTGAAAGAGACATTAACATTTCTTGAGCTGAAAGATAATCTGCTTCTGCAAACATATCTTATCAAGGTTTATTAGTATTTAGTACCATGTCGGTTTGGCCACTATCGCGGTTAAGCGAAACTGGCGCCATGAGTGGACCACTTGAATCGAGAATGGGTTGACTAGAAACACCAGCATCGTTAAGATTAAAGCGTCGCATTATTTCATCTTGTCTTGGCCATAGAAGAGGGGTCGTTTCTTGATTCGCTATGGATGTTCTTCGATCATCATAACCAACTCCACTAACCTGTGAGCTATAAGGTGCAATTTTTGCCACACCTTTTTTAACACTAGCAACCTTTTTTCCTCCCTCTCTGAGACTAATAAGTGCTGCACTATACGTCTCTGATGTTATTGCTCCTTCTTCGGCAAACCTGATTGCTTCCTTGCATAAATTGTTATATCTTGTGGTCAGAGATTCATTACCCTGTAGCTCACTGCATTCGTCAGCTAGATTAACCGCGTTTCTAGCGTTTCTTGTCCATCGGTTTAATATGTAATGGGATGGCAAGGTAAGTACATTTGTTACGGTGAACACTGTCAAAACGTGTCTACATAGGATGCCAGAATACTCAAACATCTTACAGCTACAATTTGCTTTCATTTCCGCAATATTCAGCGATACAAAGTAGGCTTTGCGGTTATCCTCAAATTTCGCAACCCTGTATGTACTATTATGCCCATCTCCATCCACTCTATTTGCAGTATATACAAATGTCTCAACTAACTCCTCTTGAAATTTCAAGAATATTCTCTTTGTGTACAGGTTGGCAGCCTGTTTTTCCATCGGGGAAGGGGTCCTTAGCAGTGGGGAGGTGCATATTGTATCAAAATCAGCTTCAACTTCCCTCTCGAATGAATTCTCTACGGCTCTTTTATACTGTCTGAAGAACATTGGCAAAGTGGTTTGTTGATTCACATAGCCATCCAAAAACGAGCTCTCGAAACCCGGACTAGGAAACATGGCAGCAAAGAAGGAGTCTCGAAAATAAACAGGCACCCATTGCGTGCGAGCATCATATATCGACTGAAGCCAATCATTTCTCCTCAGGTCATACTTGTCAAGGATAGATACCCAAAACGATTCGAATTCCTCAATGGTCTCAGTCATGTTGATGCAGTTATAGAGCTCCATTTGAAAGTTAGGATGCACCGTACACACATTAGCCATTCTCCCTTGACCTTCTCTTAACACATGCCACTTGTTTACACAATGGCAAACTTCTGGAAAAACCTGTGCAACTGCAGCTCGTATAGCTCTGTCCTTATCTGTAGTCAGCGATACAGGGGCACGGTCATTCATAGCAGCCAGAAATGTCTTGAACAGCCACACAAATGTCGCTTCGGATTCGTCTAGAAGCAGGGCACAACCGAACAAAATTGTCTGACCATGATGATTCACCCCTGTGAATGGGGCAAAGGGTACTTTATACTGATTCGATCTGTACGTTGTATCCAGAACAACAGCATCTCCAAAATGACTGTAAGCTGTCCTCGACCTAGCTTCTGCCCAAAAAGCATTCGCCATGCGATTCTCTTCATCGAGCTGTATTGCATAGTAAAATCCGGCGTTCTCAGCCTGCATTTTCTTGAAATAATCAAGGAGATTCTGTGCATCCCTACCCAATGTTCTTCGACTGGAATTGCCTAACGAGCCGATGTTCTTCCCAGTATGAGTTAATCCTCCTGAAGCAGGCATAGTCTTCCCTGCATGATTCATTTCTGCAGGGATACTGTTTCCATCCACAGACACATACATCACACCACTAGGCACTACATCCATGCCTTGGAAATTTCCCGCTACATTGTTTGCCGTGGCAGCAAAATGTCTCTTAGGCCTGAGATAATGCAACTTACTGTGGTTTACAACGGTGTGACTGTGCAACTTTGCAAATTTTGTCACAACCCACTTTTTTTCTCCCCTTGACTCGATTCTAAGCATTGCCCCACAGCCCGCACGATCTCCTTTCATCATTCCGTCCTTGCAGCATAAAAATTCTTGGGAGGTTCCCATGGCAGGGGCCTTTGACCGGTCAAAGCGCTCTCGAATGCTAAACCCCATATCCCTAGCATAGTCTGCATAAAACATCTTGGCTGCATTTTCGGAATCGAATTCCATCCCGATATGCGGCTCCGGAAAACTTCGACCCTCATCTTGAACCAGAGAGCTTCCAAAAGCATCCATTGATCCACCATTATTATAATTTTCATGACCAGCATCCGTTACTCCCCCACGTTGTCCCATATTCCCCTCTTCCAAACTACCAATTCAATGTCCATACGAG